AGGGGGTGGGGTGGGGTGGGTAATGGAGGAAAGATGGCCAAAGCTTGGTCAAAGAGGTACATTTTCTGACAAATACCCCATTTGACTGATTGCAACGACAGCTGCTAACAGATGAAGTCAAACGGTGCAAAGTGGAGGCTACAATAAAGTCAGAGGATTCATCATCAGAAGTAAACAGATGAGACTGTGAAGCCTGACATACAAGATGCGACAGGTCAAAGCTGTAAATTAGAATGATGCTGCGTTCAAACTGTGCCACCTGGTGTAAAGGCTTTCTAGGTTAGTTTCTGTGTATGTACGGAACGAGTAATATCATTGCATGAGATCCCTGCTATATTTAGCCAGATGTTATCACAGATGTAAGGTCGCGTTATAGGGTCAATCCTTTACCCAAGCATGTCGGGAGGACGTTTCAAAAGGCTTCACGGGATTTAACGGAGTAAATGCATTTTGTAGGCAAACCCAGCAACCAATTTGCGCCCCGCTTTACAGGCATGAAGCGAATCACCAATTTTATCAGGAGGATTATTAGCCAGGACAATAATTGAGAGAAACTCATTATTTTACCTTCCCTACCCAATGTTCTCCGTTTCCTTTGAATGTGTGATCCAGGAGCCGATTCGAGGGTACTTGTGCCATTATTTTTTATTTTTCCAGGTTGCTTGACAGAGGCACAAACTCATTCTTTGGGGACTGCAGTGCTAAATGAGACTGCCAGCAAATTCAAGTCTGCCATTCTCCAATGCTCTGTGCGTTTAGCTTCCTCCATTACTCTACTTTTGATGGCCATATTTCCAAATGAAAGTCACTACCGATGACTGTGTCAAAGAGTAACAAATATCCCATACCTGCCAAACGGATATTTGTCTCGAAAGCAAAGGGCGAGGCTTGTTCTCAGTAGTTTCCATTATTGAAATTGATTAACATCATGTGGCGAGCAATTGGGATGGGTTTGGAAGGAAAACCACAATCTCATTAATCAGCCGAAGGTGCTGAAATTTGCTATTTTAGAAAAGACGAAAGCAAACGCCTGTTTGGAAGTAAATATGAAAGTTGTGGTTCTTGTCGCAGGATTAAAACCAAAATCCAGTCAGTCAGACTAAAATATATATTTATTTTTATTAAAATTATACTTTTTCCAATGGAAAATGTGATGCAAAACACAAAGTGTTACCTTATCAATGTAGCTTCCTGGCCTGATGCCTGGAATAAACAGTGGGCACATATGGTCTGTTCACAGGCTGCGCCAATACTCCCTGTAAACAATGCCAGGAGGTATTCGATCACCTGATTTAACTCTTCCACTGGAGACTCGACAGCCTCTACTCAGCAGTGTCCCATTCGAAGGAACTTCCAACATACCAACTCTACCGGCACCACTTGGATGGGGTAAAGGCTGACACTAGGATCTCTGCTCATGTGTTAGAGGGCAAATGCCTGGCCTGGTGAACACTGCAGCCTCAAAAGGTAGCAGGTTTCGATCGCAATCTCTGGTGAGCTAATGGATAAGGAGGGAAATATCTCCCAACTGCTGGATAAGAGTTTGCTGATGGAAGGTGGCAGTGAGTCAAACTGAAGCAGACAAGAACCAACTTAACTACCAACAAATTGGATTTGTATAGCGCCTTTCACATCAGGAGGACATCCCAAACCTCTCAATGGTGATTCCTCCCGCTAGTCAACTCAAAGTGGGAATGGTGGCATTCAAGCCATTGTTTGACTACTGGATTTTATTTCATTTCCCAAAATATTTGCAGTGAGTAAATGCAAATAGATTGATCTGCATGACAAATATTGTCAGTTCAATATTGATCATGTGACAGAAGCAAACTTCATCCTGTTCATTCTTCTTCCCATTAAACGATTGCCTGAATTATAGCATTATACTTCACTCCCCTCCCCCCAACCTGTACTAAACCACATATCCAATCACAATGGTTTCTGTAGTTTAGCTTTATAGTTGTCTGACTGTACCACTATAGGAAACGAGGGCTTCAAAACTTAGATGTTTAAAAAAGGACATTTTTTTCAAAAAATGACTCATGACTCATGTTGTTATTACAATAAATGTTCCATCTTTCAAACTGACTTAACCAGTCAGTCACATTGTGGTAATAGACAAACAGACAAATGTGTGAAGTGGAAATATTGGTAGGAAAATGATCACATTATGCAAGAAACTAAGATAGTAGGCAGGTAGTCCCTTGGGACAGAAAGCTTGGACACTTGTGAGTGAAAGTGAATCACAAGACACAAAACATAGATTTTTCCAAACTTGGCACCATCTTAGATTTACAAAGTACACAATGGACAAAGTATACAGTCAACACAGAATTTATTTACAAATTTACATTGATCATTCTAATGTTCATGTCAGGTGAATTATTTTAAAGTACCAACTCTTATCTGGCCCGGTTGGTTTACTACTTTACATAGCAAAATGACAAAAGGCTTCATTTTCTGGTACGCATTAGAGCAAACAGTACACACATCAAGCCAAAATACGTGAACTCATTCAAAACCAAACTAATATCGTGTATTAGAGAAAACAACTGCTCAATATGTGTGTGCAAACTTCACAATCGCCATTCTCAGTTGATTGATGCTGAAAGGCATAAAGGGTTTCCGACAACTTTTAACTAATCAGCAGCAATAGATGTTGAAATTCTTAATCAACTCATTATAATCATATATTTAGAGTTTAAAGCACAGTTATCTTGGGCTACAATTTCTAAAAGTCTGTACTTAGGTAATTTCAGTGGACTGCTGTGGATACAATACTTTTCAGTATCGGTCTTTACAACATTATACCTGAACAAAATTATATCAATACAGTAATAATACTTGGATTTGAAATAGCGCCTCATCACGTTCTTGAGACTCCTCAAAGGGCTTCACAGGAATATATTGTAAAGTGGATTGACTGTATTTTGTGGACGGCAGCCAATTGGATTTAGTGCCCAAATTTAGCAGTAGCTTCAAGACTACGGTAGGAAGGTTGTACAGCTCTGTTTAATAATCAGCCTAGAAAGACATGACCAACACCTGTACTATAATTTGACATGCCCTATTTATTGCTATCAACTTTCATTCATGTAGCCCACCTTTCATAATCTCCAAAAAAAAGGTTAATTGATAAAATCATTAGGTATTTATGCACTTAACATACCTGATACCTAAAACTGCTCCATTTTGCAGCAGGGTGGATATTGAGACAAAACCCTGGATTTGATTTTAATAGGTCTGCAGTTTATATTTTAGTAAGTCTCTATTGTGTATTTTAATCCCAATCTTATTTTGATATTTAACCGTAACAAATTTAGTGAAAGAGAGAGGCAACATTTTTAACCATAATTTAACATGGGGTGTTACTTGACTTACTAAAGTACTGGTTTCTCCATTTTTAAAGTTAAGATTTACCTAATCTTACAAGAATATACAATTTAACTGGTAACCCAAAGCTATGCTTTCTTTCAAAGCTCTCCATAACCTAGGATTTTATATTAAACCAGACATGGGAGGTACTGCATTTGAGACCATTACTCTTTCAAAGCTTCCAAGAGCAGTTACTTGAATGTACAAGTCATACTGTCGCAATAAAAAAAATCTTAATCCTTATCTAATCTCAGTTAAAGTCTATACAGACCGTTAACTTCATGTGAAGTGATCTTTAGAAAAATTTGAGTCCCAAATAATAGCATATCATACAAGCCTTTTATTCAAAGCTTAAACTATGTAATTTGAGATACGTAATGATTAACTACCTCAAATAGATTTCTATATACAGGGCAAAAGCAGAAATATTTGCAGTTCAATCTCAAAAGCTCGTGGAATAGGGTTGATACAGTTTAACAAAGGTAGCAGGAATTAGTTTCCGATTCATTAAGATCAAAACTTTCCAAATAGGAGTGGGCATTTTGAAATGTAATGCCTTCCAATTTTGCACAATTTCTGAAAAATTGAAAACGACTTCAACTTCAGAATACATCCTGATTTGGAGCAATTTTCTTACAGATGTTCAACAAAAAACAGGACGCAGAGCAATATGAACCCATCCACCCACAATAAAAACAAGTTTGAGGAGGACTGAACTGCAGGCATTAAATAGAGATATTTTACATGCATACGTTAATTGAATACATTTTCTTAACATCTTGTTTTAAGAAAACTGCTAAACATAGTTTAAGGACAAAATTACAAGCAATATCTTAACTTTAGAGTCTATACATTGTTTACATCTCAACACTTGAATGCTGAGTAAAGGAACCTTGAAGTTTAATTAAATCAAAACGATGGACCCCAGTGGGCAATCGAGGTTCCACTGTATATTTGCAGTGTCAGTCTGATGATAAACGGAATGCAGATTATTTTTGAGGTACCACTGTGGTTTACAGGGTGAACTCTGTAAACACAATTTTACATTAGGCAAGATGTCCTTTCACATTTGTGTCCTTTACTGAACTGCAAACAATCTGCAAGTATTTACAATAGCGTGGATTCAAAATGAGCCTACTTTATTAAACATGATAATACAATTAACACTTTAAATGTATTTCACATTGTGGTTAAAGTTATTGCAATACTCTGGATCGAAGAGAAACTGTACAGAATCAAATCAAAACTTTTTAAATTGAAAAGTAATGGAAGGGCAAACTTTAACTTCAATACGAAAGACCTTATTAACATGGCAATTTAACAATTCACAGAAATTTTAAATACAATCCAGACATATGTGTAAGTGCAACCGCTCCTACTTGTATTTCCACTTTAATATAGTACCAGGAGTTGACAGGCCCTATTCCAAACTTCACAGAAACGCATTGTTTTTAGGATTTAGAATCAATTTTACTTTGTAGTGTTGCACAACAATGCTCCAACAGTGTTGAAATACTTAACTGTATAGCATTTAAGAATTTGAATGAAATTCCAGATTTTTTTGGGGATCAGCTGAGTGTCTGACACATGCGGAAACCCATCACCGTTGTTTAAGAGTATCCAAACCAAACTGAGATTTCCATGCATCCCACCTACACGTGAAAATCCCAGAGACAGTTTTATGTTTGATCTTAATCTGCTGATTTTGAAACCATTCCAACTGTATGTATGTAGTATTAGCAACAAATTAACAGATAGAGACATGACTTGTCGGCTGAGGAAGCACAAGTGTTCTGAATTATTCAAATTAAAAACCAGAAGAGCTGTGGGCCGTACTGAAAGTCTAACACAGCCGAGTTACACTTGCTTCTCGAGCGGTTAATAAATTAATAACTAGAGACATTGTTCTGGCAAGTATTTATATGCACACAATAAACCGAAAAAATACTATCACTTGGTGCACTGCAAGGTTTTTTTTTGTAAATTATATGGCTCCAAAAAAGATGGAACTATTTTCAATGTGGTCTTTCTCGTTCTTTCAATGCAGTTTGCCCTCCACATTATCTTTAGGATATACCCATCTTCTAACCAGATGAGACATTTTTTTCCGGGGTTTAAAGGCATCAGGAACTGTTATACCCTGATGTTATTGTGAAAATCATGTTCTTCCACCAATCCCATATTCATAAAAACTGCATCTAACCAGACCATAACAAAGGCTTGTTCAAATTAGGTTAAAATAGGAAAGTGTAAGGTGAATCTCTCAAAGTGTGGTATAAAAATGTATTAGTGCAACTTTTAATAGGCAAAATACACTTTTTATACCGAATGCGATGACATTGGGATGAAACAAAATCGACTTTGGCTACTTTGAGCAGGTGTTTTATGCAGTACAAATTTGGGAATGATCGTGCAATTTTCACATGACTTCACATCAGGAGTATAATCTCTAGAGCAAAGCATTACTTGGTGATTTGTGCTCCAGTTGCTCCATGGATCTATCTCAAGGTATGTGGAGGATAAACAAATGAAGAATCATAGTTCTCTCAAAGAATCATTTAACTTCAGATCTCAAAATAAGAGTTAACGGCATACAAGACGATTGTTAGCAAGTTATAGCACTGACGAGGCAGATTTGAACCCCGACTTGCTTTTGTGAGAGTATGCAAGCAATCATTAATTTCAGTCATTCCAACAGCACTGTGCTTGGAATGCGGCCGATTAATTCAGGATGTTAAGGTCATTGAAACAGTAAGAGGTGAATTGCTTATTCATTCAGGCAGTTTCAAGGCCAGGACTTCAGGCTTCATTTTGAAATACTGTTTGAGCCGTACAATTGCATATCTGGGAAAAGAGTACAATAGAAAATGATTATTATTCCATCCTCTAAGAATTGTGTTCCGATAATAATGAAAAAGTCCAATTTAATACAATATTGTTAGCATGGACACAGTTTTTTGAGTTACGGCAACTAAAAATATGGGTTTCCATAGGGTGAGTAGAAATTTGTAGATTAGCTATTAAGCAGTTCAGAAGGAACAACTATCCCAAACATTAAGGTATAACTGATCGATAGATGGAACTTGTTCCCCCCTTCATTCAGTATATAATAATCCTTGCATTTAATATAGAGGCTTTCACATTGGGAGGACATCTCAAAGTAGTGCACAAGATATACGGCAAAGTATGGTGCAGTATAGTATTTTTGTAGGTGAAATGAAAATAATAATAATTATTATTAAAAACTGTCCAGGTAGACTGAGAATTGCCACTGTTTCGACACTGAGGCAAGCAATTCTATTTTACAGATTTCAGGTCCTACATTGGATTTTTTTTGCTTAATATTTTAATACAGAAATGGATTTGCCTAGGACTCAACTCTGGACTCCTGTAGGTCAAAACAATTAACTTTTATCATCCTCTATACTTCGGCCTGGTGCATCCAAATCGCTATTTGTTAGTTTAGCCCGGTTAGAACTCATAACCCGCTTTTTTTAATATAACCTGAACCTTGAGAGATATAATAATAAAAATCCTTGCATTTGATATAGCGCTTTTTAGGTCTTCTCGACGTCTCAAAGCGCTTCACAGAATATGCTGTAATGTGAATTGACTGTATATTTGGTGGGTGAATCGCGAGAGCTAATTGCGCACAGCAGTGTCCCACAAACAGTCGTGTCCAAATTGAGTGACCAAATTATTATTATTATTATTTTGGGGGGGAACATTATCGCCGCAAAGTGATGCGCCGATCGACTAACAACCGGGTTCCTACTTACTGCTAGGTAAACAGAGGCGTGTGGAGTAAGGAAACTCGCCCTGCCAGGAATCAAATCCAGGTCTCTCGCTTGCAAGGCGAGTGCTTTAACTAATCAAAGAGCTACAGGACTCCACATAATATAAAGCACAAGTACAGAGAACACTCAAAGCAGTGCCTAAAATTTCAAAAATAGGATTGCTTGCCTCAGGGTAAGGAGATCGAACCTAACTGCAGAGGGGAGACACCTGCTGGTGTTCCTAAATGCTTTCACACTGGCGTGTAATAAAAGTGTAACGGAAGAAGATAAATATTCTGTACATAAACAGCATAGGAAGAGAAAAACCATATGGTACCACATTATCACTAAAGTTTTAGGCAATTTCTCTTCCTTTCACTCAGATCTTAGCTCGATTTCCTATGTAACGTAAACAAAGGAGCCAAAGCATTTCAGGTACAAGAACTTAACGTTACCAATAAATCTCTCTTGTTTAGATTGGAGGAAAAATAATTATTTAGTCTTCATGTCTCCCTAAATTTATTAGCTCATTAATGAATAATTATGAATAGCAGTAAAAAAAAGCGAATTGAAAATAATTCCATCAAAATCACTATTAATTTTCGTTTTTTTTTTGCTAAACACCAAATTTATGGCTGATACAGAAACGGCAAAAGAGAAGAGCAGACATTATGTAGAAAAAAAGTGCATCAGTAATTTATCCTTGACACACTTCATTAGCATGTTTAAAATTAGTGCTTCCCTCCAGCATTCCTCTATATTTCACACACTTCCTATGCATGTCAATATGCTCGAGTAACTTGATTGCCTTCTGCAACTACACTTTGAAGCAATTCTGGAAATCTGTCATTTCTACAGTGATAATTCATTCATTTAAAACTTAAGTTAAAAAATGCGGTGCCCCACTACACAAGAAACTAAAATTAAAAGTTAAAATTGACATCTGCAACCTGGCTCTAAACTACATTAATACCCGCGTGTTCTATGGCATTGACAAAAAGTCACATCCATCACAAAATCTGCTTAAGACCACATAATGCAGCTCTAGGTATTATAGTCAGAGGTTCAATGTACTAGTTTAGACTTTATGAATTGTAATTGGGTATCAAGAGCAAGTCCAAGGGCAAAGTCATTTGCTAAAGGAAAGGAAGAGATTTTTTGTGGAGTAAGATGAAAACGCTAGAGATATTGAGGCGGTGGGTGTTCTGAAGGACGAGATAGGCTCAAGCGCCTTCCTCATTTAAACTAATCTTAAGTAATGTTCAGGCCATCTTACACCTCTTCCCTTCTTGCAGTTCGCCCTCACCAGCTGAATTTTCTTAAAGGATTATTGAGAATGGTTGAGGTGAGGACAAAGGGGATTAATTTTTCCACCCTCTCTCTAAGGGTTACTAACCCATCAACACGCCTCAACTAGAAGATACAGTTTCACCTCAAGACAACCCACAAATTATTGGACAGCCTGTGGTAACCTAACCAGCCTTTAACTGTAATAGTTGGATCTTTCAAATGTCTGCCCTTCATTACACTCTTTACAGAACAACCATTGAAGCATTTCAGGTAACCATATTCTACTCTTCATTCATTATATCTTTGAATCCGTTCACAGTACAATATCTAGACCAGTGTTGAGGTCAGAACTCAAATTCGCGTTGCTGTTGCTCATTCTATAATGCCTGCTTAGAGTGTCTTTGGGAGAAACCAGGAGGGAATACGCTTTTTTTGAGGGGGGGGGAGTGGGGAGGATAAAGGAGATATTAAGATCACTATAAAATGAAAAGGTTTCAAATGCTTTAAACGTAACTACTCTAAATGCTACTGTGCCATCTTGTGGTCACAAGAGAGAACATGACTGTTAAAGAGTCAAAATAAGAAACTTTAGACAAACAAATTAGAGTAGACAAAATGTTCGAGTCATATTTGAACAGAATATGAATGAGTGTTAGATACTTATTTCAAAAATGCACTGTTATCCTTCTATCTACTAAAAGTATCAATAGCATCAGGTGTTAATCTCAAATACGCTGGAATTATCTGCTCATATCTAGTTCAAGAGATCATACAGGAAGTTAACTGGAACTTAATTAAATGTAATATATGTAAGCAACAGAAACGTAGCTGTTGTCACAATCTTTAATTTAACAGCAGTTTACGTCCCTTAAAAGATTAGCATTCACCTTATCGGGATGGAGGGAGTGGGAGAGATGCCAAGTTAGCGGACTGATTGTAATGTAGATATTTTAACGTGTTAATATTTTACTAAAATCTGCTGGGGGGATAGAGATCTCCATTTTCTTATAAAGAAACGGGTTTTATTTGTTTGAATGACCTTGTAAAGCTAAAACACTTCAGTTTGTATAACATTCAAAAAATGATGGATATCTTCCACAAGACAGAATCAATCAAGCGGTTTAATCTTTTAGCCAAATCTAAAGTCAGTGTTCCATATTAACAGTCCTAAGATTTTAAAACAAAATTTTAAAGCTTACCCCAAAAAGTCAAAATCAATTGTTGAATATTTTGTCTGGATTAGTGCCCATAGTGCCCAAAAGAAATGGGAAGCCTGAAAAACAAAGCAAAGTTACTTCATTTGTTAAGGAGATGAACTGCCATTGGTAAGGACTTGTTATAATTAGTCACAATCAACTGCATAATAATCCTCGCATTTGATATAGTGCCATAACACGTCATTGAGACGTCTCAAAGCGCTTCACAGAATATACTGTTAAGTGAATTGACTGGATTTTTGGGTGAAACTTGGCAGTTAATTAGGCACAGCAATGTCCCACAAACAGTCGTGGACTGAGTGATCGACTTATTTTTTTTGAAGGATTATCCCTGGGAAAGCAACCCGACAATCAACTAACAACAGAGTTCCTCCAGCTTGCGAGGCGAGTGCTCAAACCACTAGCCACAGGACGCCATATAATCAAATGGGTCTTTTTCATCCACCTTTGTAGAGCTTTTTGTGTAATTGCAAAAATAACCAAGTATAACACACGATGACTGATCTAATTTTCATTGCAAACTTACAAGCTGAACTGGTGCATGTTGGTATTTATACTCCACAAGACCCCGCCCCGCCAACCTCCTCAGATATCCCACTTGTATGCAATTATACATACATGTAATGTCTAGGATAATAATAATCCTTGCATTTGATTATAGCGCTTTTCACATCTTCTAGACAACTCAAAGCACTTCACACAATATACTGTAAAGTGAATTGACTGTATATTGTGGGCAAACACAGCAGCCAGTCGTGCACAATAGAGACCCACAAAGTCATGGAATGAGTGACCAAATTATTATTGTTTGTTATTTTTCTTGAGGTATTATTATTAGGCGTGTGGAGTAAGGAAACTTACCCAAGGTTTCACCCTGCTGGGAATCGAACCCAGGTTTCTCACTTGTGAGGCGAATGCTCTAACCACTGAGCTACAGGACTCCACAGATGTACAATATAGAATAGGAGATCTTGAATAAATTGCATATCTGTAGGAATATGATATTTGGTTGCTCTTCAGCAAGATCACTTACCAATGAAAAAAAGTTAACCTGAATGTAGAGTACTTCAATTTCCTTCTCAGTTATATCCGTACAAAAACTTTTGTACTCTTTGAGTGCCTCAAGATAGGTTCTCAACCATTCCATCTGTACAGTTTTATCTGGATATAAACTGTAGTTTACTTCATTTAAACCTAATTGGGAGGAATAGGGGGGGGGGAAAGAGAACTTATGAAAGATATACACTATATGTAAGTTCTGACAAATATATTACATTAAACGTATGACGAAGTCAAAATCCAAAACAATTTAAAGGACTTGCCTGCAAATTCATTGAAATGGTTCCCAATGTCAAATGCCTGATAGTTGTAACTTGCATATTCGTAATCAATGAACTTCACATGACCTATTTAGGTACAAATAGAATGATAATAGAATCAAAACGGGAACCACAACATTAGATGAACAGGCAAACTCCGAGACATCCTCTACAAAAGCAGCATCCAGAAGCCCCACTCCAGCCCACCCCCACCCCACCCACGCAATGTGATGATATATACAGTATTGTTAGTGAAATGAACCTCATTAAAAATAGAAGAACTCGGTCTTTAGAACCTTACAATTTAGTTTCTTACACAATCAGTTGATTTTTTTTTAGTAGTTATGGTGCATCCAGCATCTTACAGCACAGTGATATATAGATGTCATTTTATGTCCATTAGTTCCTGACCTCAACTGCACCATCAGACTTCAATGCCAAATAAAGGTAGATGGCCACCCCGCCTTCTAGGTAAGTAGCCACCCAGATTATTCTTGGATTCACCAGGGTCTGGTGTGGACTCTATCTAAAGTGGTATTTTCACAAGCCTGGATGATGATTTTCCTCTTTGAAAGTCTTTTTTTCCAGGAGATGGAAAGAAGAGGGCAGTCAAAGGAACCACACAAAAAAAAAAAATTAATCTTAAAACTTCACAGAAAAGTTTTGATGCCTGCAAAATGTCTACTCCACATGCGTAGAGTCCTGTAGCTTAGTGGTCAGAGCACTCGCCTCGCAAGTGAGAGGACCTGGGTTTGATTCCCGGACAAGGCGAAACATTGGGCAAGTTTCCTTATATCACGTGGCTTTGTTCACCTAGCAGTAAGTAGGAACCCGGTTGTTAGTCGATTGGTGGATCATTTTTCTGGGGTAAGGAACCCTTAAAAAAATGTTCACTTAATCCACCACTGTTTGTGGGACGCTGCTGTGCACAATTGGCTGCCGCGTTTCGCCCACGAAACAATTCACTTTACAGTATATCCTGTGAAGCGCTTTGAGACGTCTAGAAGACGTAATAATATCAAAATGCAAGGATTATTATTATTTGTTATACCCAATAAGGAAGCAAAAGCCTTGATCAATTTATTTTACTAAATTTTAGCAGTCAAGATGGAAACAATGTAATTTTGGGGAACAGGACATTTTCTACTTTGGCCATCTAATGACAACATCAGCATTACAAGGTCAGGAAATATTATATAAAATTAGAATCTATAAAATATGAAATAAAATATTGTAGCCAGATGATGTGAGCAATACAGTCTCCCTGAACTTCAATCCAACATCAGAACTTTCGCCAACAGCGTTTCACCAGTGAAATATTTCCCATTTCTTAAACCTTAGGGGCCTCTCTGAGACCTTCATGATTCAGTCAAAGTTTTATTTTGAAGAGGAAAGGAATACACTGACCCACTGCTTCATCCAGCCTAAACAGCCCGACTACATTCTTGGCTTGGGAAGCATTCAATCCTCAATTTACTAGACAAGCGGGAATTGCATGCAAATTTTATACCAAAGTACTTTATACTACATACACACTTAACTATATACAGTCGTTAACTCATAATAGATCGTACAAAATGTGTTAACGGAGGTTAATTGATGCAGNTTTTTTTATTAGTGAGGAAGCCATAAAGAAAGTGCTTCTATCAGAGGCTATTATTACAGTAAGTTGGCTACTACATGACATTTCAAATCCAATTCATAAGCCTGGCATGTTTTCCAATAGGTAATTCATTTTTATTACTACACCAATGCTCCATGGGTGCTTTTTTTTTGCTGCTTCTTACGTAATAGTTGTTTGCTTAAAAAAATTAAAAAGCCCTACAAATTACTTCAATATCACTCAACATACAGATGATTTTGATAAAACATTGGCTTCATTAAAGGGAAGGCTTGGAAAACAAAAACAGCCCAACCTTTTACAAAGTAGTGAGCTGCAGTAATTTACTCACCAAGTCTTCTGGTTTGTAACCATAGGTGTATGATTACATGTTTCACTACTTAGGCAACTCTATTCTTCCCACTGCATTCCAACCTGGATAGATTTACAGACCATATCTAGTTTTTTTTAAAAAAGACAATTGCTGAAAGGAACTTTGTGATGAGCAAAGATACCATGCAGTTTGATTTTTAATATTACATGCCATTTCTCAAGTTATATTAAAAACAGCCTATACCTACATCTCCTCCCCCTTTTTGGCATTCTTAACATTTTGAGTACCTTCCAAAAACTGTGAACCCCAAAAGAAAGTAGTATGCATGGACGTGTATATTTTAAATTCCACCTTATGTACAGCAGAAGTTGTAAAAGGAATGCACATGTTGAAGACTCCAGCATCAAAATGCTCATCAGCTTGTAGCTCATGAGACTTGATGTCAAAACTCTCCCTGTCTAACAAGTACTTCATTATCCTGTCTGGGTTTTGAAGATTTTGAAGAATTGGGTAACACTCAAACGATGAAAAGTTGTTTCTTTCATTATATAAAACCTAAACTGAATACTGCCTTTAGAAGTGCCAACAAAAAAAAAAGGAAACAGGGTTTGGGGACACAAAATTGTGAGTGTTAAATATGTAATTCCTTTAAAACATTTGCATTTGAAATAAAATTCTATAAAAGTAAATTAGTATAACTTTAGAAAGCAGTCTGCATTATTCTACAAGTTTGTTACCACACGCTCCAGGCACCTTCTGGCACCTAATGCCTAAATGGCCATTTATGTATAAGCCTCGACAAACTATCAATAAACTACAGTATATGACTACAAGGGGCACCAAAGCTGAATTTGATCCTGTCACACATCCACCACCAAGCAAAGGTTAGCAATCAGCAGGAACCTTGGCTGTAGACATCTCTCTTTAACCTAGGGCGTTAATATCATTTGGAGTGAGTACCCTCAGTATAGGTGAAGGATCAAACCCTGGAACCTTCCCAGTCTGTATGGTTCAGCACTCAATGAGTATCAGAGGAACACTTTATTCCATACATGATGCAGAGATGGAATTAATGTTTTTTGATTCAAAACAACTCAGCCATTATTTATTTCTTCCAATTTCCTCCATCCGTAAAGGTGCTGACACAAAGCCCTTGACAAAGCCACTTTCTCATGTATAGTGTTTTTTTTTTTAAAAATTCAGAAACATCTTGGTGAGTAAAGAAATGACATCTCAATTTCTGAAGAGATTGGATTTCTCCTTTAATTTCAAATTTGTGCACGTTACCAATCCTAATGTACCTTTCTTTACCTTGGAAAATGCATACGGAACATTAAGAAATTCTGCATTTTAGCTCAAATCTACTTATAATAAAAAAATAATACTTTTTGTCAGAACTCAAATATATATTTAATATGCAAACTCGCAAATATGACTAATGTGTTTGATTTAAAAAGACCCAAGCCCAAAATGAATCTTTGCTTCAAAATACTATCAATTCAATCACAGACCATTTGGTTTCAATCGGCTAATCATTTTAGTATTCTGCAGTATATTTATAAAAAAAAACTAAATTGTGAAATACTTGTCCCTCTTTAATTTGATAAGACGATCTGCATAATTTACTTGCAAACTTTGTATGTTTAGTTACAATTCTGTATGCAAGTTACAATTTTCAAAAACTGGTGAGTTATAAGAACAAATACGATTGTATCACCTTAGAGTTAAGTGTAAACAAGGGTGTTTTTCAACTGCAATAGTCAAAATATCCAGATAATTAATCTTTAAGTTAAACTTGAAATATATTTTGGTCTTTCATCTAGGCTGATGTTTTCAAATAAGCAACAAATGTTTTTTTGAAAACAAGACAGACATACAGACATAACACTTAAGACCATACAATGTATTGAAGCTTACAAGATACCAACTGACTGTTACCAGACTGAGCGCACTCCAATGGGGAGATTGATGTGAACAAGCGATGCGATAAACTCCAGCCAGTGCACTAAAGCAGCACGACGTACACACCGTAATGGTAAACCTAATGTATGGTAGATGAAGAAAGTTTGGCAAACTAGAGAAGTCAAAGACAACATTTACTTTCAAGTTGTAGCAGAGTGCTTTGATACTCCAATGCGGTGCGTCACTGAACTGCCATCTTCAATACACATTACTTTATATATACAGTAGAATCATCGAAGTCAATGTCTATTAAAAATACAGCACATGCAGAGAACATTGTTTTCTTTCATCCATCTATTTTCCTTTAGCTTTGAAGAACTGGATGATCTTTACTGTTGCTTCACAAACTCAAACAAGTGTATAGCAAAAAGATTTCCTCTAGCAACACAGCAAATAGCTATCACATTGAACATTTGTATCTCAATAGCGACTTTCAAGTCAGAAGGACGTCTCAAACTACATCACGCAACTGCCAGTAACCTGAACCGGGGCGGGGGGGTGGTGGGGGAGAAAGTGCCAGAACAGAGGGTTGCTGAAGTAGAATAGGGTAAGCCGTTTAAAAGCCAGGATAGGAATCCCGAATTTGATCTGTTGGGGTGGGGAACCAAATGAGGTCAAGATACAAAAATAATACAATTTAGATTTATATAGTTTTTTTTTTGTCAGGAAGATGTCTCAAAGCACTCAACACAGCTGCTGGGCAACCAGGCTGCGATGGGAGCCAAAGGGGAAAGATGACCAAAAACACATTGAATATCTTGAGGCAGGAGGATTCCGACTAAAATAGCTGAGCCAGGAGGTGACGGAGGCAAAAAAGGCATGTCTCTCAACTGGGCATAATACCATTTGAATTTAATCTGATATTGGGAGTGAAACAAAAGCTGCAATGTGGGGAGTCCAGTCATCAAATACACAAGCTTTCTAGGTACATCATTCCTGCACTGCATCAATATTAATATTCCATTGCAAACACTTCCACCTACAGCTAAATATAACATTCTCATAAATGATAATCCCACTTGTTTCTTTTCCTGATCATTACATTACATTTTAAGATTTAAGGTATACTAATTGCAACGCTCATTATTTTGGGGCAAAAACATTTTTTTTTAAAAAAAAAATTAATTATTTACTAAGATGAAAATCAACTGAACATACTGTTCTACTAATCCACTTGTAACTAAAACATTAACAAAATAAAAATTCTGGTCTATTCTGGACTCCTCTGTACTTACATAAAACATTTAAATTAAATATGCCTGATACATTCTTCCAATCCTTTTAAAAAAAACTTTACACAATACTTAAAAAGTATTTTTTATCTACATGTTAAGAATTGGAAGCTGTTACAAACTGCTGACTTTAAAGTCAAGTTGATGCCAGTCAGTTGGAATGTGGTTAACAGCTAGAATTTTAACAAACCCCTTATTCTTAGTTTTTTTTAAAAAGGAAATGAGCAAAATCTGGGTCAGAAAAGTAGTTCCTACCCAGGAATCCAAGCTAACAGGCTTCAACTGTACTGCTTACAAAATATATTCAAAAGAAACATTAAACATGTCTAACTGAAAATCACCCCCAAATTATTATTTGGAAGTTTACCTTCTTTTTCATTGTAGATAATATTTTTACACAACAAGTCATTGTGACAAAGCACTACCGGTGAGCCAAGAGAAGAGAGACATTTCTTCATCCAAGCTAGCTCTTGTTCTAACTCCCAACGGCCTGGGATTTCCATTTGAAACCTGCAAGAACGGGTTTCAGGTTAGCCATGTAAAGCAATGAGTTACATTTTCATGTGCTGCAAGTTCATATTTTATATCGACAACAAAACCCAAACTATTCTCGATTGTTCTATCTTTGGCATTTAGTGCACACACCCAATTCAACTGCAGAAAATGGAGAAATGTACCCTTCCCCCATCAATAATTGACCAGGTTTGTAAAATAATATGTGACTAACTTTTATGTGACTTTCATTGTCTAGCTGGTTAGTTTGGTGTGACAAATATGATCGTGAAGGGTTAAGTATACTCTAGACACATTTTGAAAGGAGAAGTAGTTACAATCTTTCCCTCCATTCAATTATTTGTTAAAATATGACATTCAATTATTTGATAAAATATGACATTCAATTATTTGTTAAAATTCTAGATTAACAAAGAAACAACAATATGCTACAAGCCGATTACATTACTACACAATGGTTCAGGAATTTCGTTCCGTCTTCCTACTTCATTCACCAAACAAAATGGATGTTAATTGTTCAGTGCAATGCAAAATAGTGCATTACGCTAAATGATACGCAAAAAAATTATACTTGCATTTGATATAGCGCCTTATCATGTCTTCGAGATGTCTCAAAGTGTTTTTTCACAGGATATACCGTCAAGTGCATTGACTGTATATTTTGTGGGCGAAACACGGCAGCCAACTGCACACAGCAGTGTCCCACAAACAGTCGTGGATTGAATGACCAAATTATTTTTATGGAGACATTATTACCCCCAGAAAAGCGATCCGCCAATTGACTAACAACCAGGTTCCCACTTACTACTAGGTAAACCGAGGCATGTGTGTGGAGTAAGGAAACGTGCCCAATGTTTCGCCCTGCTCGGGAATCAAACCCAGGTCCTCTCCTTGTGAGGTGAATGTTCTAACCACTAAGCTACAGGACTCTACTAGGAGGAACCGCTTCACACAGAGGGGAGAGATTGTGGAAGTTGCTGCCTGAAGCAATGGTTGAATCAGATAGTGTAGATGCATTCAAGAGAAAGCTAGAATGTAACCATACCTTGCATTTGCATGGACATCTGTTAACTCTGTGGGAACAAGGGCAAAATATTTTTCCAGTTTCAACCATAAATTTGGTTTCGGAAGCCAACCATTATGTGCATGAATTGAATGGATCTTCGCCAGCTGTCTTGCTATGAGTCTGTGTGAAAAAAATAAAAAGCAGTTCAAAATAAATCTGAATTTGGTCATTCCAGATCTTGCATTCTAATGTAATGCATAGATAACTCTCCAAGCATTAACGGTACTATTTGTTTTGTTAAATCACTTGAATGTGGTCATTATCAACATTAACTGGTTAGAAAGGTCTAAGCAAAACAGTTGATACGGCCTTATCAACTGACATCACAATTATTGTCGTGTTGAGGGTAAATTTTTCAACGGACTCGTTTTTAAAATTCAATATATTTGAGTACAGATTAGTGTTCCTCAAAATAAGAGCCTCTTTTTCTTGGTATATATTAATGACCTGGATTCAGAGACGCAGTGCAAGATTGTTAAATTTATTTACAGTACAGGTGGGGGCGGGGATAAGGGTGTAGGGTTAGAGGGTGCAGCAAGTCTTGCAAAGAGAACTTGGTAGGATTCGCACATGATACCAGATAAATGATGTTCAATGAGGACACATGTGCTAGATTCTAGATGCAGAAAGCAACAAGAGAATGCTCATGGAGTCCATAAACAACAATAGAAACTGAAAGGGACCTAGGAGTGGTAGTTGACTCATCGCTTACCACGTCAAAACAGTGAGTTAACAATAAAAAAATGCAAATAAGATCCTAGCCTACATTTATTCTAACTAATAATTCAGTCTTCAGACAAAAAACAAAATTTGCAATTTCAGCAAGGTATTTTAGGTTTTCTCTTATTCTGAAAATAGCAAGTTAGACTGAGGTACAGCTCTATAGGCAGTACAACAATAACTTGCAGTAGAAAAGGCAAAAGCGGCTAGTGAGAACTGGTGAAATTAGCATTTAAAGCCTTTAATTGACATAGGAAGCCAAGGAAATCGATCATTTTGCTCAGCGTGAGCTTTGATATTCACGGATGTATTTTGAGCAGATTTTAAAGCCTTGACCTGCTCAATGTCCATTTTGAAGTCTATATATGGAAACTGTATTTCCTCCAAGTGTAGCTGCCATTTCACTATCCAAGCAGAGGAATGTAAGTGAGGTAAGCAAGCCCATAAGTAAAGGACTTACCAAATAAGACTATTACCGGGTTCAAACTGTCCTGGTATAGAACGTGAGGATGTCCTCGGTGGCCTAAACCACACTGTGGTTCTGAAGGTCACTGCAGTTGCGACCTTCCATTCAACAGACTCCTTTTGGGGATTTAAATTGGTGCCAGTTATCATTGAGCAAGTGACAAATTTCTACGTCATTGCAGGTGTCCCAAGGGTGTTCGAAATTGTGGCATTGATGGCTTCATCCTTAAACCAAAAGTGAAGGGATTAAACTCCAACAATGTGCAGTTGTTGAGTCATATCAATAAATCTTCAATGTCCTTTGTACTGCACATTTGCGACCTTCAGGAAAAACCAAAGGCTCAAAGGATGGCTCCAGGAAGGTTGAAGATATATGGCTGCAATTTGCTAGCTACTTACTCTTATAAGGAATAATTAGACTGCCGCACAAAGGAGGTACAGTAAAGAACACAAGTCAACAAGATCACTATCGAGCATGCAATCGGTTGAAGCATTTTAGATGCTTAGACAGAGTGTGGCATGGCCATGCAACCTGGCAAAGTCTCCGAGACTGTATGGGTGCATTGTATCCGGCACAGCATGGCTATGAGGAAATCAACCTGGATATTGATGAAACCCTGTTTATTTCCTGCAAATGGTGAGGAATGATTATGCCATTATCACAACTCACTGTAGTTCACTTTCACCCAAGGGCAGATCACTGCACACCTACAAAATTCCTGAAGTACTCTCTAAAACCGACCACAATTGACTCCCATGATTTTCAAAGCAAGCACTGATGGCCCTTGTGAATTTGGGTCTTACTTTGAAAGACAGTAAACTGTGAGAGTCAATTTGAGACTCGCCAAGTGCTAAGTCTCTCAGTAACAAAATATTCCACTGCACTGTCCTCCCATTTAATCTGCTGAAATGGATTTTAAATCCCTCCCAGCAGTACCACGACATTTATATTTCCCACTCCAAAATTGAAGTAGTCATATCTAAGCTGTTATGCATAAACTGATCTCTGCTAACAGGTAACAAGCATCAGTCTCTTTTTTAAAATGTTGTAGCTTGGCCAGCTCTTCAGTGACAACACAAATGTTTTCTTAAAATATTCCTGCATGCCCAGTAGTTTATAAAGGGCCAGACTATTAATGGAAACTAAATTGATTTACATCCCTTTCATCTATCCTGCAGCAGTGCTGAAAGATTTCTTGTCTAAATCACTTTGTCAAGGAGATTTTGGTTGATTAACTCCAACAGAAATTTCTTTGTGATCACATACCAGGCATTTATATTCTACTAGTTGCTTCAATTTAACACCAAAAACACAGTGTAATTAGGGCTTTACACAAGTGCATGACAAAGACTGATGATGGTTTATGGAAGTGCCCAAGCATCATGTCTATCCTCGTGATTGAAGCCACAACAGTTTACATATACTTCTGTTGTTCTAACACTTGACCTTGAAGGCCAGTCCACAAACTTGCACATTTTTCCATCTATCCTTTGCGACAAGTGATCCATTACCAATATCCTCCGTTGGCTACTTGTTTTTACTCTTATCCAGAAGAATACAACAAAGCACCATGCTGGAGGAGGTGACAAAATTGGTGATTGAGAGGCTGAGGTTTCTGTGCTGATGCCTGGAAATATGGTGATGGGTGCAAGCTGTATGTATAGTGAAGGTAAACAAAACACAAAATACTGCAGATGCTGGAATCTGAAACAAAAAAACAGAGACAACTGGAAAAACTCAGCAGGTCAGGCAGCATCTACGGAGAAAGGAAAGTGAGTCAACGTTTCGGGGACTTTCCTTTCTCCATAGATGCTACCTGACCTGCTGAGTTTTCCCAGCTCTCTCTGTTTTTGTAAAGTGAAGGTGCTGCCTGCGCTTTTCCCCCATGTGATCCAGGTTCATCTGTGAAGCAAAATGAGAAGATATACTAACAGTGTATAGAACACCATTTATACCCCTCATCCTCATACTGATCTATGTATGCGCTCTAGTGGGCAAACATCTTAACGCACATAATGTACCACAGTATGCACTATCAGAAATAGTTTATAACAATACACTGACATCAAATATGTATAAATTATATATATGTATCTACATATGTATACTAAACAATAACAACAACAAATTACGTTTGTATCACGCCTTTCACGTCAGGAGGACGTCTCAAGGTGCTGGACAGTCAGGGATCCGCCCAAACAAATGGACACACACACACACATACTATGCTGCCCATGCCACCTTCTAGAATCCCCTCCAGACTTTCCACAGCTATATGACAGTTTTACACTTTGCAGCTGTTGTTCACACCAAGGAATGTTATTTGTGATCTCTTGCCAGCAGTGCCAAGTTGTAGACACTGCATTAATACAGTTAGCTATCTCTTCCTAGGCCTTCTTTACAACATGCAGATTAAGGGGCTGAGTGCCAATACTGAAATACTACCCTCCTCCGCATCACATCCTCTAAAGTTAATACAGCCATTCTCAAAGTATTTCCCTCACATGCTTTCAGATGCACAGGAAATTAATGTGCATGCTCAGGACTACAAAAGTCAAGCTGAAGGCTGAAACCCTAAGCATGTCTTTACACATTGGGTAATTAACAGTTGCAATAGCTTACTAGTAAGAGTGGTTGCATACAGGACACCTCGTCTATAAAATAACATGACACGAATCATAATGAAGATGAGAGTGCAACAGAATTGTGTTGATTTCAAATCAGAAAGCTGCACGTTCAAATGAGAGGTCAGTTGTTTGAGTATCTAGAACAGTGGTTCTCAGTGCTGGCTGCAATGTGACATTTCATAATCTGTGTTACTTCCACCCCTTCTTGAGCCAGCTGGCATATGGGGAAAGACGGAAAGGGAGGGAGAGAGCACACACACACACTTCCTTGGAGGAACCATTTAAAATTCAAGATGTAAAAAGTAAAATGCAGTCGAGCACCTTGAGAACAAGCTATAAAAATAGCATTGTACTTCAAATGTACTAAGGCTACCATAGTGAAACATCACACTGAACAATTATACAAACGTTCTACAAGTGGACACGATTACATAGTCAAACTGCTCAAGGTTAAGAATTCTTATTCCTCTTCAGTCCTTTCCCAAAAGTATAAAATTCCTCTTGCCTTTTGAAATTTACAGAATGGTCAAAAATTCACAACTGAAGTTAAATATAAAATTGATGTACATGCATCTTTAGAGGAACCAGCCATCAATAGCATTGTTCAAATACTTAATATTGTGGAAAAGGGGGCACGATTTAAAATAAGTACCTGAAAATTGACGGGCTTCTGACATCTTCCGGATCTAGTGCAGTTCCTTCCACAAATTCATAGCACAGCCCATTCTGAAAGGTGCAGTACAGCCGAGGTGCACAACCATAAGTATGAAAGACACGAAAACTCTTCACCTCATTTTCCCGATCTACAAGCAGCTCGGTTTTGTTGCCATATACCCTCACCAAGACAACATCTTCAAATGAATCCCCAACGTAACAACCGACAAGCTTGTTTGTAATACCATCTGTGAAGAGCTGACAATGCAAAAGATTTAGAATAATATTGTTTATAACGCTTTAAAAAAATTAAATGGAAAAAATGTATTTAGTTTATACGGTAATCTCAACTAAGCAATTCATTCAATCATAGGCACAGTATGGATTTAACGATTTGCTGCATTAAAGCACACATTCTGGTGATTCCAACGTTCAACAAAGAAAGTAATCTGTTCAAGATTAGCTGGAGTATCAGCAAGTCTGTCAGACGCTAACTCCTACTCATGTTTTGTTCATAGACTAACAAAAGCTCATTTGTACTTTATTCCCAAATCTTGAAGACTAGTTACAATGATTATTACTTTCTAGATTACCTGAAATATGAAATGTTATGTTGGAAGCCAGGCATTTTCCAACTCAACAAATCCTACAGGATTAATTTGTGGCTTGAGTCCCGTGTTATTGAAAAGATATCTAGAAATTGTATAGTTTTGAAATTCAATCAAACCAGACCACTTAACATTCAGCTAAATCACACACACACTTGCCAAAACACATCACAATAAACAGCATCTCATTTAGGTTTTTCAGAAAACAATAGATTATTGTCAAATGAGCAAGAATGCATGAGAACAGAAAGCTATTACTGTACTTTAACCATTCTCACTCCTGTGACTTAAAATGGAGGGCTTTGTGCTCATAATTCTTTTAAAGTTCAATCTTTTTTCCTCATACTATTTTGTTATCCAATTCCCAACCATCTTCTTGATAATGGGATAATGTCAGACTTTCAGATAGATACTTGCATAATTAACATACAATTTGAATTATTTTAATCTGTGCCATAAATAGTGGTAGCCCCTGGGCATTCACAAAATTAATTGATGAGAAGACTGGAAGGATTTTGGTGCAGTATTGCTGTACTGTATGTATTTCATCCTCAAATCCCCATTGCCATTTTAAACATACCCAATTACTTCTCAACACTTGACAACACTATCCAGCTCTGCTATCTTCCTAAACAAACGGTTCACCACTTTCAAAATAAGTACTGTAGATAAATCGAAAGTGTCTTCAACTTCCCACTTCTCAATTTGAGTCTGTGAAATCTTAATACATTAATATATTTGAGGCAGAAGTAGAACAATTCAGGCAGATGATCACTTGTCCATCCATCTAACTTTCCAAAAAGATTCCTTTGATACATCTCTCTCTTCTGATAGAAGAGTAATTCCCTTAAAAGCTGGTTGTATTACATGTGCCCTGTTGGTTTTATCGTGTGGTTAACTGGCTTTCGTTAAATATAACAAATGACTCCTTTATCTTCACTCTCCATTGCAAACCACTGAGTGTGATGATCTTGAAGTCGATTTATTCACAGCCCTATCACCAGAATGCCATGATTATCCTGGTGGTCTAGGACCAGTTCTCGCTGTAATTTGTTTATTTTGCTTAGGTGACTGGCTAAATACAACAAATCGTGTAACAGAAAGCAAGAGATATGTGTTTAAGTTTTTTGTGTCCATGCATAACATTTCCCCCTAATCTCTGGCAATCTCACTCAAAAGGGCCACATGGAAACTAGCATGTGAAATAAAGTACCACATTTACAGTCAAGGTGCTTTCTTAAATTGGGAGCAAAACAGTGTGAACTTTACTCTACACCCAATCAAGCAAAGTCTGACTTAAATAATAACCCTTGCACCTTTTACTCTGGGAGGATGCATCAAAGTGTTTCACAAGATATGCTGTAAAATAATAATCCATAAAGTATGAAGTGACTGTGCATTCTGTAGGCACAACTTGCAAATGGTTGATATGGATATTCAGTGCTCAAACTGGGAATGTTTTGTGATCCAATGCTAACAATCCTCTCCTTAAACACAAAACAAACTTTTGTTTAAAAAAGATTTTCCCCTGGAGATAAACTTGCTTGTGAAACACAGCAACAGAATAATGAAAAACAGACTGACAACTTAAAGGTTCATATTTACCACATTTTTTAAAAAATCCAACTATTGAAAAACATCCATACATTGTTGGCAAGAACCTGAATGGTGAGGCACCACACAAATGTTCGCCAATGTATTTATTGTAAGTTCGCACAACTGGGAGTTCCAGCTGCCGGGACCTCCAGCGAATAATCACCCCAATTGGCTGAGTTTTTGTTGTACTGTGCATGAAGAAATGACTTTAGTCCCGTTCATTATTTTTTTACTTTTTTTTATTTAAACAAAAGGTTTTTTTCCCCCACCCTTGAAGACCTTTACTTACAGTTTCAAAAACACTAACCTAGGGTGTCCACTGTGGGACCCACCCATATTTGGAAAGGCATAATATTGGGTTATGTTCGGGCTTGTGTTTGGTTGACTTTATTCTACAAACTATTTTAATTTTTGGCACACCCTTGCACGTATCCCACAAAAGTGTCAGAGCTGGAAGGAGACGAGGGGTTTACAGGAGCTCTGCTCTCCTAATAATAAGCCTTACATTTGGTATAGCTCCTTATCACGTTAGTTAGACGTCTAAAAGCGCCTCACAGGATATACTACAAAGTGAATGGAATGCATATTTTGTGAGTGAAACACAACAGCCAATTGTGCACAGCAGGAAGAGGCAAGGTGGAGGGATAGAAGGAGAGTGTTCCTGAGTTTCGGGGCGAGCCCTCAGCCACTCTGCCCCCACCCTCTGGAGCTCCATCCCACAGTCCCTCCGCCTTGCCCCCTCCCTTGCCTCCTTCAAGACCCATAAGAACATAAGAATTAGGAGCAGGAGTCGGCCATTCGGCCCCTCTAGCCTGTCCTGCCATTCAATAAGATCATGGCTGATCTATTCTAACTCCATCCACCTGCCTTACCCCCATATCCCTTAATCCCTTTATCCACAAGAAGACCCATCTCAAGACCCTCCTCTTCCACCATGCTTTAAATCACCCTCCTTTCCCCCTCGTCCTCCACCCTCCCCAATCCCGACTCCCAGCTCGGGTCCGAAACATTGACTGTCCAGCGCACTTGGGGCATTCTCCCGACGTGAAAGGTGCTATACAAATGTAATTTTGTTGTTGTAGTGGTTGAAAGCGCGCTCCACTGATGGTGGAACGAAGGAGAGGACACGAGAGATAAGCAGGAGGCTAGAGCCAGTCCAGCGGAGGCAGTGGGTACTGAGTTGTGGGGAGGGGGAGCTAGGGAGGTCAGAGAAGTAGAGAGGTGCCAGGGCATGAAAGAATTTGAAGACGAGCGTGAGGATCTTGAAATCGATGCATTCGGCCACTGGGAGCCAGTGGAGCCTGGCCGAGGACAGGCTCGAGGGGCGAAATGGCCTGGTCCTGTTCCAGTATATAAACGTATAACATTGTACGACAAAGCTCCGCAGTCCATGTTCCTACAATGGCAGCCACACCTTCTACATATGGAGACAGAGAGAGGGAGGGGGGGAGAGAGGGAGGGGGGGGGTCGGAGAGAGGGGGAATGGGGGGGGGGAGAGGGAGGGAATGGGGGGGGAGAGGGAGAGAGGGGGGGAAGGGGGGGAAGAGAGGGAAGGGGGAGAGAGAGAGAGGGGGAGAGAGAAAGAGGGGGAGAGAGAGAGAGGGGGGGCAAAGAGAGAGATGAGGGAGAGAAAGAGAGGAGGGGAGAGAGAGAAAGAGGGAGAGGAGACAGAGAGAGGAGGGGGGAGGAGGAGGGGGAGAGGGGAATGGGGGGGGAGAGGGAGGGAATGGGGGGGAGAGGGAGAGAGAGAGGGGGGAAGGGGGGGAGAGAGAGAGGAGGGGGGAGAGAGAGAGGAGGGGGAGAGAGAGAGGGGAAGGGGGAAGAGAGAGGGGAGAAGGGGGGAAGAGAGGGGGAAGGAGGGGGAAGAGAGAGGGAAGGGGGAAGAGAGAGGGGGGAAGGGGGAAGAGAGAGGGAAGGGGGAAGAGAGAGGGAAGGGGGAAGAGAGAGGGGGGGGAAGAGAGAGGGGGAGAGAGAGGGAGGGGGAAGAGGGGGGAGGAGAGGGGGGGAGAGAGAGGGGGAAGGGGGAAGAGGAGGAGGGGGAAGGGGGGAGAGAGAGGGAAGGGGGGAGGGGAGAGGGGGGAGAGAGGGAGGAGGGGGGGAGGGGGGAGGGATGCCGGTACCTGTGACGCAGCTGTAAATTCACACCTCCTCCCTCTCCTTCCCTCCCTCACACATTCCTACATCGCACTCCCTCCCTCCCTCCCTCTCTCTCTCTCTCTGTCTGTATCCAGGAACGGGCGTCGACAAACCCGAAAAATAATATCAACCGAAAGATAAAACAAATAAAGAAAACAAACGAACGAACGAACGAAACGTATTAAACCGAAGAGAGAGAAAAAAAAAGCCGCGCGCGCGCGCACACGTCAAAAAAAAAAAGACGAGAGAGAGAGGGGGGAAAAAAAAACCAGAAGTCGAGAATAAACTCCCAAACCATTACAAAAAATAAAAAAAATCCCCCAATAATAAACACATCGACGCAAAGGAAAATCAAATCAATGAATAAACAAATGTGAATTAAAAAAAAAGAAAGGAGGAGAGTGTGTGAGGAAAAAAAAACCACCTCGTCAAGTCCAGTCCAGTCAGTCAGTCAGTCAGTCAGGCCTCGCGCCTCCCGCCCGCCCTCCCGGGCCGCCATTTACCTTGAGCTTGACCTCCGCCGGGTCCCAGTGAGGCCTGAGCTCCCGGATGATCCTCACGGCGCCGGCCCCCAAGTCGTGTTCGTCCACCGTGAGCTGCAGCTTGAGGACGGCGGGAGCCGCCGGGGGGACGTGGATGTAGGTGGCCATGGCTTCACTGCGCGCTCCCAAACACTCACTGAGGCTGCGCGGCCCCGCCCACTCCCCCTCCCGCCCGCTCACTCACGCACTCACTCACTCACTCACTCTCGGCCCCGCCCACTCACACCGCGTCACAATGGCACGGGCTCAGAGCGCGGGGTGGCTCCACCCACAGCCACACCTCCACCTGTGTCCACACCCCCATCCCCACCTCCATCCCCATCCCCACCTCCATCCACACCTTCATCCTCACCTTCATCTTCACCTCCATCCCCATCCCCACCTCCATCCCCATCCCCACCCTCATCCCCACCTCCATCCCCACCCTCATCCCCACCCCCATCCCCACCTCCATCCCCATCCCCACCTCCATCCCCACCCTCATCCCCACCCCCATCCCCACCTCCACCTGTGTCCACACCCCCATCCCCACCCTCATCCCCACCTCCATCCACACCTCCATTCCCACCCCCATCTCCACCTCCATCTCCACCTCCATCCCCATCCCCACCTCCATCCACACCTCCATTCCCACCCCCATCTCCACCTCCACCTCCATCCACACCTCCACCTCCATCCCCACCTCCATCCCCATCCCCACCTCCATCCATACCTCCACCTCCATTCCCACCTCCATCCCCATCCCCACTTCCATCCCCATCCACACCTCCATCCGCAGCTTCATCCCCACCTTCATCCCCATCCACACCTTCATCTCCACCTTCATCCCCATCCACACCTTCATCTCCACCTTCATCCCTATCCACACCTTCATCTCCATCCACACCTTCATCTTCACCTTCATCCCCATCCACACCTTCACCTCCACCTTCATCCCTATCCACACCTTCATCTCCATCCACACCTTCATCTCCACCTTCATCCCCATCCACACCTTCATCTCCACCTTCATCCCTATCCACACCTTCACCTCCATCCACACCCTCATCTCCACCTTCATCCCCATCCACACCTTCATTTCTACCTTCATCCCCATGGAGTCCTGTAGCTCAGTGGTTAGAGCACTCACTTTGCAAGTGAGAGACCTGAGTTCAATTCCAGGCAGAGGGCGAAACCTTGGGCAAGTTTCCTTACTCCACACGCCTAATAATCCCTCCAAAACCAAAAACAATAATAAATTGGTCATTTTCAATCTACGGCTGTTTGTGGGACATTGCTGTGCGCAATTGGCTGCCGCGTTTGCCCACAAATATACAGTCAATTCACTTTACAGTGTGTTCTGTGAAGCGCTTTGGGACGTCCTCCCGACGTGAAAAGCGCTATATCAAATGCAAGGATTATTATTATTATTATCCACACCTTCTCCACCTTCATCCCATCCACACCTTCATCTCCACCATCATCCCCATCCACATCTTCATCTCCACCTTCATTCCCATCCACACCTTCATCTCCACCTTCATCCCCATCTATACCTTCATCTCCACCTTCACCTCCATCCACACCTCCATCTCCACCTTCATCCCCATCCACACCTTCATCTCTATCTTCATCCCCATCCACACCTTCATCTCCACCTTCATCCCCATCCACACCTTCATCTCTACCTTCATCCCCATCCACACCTTCATCTCCATCCACACCTATGTCTCTGTCCACACCTGCACCTCTGTCTCCATATCCATCCACAGCTCCCCACCTCCCTCACTTTCTACACCTCTATCCTTCACATCCACTCACACCTTCACCTCTGTATCTTGTCAATATACAGTCAATTCACTTTACAATATATTCTGTGAAGCACTTTGAAACTTCTGAAAGATGTGAATGTAGGTGTGATTGTGGATAAATGCAAGGATTATTATTCATCCCCAATCACACCTTTACCCCTACCTTCATCTCCATGCAACCTTAGTTTAATGTCTCATCTGAACGGTACTCCTCCAACAGTGTATTGGAGTATCTGGAATAGATGAGTTGAAAGTCCCGACATGGGATTTGACCTCACAACTTTCTGACTCAGAGGAGAATGTTACCAACTGATCCAGGTTGATATCTATCATCATTGATAGCCTTCAGATAATATTCCTTTATTACTGTCAAGTATTTCCCCCAAAATGGAGTCAGGCTAATATCACTTCACGCTTTGTGTCTGACTTAAGGACCCACGTGGGGTTTAACATTTCAAATACAGCTAGAATTTTCATTCGATCCTATTAGGTGCTGTCTGCAGTCTGCGTTTCCACTGCAGTGTTATTGCTTCTAACTTCAATTCAACTTTGAATGGCTCCCAGCCTTGATTATAGACCATCTGGGAAAACGGTGCTTATAAAGTAAAAACAAATAAAATACTGCCCATAGGCAAGCAATCTGAGTACTAAATGCATTCCAGTACTTTTTAATATTAAAAAAATAATTTCATATTCAGTTTCATGGTTTAATAAGATGAAACAATACAAACTTATTTTTTCAGTGACTTTCACGTCAGGAAGATGTCTTAACAGTACTATGAAGCATAGAAAGAGCATTACCATGTTTCTATAAACTTGTATTCACATATATTGGGATAATTTTCTTATATATTTTATTTTATTTTAACACCAGGCAGGTGGAGAAAGTCACAAACTTTCCTCACTTTCTATCTCAAAAACTGCCTTCAATACAATGCGGCAGTTTTAAAAATCCTAAAGGAAGATAAGCATTTGACTCTTGTTTAATTTCTTTGAAATTCAAAATCTTTTTGCTACATTAAATGGTGTACATTGGTAAATATATCCAGCCCAGTTTAGAGCTGTGAAAAACAGCCTTAGAAAAATGTGTGCACTGAAAACAAAGTGTTGTTTTAGTTCAGGTTGATTTGACAAAGCATTATCTGTAAATATAGAAACATAGAAACTTGCTGCCTTAAGTTCTTTAGATAGCAGTTCTGATTTGGAAAAGCCATGCTAGCGGCAAAATAACGCTTTCAAAATTACAATATCAGCATTGGTACTTTTCATAAATGTGCCACACAACAGCAGCATCAACGATAACTTCAATTTAAATAACATCCCTTCAAATGGAATCATGTCTTCACATAGGATAACATCTAGTACATGACAAAGGAACAGGAAAGAAATTTGAGTTCAGGGGGGGGAAAAAAACATCTGCTATGATTTAGTAATAAGGTTGCTTGTGCCTAATATTGAAAAGCAGCTCCACTATTTCATACCAGTATGTGCCAAAATCAACAATTGCTTTTTAAAATGAACGTAAGCCAGCCAGCCATCAACCAAGAATGGAGGTTTCACAATATCACGAGAGGTTTGGTTGAAAAAGGGCCTTCAACACCTTTGACCTCTTCCTTTTTGAATAATCCTTTATTATAATCCTTCCATCACAGCCACAAGCCGTTATTTCAATCCGTCCAGTGACTTGGTCTCCAACTATTCCAGTCGTTAACTGCTCTGAAACCTGACCCATCTTGTTCTCTTGTGTGAGAGAAAATATATATTTAATAATGATCACAGTTTCATATTACTGTAGTTTTATTTTGGCTCAGTTGCAAGAGATTGCAGCAGTTGCTGCCTAAATATTTGAGCACAGTAACATTGCTGTGTCGGATTGTTTCCCATGTGAAATGAAAAGCAAGAACCAGTGGCATTAAGGAATGAATAAAGAAAGAATAAAATGGAGAAAGCAAAAAAAGGCTTAAAGGAAGGTTGTAAAAGTTTTAAAACAACTCTTTTATCCCAGCTGATTCTTTGGAATGGAGTATTACTGTAGTTATGTCACTATATGTCTCAATGCACAACTGTTTCGGGTTTCCGTGCTGCTCACAGCTCTGGGGGAAACTGCTCTGGTCAAGGTGACAAACGACATTTTGTCCATCTGTAACCAGGGATCCCTCTGCCTCCGTGTCCTCCTCAACTTCTCTGCTGCCTTTGATACTGTGGAACACTTCATCCTCCTCCACCGCTTCTCTTTTCTCACCTCAAACTTCAAGGTTCTGTCCTTGAATGGTTCAGGTCTTATCTCTCACACCGCCTCCAATTTGTCTCCGCCAACGGTTTCTCTTCCAGGCCCTGCATAGCCTTGTGTGATGTCCCTCAGGGCTCTGTCCTCGGTCTCCTCCTCTCCACCCTCTACATGCTCCCCCTTGGTGACATCATCCGCAGACATGGGATAAATTTTCACATGTATGCGGATGACACCCAATTCTATCTCTCTGCCTCCACCCTTGATTCCAGGACAATTGACGTCCTGACAGGCTGTCTGTCTGACATTAAGTCCTGGATGACAGCCAATTTTCTGCAGCTGAATGTCAGCAAGACCGAGGCCATCGTGACTGTCTCACCTCAGCACCTCAGGCACTGGCAGCATCAGAATCCACAGTTGGACACTCCACCTCACCAAGCCAGTTAGGAACTTGGGCGTCTTGTTCGACCCTCATATCTGCGCCATGACCCGCTCTGCCTTCCCCCACCTCTGCAACATTGCCCGACTCGGCCACTGCCTCACCCCTCAGGCTGCCGAAACCCTCATACACGCATTCATCACCTCAAGGATCGACTATGGAAACTCCCTACTTGTTGGCCTCCCCAACTCTTCCCTCCACAAGCTGCAGATCATCCAGAACACTGCAGCTCATGACCTCTCCCGTACCAGGTTCTGTGACCTGATCACCCCCACACTCGCCATGGCTCCACTGCCTCCCCAACCCTCAGAAGTTAAAGTTCAAAATCCTCGTCCTCACTTTCAAGTCCCTCCATGGCTTTGCCCTCTCCTACATCTCGGACCCTATCAATCTGTCCGCTCCCTCTGCTCAGTGGGCTCTGGCCTACTCCATCTCCTGCCCGACCCCCCCTACTATCGATGGCTGGGCTTTCCCACCCTTTGGAACTCCATCCCACAATCCCTTCCCCTCGCTCCCGCACTTGCCTCCTTCAAGGCACGACTCAAGACCCTCCTTTTTGACCGTGCCTCCAGCTGCTCTCCTACCACCTCTGCCCTCCGTCATCCCAACCCTGCCCCAAAGGCTCGGGTCCTGATCCCTGACTGTTCAAAACCCAAAGGCTCGGGTCCTGATCCCTGACTGTTCAAAGCCTTGGGACGTCCTCCCTTCGTGAAAGGCGCTTTACAAATGTAATGTTGTTGTTGTTTGTGGGACGCTGCTGTGCGCAATTGGCTGCCACGTTTTGCCCACGAAATATACAGTGAATTCACCCTTTACAGTATATTCTGTGAAGCACTTTGAGACGTCTCGAAGACGTGATAAAGCGCTATATCAAATGCCAGGATTATTAATATTATTATTACTATTCATTCAGTGAGTTTCAGCTGTTTTCAGCTGAATCGAGCACTGAGCAGCAGCAAAAGGTTTAAGACAGCCAGAAGCTGTGATAAAGCACTACATAAATGCAAAGATGATTATTATTATTAAAAGCAATGTTAAGGTTATGCTATTAAAGGCAAAGATTATTATTAAATTCAAGGATTATCTAATGAAGACAAAATGTCTGTGCGTCTCCGCCAAGAACACAATAACCGATTGATGTAGAGATCTGATTTATACCTCATCGGAAAGTTCTTGCATCAGGGAGTGTCGTGGCATTTTTTAAATTAATATTATTATTAAATCTTTTACTCTGTTGCATGGATGTTGCATTCAGACTTTAATTCCCAGCATGTTAAAGATGTGAGAAATTATGTAGTTTAAAGGTACAGGACTAATTAACCTTTATAAAAGGTAAAGATTTTTCATCATTTACTTGATGAATTACAGCTTATTTAATATGTTGTGCAGAGAAATGCAAAAATGGAGGTATAAAACTATGGATTTTACTTTTGAATTTTATACAGTGCTGCTGTGGGGAATGCTGTGGAAAATAATTTCATCACAATTAAATGTAATGAAAAATCTACTCCTTTGAGATTTGAGAGTGGCCTACATATAAACAGACTGTTCTGAAACATTTAGGTATACAAAGAATATATGTTAAAGGATGCGTTAAATTAAAGGTGCAAAGTTACATGCAGGATTTACAATTGAGATGTAAATAGGCAGAACAAAACCTTGGGCAAGTTTCCTTACTCCACACGCCTGATAATAATCCCTCAATAAAAAAAACAATTGGTCACTTCAATCCACCACTGTTTGTGGGACGCTGCTGCGCGCAATTGGCTGTCACACTTCGCGCACAAATATCCGGTCAATTCACTTTACAGTCTATTCTGTGAAGCGCTTTGAGACGTCGAGAAGACGTCGAGAAGAAAAGCGCTACATCAAATGCAAAGATTTTACTATTATTATTAAATACCCAGAAAATTTGATGCAGGATATTTAAATGACCACACGAGGGCATAAATCATAAATCATTCTTTGCAGTTGTTTCTCGAATACAGTCGGGTTGCTATTCAATTTGTGAGGAAATTAAAATACTATTTATTGCGCAACTGATGTATGAAGAATCTAAGTCAAGATTCAGAGACTGAAACTGTTACCGCGACTGAAGGCAGAGGTACAGGACCGACTGGATAAAGCTACTGCGAGATAATCATTCACTTATTACGTTAGGAACATTGTTTAAACCTCAAAGCTACAGAAAAGCAACATTTGGCCCTCAACATAACTAAGAGTTTTGCCATTTCTTCCCGTCCAGAACATTCTGTTTCTCTCAACACTGATTTCCACGTCAGTGCAATGAACACAGTATCCATACGTCACAACCCATCTCGACCCCCAGGTTGAGGTCGTTGACTCCGTTGCGAGAACTTTGTCGGGGATCTCTTTGTCAAATCTAACAACAGGTCTTACTCGCTCAGATCAAACGTCACTCCACAGATTGGAGCCCTCTGAGCGGAGGGAGCGGACAGGTTGATAAGGGGTTAACAGGTCGGAGGGTTCAAGGCCATAGGTCGAGGGCCACGAATGTGAGGATGAGAATTTTGAACTCGATCCTGTGGGTGATGGGAAGTCAGGGGAGTCTGGCGAGGGTGGGGGTGATGGGGTCACGGAGCCCGGTGGGGGAGAGGATGGGGGTGATGGGGTCACGGAGCCGGTGGGGAGAGGATGGGGGTGATGGGGTCACGGAGCCCGGTGGGGGAGAGGGTGGGGTGATGGGGTCACGGAGCCCGGTGGGGGAGAGGATGGGGGTGATGGGGTCACGGTGCCCGGTGTGGGAGAGGACACGGGCTGCAGAGGTCCGGATGATCTGCAGTCTGTGGAGGGACGAGTCGGGAAGGCCGACGAGGAGGGAGTTTCCGTAGACGAGTCTCGAGGTGACGAACACGCGGATGAGGGTCTCGGGGGCCTGAGGGGTGAGGCAGTGGCGGAGCCGGGCCATGTTGTGGAGGTGGGGGACGGCAGAGCGGGACATGGTGTGGAGTGTGGGGGGGGGTTGGGGGGGGTAAGGACGGTTGAGGGCCGAGCGAGACGCCCGAGGGTCCGGACCCACAGCGAAGGTTATCACCAATGATATAATGAGCCAAACTGCCCCTTTGCTGCCTGTCACTCACCTCAGGCTCCTGCCCCTCCCCCTACCCCCTCCCCCTTCCCCCTCCCCCCTGCCCCCCTGCGCCTCCCCACTGGCTCCTCCCCCTGCCCCCTCCCCCCTGGCTCCTGCCCCTCCCCCTTGTCCCCAACCCCTGGCTCCTGCCCCTCCCCCACCCCCTGGCTCCTCCCCCTGCCCCCCCCCTGGCTCCTAGCTCCTCCCCCTATATCCTGGCCCCTCCTCCTGGCTCCTGGCCCCTCCTCTTGGGTACTGCCCCTCCCCTGGCTCCTCCCCCTGCCCTCCCCCTGGCCCTCCCCCCTGCCCCCTCCCCCTGGCTCCTGGCCCCTCCCACTAGATCCTGGCCCCTCCCTCCTGGCTCCTGGCCCCTCCCCCTAGCTCCTGCCCCCTCCCCCCTGGCTCCCGGCCCCTCCCCCTTCTCCCGGGTGACAAGTGTCGGACCGGAAGTGACGCAGACCCTCGGCGGAAGTGCGGAGAAGTGCTGGTGAGGAAAACAGAGGAAGAGGAAGAGGAGGAAGAGCGGCGCGGCCTTCCCCCCCCCCCCCCCCCCCCCCCCCCCCGGCAGGTCCCGGCTGTTTACATGTCTCGCTGCATGTGATGGGCGAGAGCGAGAGGCTCGAGCGCCGCCGCCAACCGCCACCCGTCACTACCCGGGGCCCCGGGCTGGAGCGCGGCCACAGGTCCGTCTCTCTCTCTCTCTCTCTTACACACTCACTCTCTCCTCCACTCTCACTCTCTCCTCCACTCTCTCACTCACTTACACACTCACTCTCTCCTCCACTCTCTCTCTCACTTACACACTCACTCTCTCCTCCACTCTCACTCTCTCCTCCACACTCTCTCTTACACACTCCTCTCTCCTCCACTCTCTCTCTCACTTACACACTCACTCTCTCCTCCACTCTCTCTCTCACTTACACACTCACTCTCTCCTCCACTCTCACTCTCTCCTCCACACTCTCTCTTACACACTCACTCTCTCCTCCACTCTCACTCTCTCCTCCACACTCTCTCTTACACACTCACTCTCTCCTCCACTCTCACTCTCTCTCACACACTCACTCTCTCCTCCACTCTCACTCTCACACACTCACTCTCTCCTCCACTCTCTCACTTACACACTCACTCTCTCCTCCACTCTCACTCTCACTCACTCACTCTCTCCTCCACACTCTCTCTCACACACTCACTCTCTCCTCCACTCTCACTCTCTCCTCCACACTCTCTCTTACACACTCACTCTCTCCTCCACTCTCTCTCTCTTACACACTCACTCTCTCCTCCACTCTCTCTCACACACTCACTCTCTCCTCCACTCTCTCACTCACTTACACACTCACTCTCTCCTCCACTCTCTCTCTTACACACTCACTCTCTCCTTCACTCTCTCACTCACTTACACACTCACTCTCTCCTCCACTCTCTCTCTTACACACTCACTCTCTCCTTCACTCTCTCTCTTACACACTCACTCTCTCCTCCACTCTCTCTTACACACTCACTCTCTCCTCCACTCTCACTCTCTCCTTCACTCTCTCTCTTACACACTCACTCTCTCCTCCACTCTCTCACTCACTTACACACTCACTCTCTCCTTCACTCTCTCTCTTACACACTCGCTCTCTCCTCCACTCTCTCACTTACACACTCACTCTCTCCTTCACTCTCTCTCTTACACACTCACTCTCTCCTCCACTCTCTCACTTACACACTCACTCTCTCCTTCACTCTCTCTCTTACACATTCTCTCCTTCACTCTCTCTTACTCACTCTCTCCTTCACTCTCCCTCTTACACACTCACTCTCCCCTCCACTCTCTCTTACACACTCACTCTCTCCTCCACTCTCTCACTCACTTACACACTCACTCTCTCCTTCACTCTCTCTCTTACACACTCACTCTCTCCTCCACTCTCTCTCTCACTAACACTCACTCTCTCCTCCACTCTCTCTCTTACACACTCACTCTCTCCTTCACTCTCTCTCTTACACACTCACTCTCTCCTTCACTCTCTCACTTACACACTCACTCTCTCCTTCACTCTCTCACTCACACACTCACTCTCTCCTTCACTCTCTCTCTTACACACTCACTCTCTCCTTCACTCTCTCTCTTACACACTCACTCTCCCCTCCACTCTCTCTTACACACTCACTCTCTCCTTCACTCTCTCTCTAACACACTCACTCTCTCCTTCACTCTCTCTTACACACTCTCTCCTTCACTCTCTCTTACACACTCACTCTCTCCTTCACTCTCTCTCTTACACACTCACTCCTTCACTCTCACTTACACACTCACTCTCTCCTTCACTCTCTCACTTACACACTCTCCTTCACTCTCTCACTTACACACTCACTCTCTCCTTCACTCTCTCACTTACACACTCACTCTCTCCTTCACTCTCTCTCACTCACTAACACTCACTCTCTCCTTCGCTCTCTCACTTACACACTCACTCTCTCCTTCACTCTCTCACTCACTTACGCACTCACTCACTCTCTCCTTCACACTCTCTCACCCCCCCCCCCCCCGTCATTCTCACTCACTCCTTCACTCTCACACTGACTCTCACCTTCCTTCACTCTCTTCTCACACTCACTCACTTTTTCATTCTCTCCTTCACTCCATCCCCACTCACCCACTCCTTCACACACTCACTCACTCTCACACTGACTCACCTCCTCACTCTCTCCTTCACTCCATCCCTGACTCACTCACTCACTCACATATGCACTTACTACCCTCACTCCTTCACTTACTCACTCACTCCTCTCATTCATTCACTCACTCACCTCCTCACTATCACACACTCACTCACACATTCTCTCCTTCACTCCATCCTTCACTCACCCACTCCCTCACACACTCTCTCACTCACTCATCCACTTCCATCACTCTCTCCCACTCACTCTCATACTCACCCACCCACTTGTATGAAAGATATTACTGAGACCAAATGTTTCTTGTTTATTGTGAGCATTGTTGAAGTCTTGACGACGTGATAAGCTGCTCTATCAAATGTAAGGATTATTATATCTGACCTCATGGGTCTATAATTCACTCACATCTGCACAAAATAAACTCCTTTTGCAGAACAAACACAGCAAGCAGGTGGCTGCAACTGCTATACTTTGCACACTGTAAACACTGGTGTTCAAGGGCTTACATGTACATTGTGGTGCCAGGGGACATGCATTTTAATTCTCCTAAATGTACCAAAATGTAGGGCTTGTGGGGAGGGCATGCACTTGTCTGGTATAAGGCACCACTTTTATAAGCTTTGTAATTACTGTGCAACTACTGTATTTATATTGAGAGCACACTTGTGCAGTAATTGTGGGTAAAAGAACATTTGGGATAATTAGGTGGTAACGTTCTGCATTATTCAAGTTTAAGATGCTTCTTTCTCCCATTACTTTTCCCAAATGGTTTTTCCCTGTTTGTGGTTATTCTATGAACATGTTCCGCAAGATTAGAAGGGAAGTTTGGACCAAACAATACCTTCAGAATATTCCATCCTGTATCGCAGAATTAAACTAGCTCTTAGATGAGAGTCCAGTACATAGGCATCAATTCTGTTGATTTAATTTTGTATTTTGTGTAAAGAAATACTTTGTGTAAAGAAATACATCAGGTACCCACCTCCCCTCCCCCTCCCCACATGTGCTACTGGAAGACATGTCTGAATATGTGGGTCTAGGATAAAATTTAAAATGTTAATTCATTGAATACTTCCCTGGTTTCAGTTTTACTCAGTGTGTGGAAAAAAAAGGAGTAGGGAAGAAATCGGATCATTTTAGTAATATGACTGAAAGCACAGGAAAAATATTCTTATTAATACAACTATTACTAATAATAGCATTTGATAAAGTGTCTAATTCATAGAAACATTTCAAAGTGCTTCAGAGTTTTTCTGTGAAATATGTAGACAAACATGGCAGCCAATATGCACACAGCAATGCCCCACACCTAGACATGAAATGAATATTTTTTTTTCTAACCTCATTACTCTCCATGTTTCTCTGAATCTCTAAATTTTCTTCCTCTCTGACATTTTTTATGTGCAGCTCTAAACTGTACCTAAAAGTTTGGTTGTGCACATGCTCGAGGGTAATAGAGAAGCTTATATTATTTCCCTAGTAACCAAACTGAATTCACTAATTCACATACCATCGTAAACACTGAAAATAAATCAATTTAATTTTGTTCTTATAAATCAAATGAGGAAAAAATATTTCAACTGATTGATGTTCCCAAAATACCCAAAGCAGGGGATATTTTCCATGCAACTTGTAGAGAAAGAAAAATAAGACATTTGAAAGTTCTTCACAGAATAATAATAATAATCCTTGCATTTGATATAGCGCTTTTCACGTCTTCTCGACGTCTCAAAGCGCTTCACAGAATAGACTGCAAAGAGAATTGACTGTATATTTGTGCGCGAAAACGTGACAGCCAGATGCGCACAGCAGCGTCCCACAAACTCATGGATGGAGTGACCAAATTTTTTGGGAAGGAATATTACCCTCAGAAAGTATAGATCTGTATGATTTTGTTTGACGTTTTAAAGTGCGTTATGGCATTAGCTTGCCTATATTACTCAAACAGACAGCTACAATATGTCTGTGTTTATATATTAACATATCTGTTAACCAGGACCTTGTTCTGTCAGACACATTGGGGTAGAATGGCTTCTTTTGTGCTCAACAAAACGGTGAAAGTAGGATGTGCAGTTTGTTTGAGGTTCTGTTTGCAAATGAAAACGGATGAAGGATCCATGAGGGAAAATCAGTGACCTTCTTTTCTTGCAGCGAAGATTATAATGCCAGGGAAACTAAAAGTCAAGATTGTGGCTGGTCGACACCTGCCGGTTATGGACAGGGCCAGTGACCTGACGGATGCATTCGTAGAGGTTTGTACAAACGATACAATATCTGTAATATCGCTTGGCAGAGAACAGAATAATAGCACAGAATCAATCATTTATGTTGCTAACTGGAGGTGATGTAATATGAGGTCTTGAGTGGAGATTATGGATTCGTTCATACCGCCAACTCTTCCGAAAGAGAGCCGCACTTTCAGCTGTGTGGGTTCAAAGTGCTATCAGTGGAGTCCTTATCCTCAACACCCTCTTTTAAGGAGATGGTGGTTAGCAGGAGAAAACCTTAGTGAAATGAAAGGAAGGGAGAAAGTGTCTTAAACACTTTAAAGGCTTTTTAATTCACGTTTAATTGAATCCGTGTTTATTTATTTTTTTGGTGAGCGCCACCTCTCTCTTCTGGAGGGGTTGACAGCCACCGATTTAAGGGTTTTGTCAATATCACTCCACAATCATTTCAGGAAGTCTGCTAACAATGAAAGTTGTGTTTGTCTGCCTGTATGGTTAGAACAATGTAGTGTAAAACGCCCTTTCGTGAGTCATTGAGACTCTGCAAACCCCCCCCCCTCGTTTGCAAATAAGAGTAAGATTTTTAGCGTTCGGATTTTACTGCTTGTATGTGGAGTATATGATAATTGCAATGTTTGGACTTTGCAGGTAAAATTTGGTAATACAACTTTTAAGACTGACGTGTTCCCCAAATCTCTCAACCCCCAGTGGAATTCGGAATGGTTTAAATTTGAGGTAAGTTGACTAAATTCATACTTATTTATTTATTTATCATACCGTAAATGCTGGTAACTTTTACTTCTATCCTATAACTAATTATTCACTGATAATGGATTGTAGTTACAGAAATCTGTTAGGCTCTCCTTCTCTTCTAACCACTTTTCTGTGTATAATCAGTCCATTTAAAGTTTTTTCCTCCCTGCTTGGGATCTCCGTTGTCTTCCTGAAGAATTTTGAGATGTTCATCCTATTGGATTTAAAATGTGCCATATAAGTGTAAGTCATTGGATAATGGGGTGCCCAAAACTGGACACCAATCTGACACAATATATACGTGTTATAAGCATCACTTCTTTGGTTTTGTATTCTATGCCCCTATTTATAAAACCTAGGATTCCATTAGCTTTGTCCCAGCTATAAAGATTCATGTATATTAATTGTACCATTTAGCATATACTTATTTTTCCATCCAAAATGTGTTACCTTTTCTGCATAAAATTTTATTTTCTCTCTCTCTCAATCTACTAGTCTGTATGTCTAATCTGAAGGGCAACATTTCTGACAATGCAGTGCTCCTCCAGCATTGTATTGGAATGTCAGACCACTCATATACGAGTATATTTGAATGTATTGGTTTATACATTCGGAGTTTCGGAGTCCTGTAGCTCAGTGGTTAGAGCACTCGCTTTGCAAGTGAGAGACCTGAGTTCAATTCCAGGCAGAGGGCGAAACCTTGGGCAAGTTTCCTTACTCCACACAGAGCCTAATAATAATCCCTCCAAAAAAACAAACCAATAATAAATTGGTCATTTTCAATCTACGACTGTTTGTGGGACATTGCTGTGCGCAATTGGCTGCCGCGTTCACCCACAAATAATACAGTCGATGCACTTTACAGTGTGTTCTGTGAAGCGCTTTGGGACGTCCTCCTGACTTAAAGCGCTATATCAAATGCAAGGATTATTATTATTATTATTATTATTATTATTATTATTATTATTATATACATCCTTCAAATAGTGCTTCAAATCACCTGAACTATAATTCCAGGTTGACGATGAAGATTTACAAGATGAACCTCTGCAGATCACAGTCCTGGACCATGATACCTACAGTGCCAATGATGCCATTGGAAAAGTCTACATCGATATTGATCCCTTGCTTTCGAATGAAGCTTCAACAGTTATCTGTGGTTGGTTTCCAATCTACGACACCATTCACGGTGAGTATTTCTTAAAAGTGTGGTAATCTGGTGGTGGATTATCTACTTTGGCTATTGCTGTGAATAGTAGCCATTGGCAGAGTACGGTGTTGTGTGGCTCAGTTGGTGGCACTCTTGCCTCTGAGTCAGGAGGGTGTGGGTTCACGTTTCAGATCTGGACTTCAATCATTTCACTACAGGTGCACACTTCCTAACTTTACAGAAATTTTGAAGTGCTTTAAGATGTTCTTAGGTCATATATCAAATGCAAAGATTATTATTACAGAAGTGACTTATCCACAGTTTAACCTTGAATTTACTCAACGAATTGCATTATAACTGGGCTGCATTGTACTGCGATTATGTACTCTGTCACTGCACAGTGTGGTAGGATTCTGTGTTAGCAAGCTTTATAATAGTATTCTGTGCTACAGCAACCTACACAAATACTAAAATGAAAGCTTGTAGATAAACCTGACTGCAGTAATGTGTTGGACACGTGACTTGGCTGGTCTTTGAGCAGCTGTGTGTTCCTTGACCTTGTAGAGCTGCAAAATCAGCTGATAAAGATTGGAAAATTAGACTGCTTTATTCATTCCTATTCAGAAGGCGCGATAAGGACTTAATTCTTTAATTTCTTAACAAACTATGGCAATTTAAAAAAAACTCCCAGCATATGGCAAATAATGTCATTCATTTCTACTTTATTAATCTCTGTTTGTTTGTCAAAAATCATATCTGTCACATACAATCAAAAGCATCATTTGGAGGTCAAATTCTATGCTGTTTTCTCGTGTACACAACAAACATCAGATTTGCACTGAATAGCTGTATTTGATTCAAAACCATCTAAGTTCCAATGCCTTTTTTTGGTGGAAATGGTGGTCAGAAAGGGAAATTATAGTTTGATAAAGGAGTTCAATGTTAAAGAATATAATTGGTACTTTCCATGTAGTTGAGGGTGGGGGCATCGGGGTGTGGGGGTGGGTGCAACAGACTTTGAAGCCGAATCTTCAACCACACAGTTAAATGAACCGTCTTAGATACGGTTTCAGGTCTTCAAAATTAAATACAGTAAAATTGGCGGTAAGACTTGCTTACTGAAAGCTGATTTAGCTGCATGTTGGCAAGTTGCAGATTCACTGTTTTTTTCACCGATTTAAAAAAAAAAACTTGGCATTTGAATTTATTTAATGAGAAGTTTTGAACCGTACTTGTTCAATATTTTAGTGTAGTATTATCGGTTTTGTTTTCATAAACAAAAGCTAAGAATGAAATCACTGTGTTGAGGTTTCTAATTTGCTGTGTAGCTCGGCAGGCTGGTCTGGAACCTAGCCAGTCGCCCACAGCAAAACCTTGGCAGCAAATTGCAAGTGCAAATGTTTGATTTAAGTTTGTTTTTGCCACACAAGCTATCATTTTTGAATTCCCAGCGCACACAAATGTGCCAAATGATTTTCAATGAAAACGTTTTAACACTCGGCTGAGAATGTTGCAGATCTCAACGCACAATCTTGACTGAAAATTCCAGCAACAATTTTTATAATAACCCTTGGATTTTGTATCGCACTTTTTTTTTTTGACGATGTATTTTGTACGCAAACACAACGGTTTGGATAACTTTACGTGTTGTGGTGGGATTCCGTACGTGACGGATACCCAAACTGTGTTATTACTTTCTCTTCCTAAATGGTTTTCATTCAGGTGAACTTTGCCTTGGGTGAAGCAATGGGATCCGAAAACAAGCGTTACCGAATTTAAACAAAATGCAAAATCCTGCAGACGCTGGAAGTCTGAAACAAAAACAGAAGTCGCTGGGAAACACTCAGCAGGTCGAAGGGTCGTGGACCCGAAACGTTGACTCACTTTCCTTTCTCCATAGATGCTGCCCGACCCGCTGAGTGTTCCCGGCCACTTCTGTTACCAAATCGAATATTGAAATTTAAAAAAAGTTGCACCGTTGTATTCATGGCATCAGATGGTGCTGTTTAACATATAGTGAAATGTTCACACACTGTTATGCTAAATGCTCCATAGACACCACCTGATGTTGTGAATGAATTAGTGCAATGTTGTTTTATTCAAGGTCAATTTGGCAAACTTCGCTTTAGGATGATGTTGCTCAATCTGAGGTTGATTGCTATTTCTTCAAATGAAATGACAAAATTGTTTAGGTAAGGGAAGTCATCCTTATACAACAACAACAGCAACAAAATTACATTTATAGAGCGCCTTTCATGTCGGGAGGACGTAAAATCCACACAAAATCCACACAGAAACATAGTTTTATTGCAATAAATAGTCTTTCAATTTTGGAACAATTCTACGAATCACACTGAGCCTCTCCCCCGCCCCCCCACATTCGCCTTGAGCGCTCTGGGACACTACCCTGCACGAAGGGAGCTATATGAATGTTGTTATAACACACAGCATTAAAGCATTTTTGGGAAACTGGATAATATTGTCCTAAAATGTCATTGCACGCACCTTGGGACGTCCTCCCGACATGAAAGGCGCTATACAAATGTAATTTTGTTGTATTGTTGTTGTACGACATATAAAACAGAGATGGTTTGGATGTGATTACAAAGAAGTAATTTGGGGGATTAATATGTGGTTATTAAATGGAAATGTTATAACCGTGAGTTGCTTGAGAGAATATTGGGGCGCGTTTGAACAGTCAATAGTTTCTACTGTGATAGAAGCTTGGGTTTGTAGTTTATGATATTTAATTTATAATCTTTAAAGAATCAAGGAGGGTAAACATGTGTAATCCATAAGAACTGAGTTTTATGTTGATAATCAAGGAACATTTCCAAAATCTTTTCTGATCTTTACAAAAACATTTTTTTCTTTTAGGCTGACTATAATTTGCAGAGACTTATTGTAAGATTTTTTTTAACAGGCATTCGAGGTGAAATAAATGTAATGGTGAAGGTCGATCTATTTAATGATTTAAATCGCTTCAGACAATCGTCATGTGGAGTCAAGTTCTTTTGCAGTAAGTCCCTCGTTGCTTCTTTTAATTCCAAAGTCGTCCTCAATATCTGTAGCAATCGTCTTATATAATCTTGAAAGGAAAGAAAACCTTTGGACAAATCCTTCTTTTAGTAGGCAGTGACTGAGCAAAGCTAATGAACAGGGAGAGAGTTTTCCCTTTTTCAGACTTCTCTTTAAAGTTCTTTATATCATATTTTACCCAGTGAATTTAAATATATATGCATTTCTTTTCTCCTCCAGCTGCATCCATTCCTAAGTGCTACAAAGCAGTTACAATTCATGGCTTTGTTGAGGAATTGGTGGTAAATGAAGATCCCGAATACCAGTGGATTGACAGGATACGCACACCCAGGGCATCAAACGAGGCTAGACAGAGGCTAATCTCACTCATGTCAGGTAAAGTCTTTCAGATTTATGGTGACCTAACTATATCTACATTGTTCAGAAGTTGTTGTGTATTAACTAAAAGACAGACTTTGGAGAGAGGGAAGTAAAAGCTTTTGTTTTAATTACGGAAGCAAAAGAGATTCTGAAGTTTAAAATCAACAACAACGTTCACTTATATAGCGCCCTCCATGCATGGCAGAGTCTCAGAGCGCTTAACAGTGGCGGAGCCTGACTCTGAGCCAGTGGGAGGGAGGTAGCCGTAAGCACGGTTGACAACGGTTTGCACCTGAGCTGGGGGTTGGAATCAAGAGGGGTGGAGGGCAAGGGGGTCACTCTGCCCAAGACTAATGTGAAGAAAGCCCTCTCACTGCTGGAGCCAAGTTTTTTTTTCTTTTTATCGTGTAATATCTTTTGTAAATTTAGTAACTGGTATCATTTGTATGCATTTAAGCTGTGCGTACACTATACGAAGCTTGAGTATGGATATTTGGTAGGAATTCAGTTCAACAACAACAAATTACATTTGTACAGCACCTGTCACGTCTGTAGGAGCTGGTGGTTGAGATCAGGAGAGGTGGAGGGGGGCGGGTAGGGATAGGAGGGTGACCGAAGTCACGGGCGAAAAGGAGGGTCTTGAGACGGGTCTTGAAGGAGGCAAGGGAGGGGGCGAGGCGGAGGGAATGTGGGATGGAGTTCCAGAGGGTGGGGCCAGAGAGGCTGAAGTTCAGTGTTGGTAAACATTCTGTTTTCTGTTTACCAGGTGAACTGCAAAGGAAAATCGGCCTAAAGGTGTTGGAGATGGACGGCAATGCTGTTGTAGGTTATATGCAGTGCTTTGACTTGGAAGGGGAATCTGGGCTAGTGGTACGTGCTATTGGAACTGCTTGTACATTGGATAAACTGAGTAGTGCATCTGCATTGCTCCTACCACCATGTAACTCACCATCCAAAGATCTAAAAGAGTAAGTATAAGGTTATATGGATGTGAATGATCTCTTCAGAGTACTTTGTTCTTGAATCGCATGCAAGATTCACATGGCTATTGCATGTGTAATCGATCAGTCAGTGATTTGAAAATTGTTGAATATAATGATTTATTGGAGCAGAAGGAAATGCAGTCTGCTCTACCGTACTTTGAAATGCATGTCATCGAAAACTGGACACCGTTAAACTCAGCAAATTCATGACAGATAAATTTGATGAAAAGTTTAAATGATCCACAAAACAATGTTGGCCGTTTTATATTTCCAACAAAATCTTTTGAAATGCATAACATGAGTCTGCTCTGTTTCAAATGAAAGGAACCGTGAAAACTGACTAAGTTTTAAGTCTATTTAGCTGATTTGCCTGATGTCTCTGATTTCGGTGACTGTTGAATAATGTGGCACCTAGACACTAATTTTAGATATTAATTACAATTGAAAGAACTCAGCACAAATCCTGTAATTGCTTCGCAGCCTCTGGTTACCTCCTTGAATCAATGCATTTGTTTGGAAATGACGAGGGTATTGAACACAATTTTACTTTTCCCTAAACCACAGGACCAAGTGTGAAGGGGAAGCAGTCTTACCACACTGTTGATTTCAAATATTTAAAAACTCTCTTGCTGATTTGTTTTCAGTACAGTTCAGTCCGCGACTGTATGTGGACACTGCTGTATGTGTAATTGGCTGCTGCGTTTCGCCCACAAAATATCACAGTCAGTCCACTTAACAATATATCCTGTGAAGCGTTTGAGAAATCTCAACGATGTGATAAGGCACTATATCAAATCTGAAGCTTATTATTTTCTGTGGAATGTGGAGGGTATGATATAATCTTGGTGCTATTATGCCGGGTTTATACTCCATCTTTCATAGCACGGTTACCATGAAAAGTGCAGTATAAATTGGGATTGTGCCGGAGACGTGCTCGTGAAACCATTTGGAAGAGGTGGTTTCAGAAGCAGTGTGACGAGCACCCACTCTAGTAGAGCGCAACTCTGCTTTTCCAATGGTACCATACAATTCTAGGTTGGTACAATGGATAGCTCAAGCAACTGTTTTCTAATGCGATTGAGGAACCAGTTGTTCAATCTTCTAATAATGTATATTTTTTAAAAAACTTCTTGATTTCCGATTTTTCCACTTACGCAGGAGTCTTTTAACGCCACTCCAAATTGAAATTATTTTTAAGATCAGCTCTTCGAAATAATTCATAGCACCTTTACATGTAGCTTTGGTGGAGGTCACACTAGCCTTTTTTAAAATATTTTTATATGTTTACACTGAAAATGTTTGCAGAATGTCTTCCTGAGATCATCTTCAGTTGAGGTTTGCTCTGGTTTACTTGGAGAATCTTACGAACGCAACAGGCCAGTAATAGGTTGTGCCAGAGTTAGTATTTTTGTTTGCATGAGCCACATTTCTGTTTGCTACCCATAGCCTTTACAACAACAACAACAACAACAACTTGGATTTATATAGCGCCCTTCATGTAGGGTAGCGTCCAGGAACTCTTTAGTATTCTTACTGTTCAACTATCTACTACGCTTTTACAATAATTTGTCAGCTACTTTGACTATTGTTCGAAGTCAAGAATTCCACATTCCAACCACCCTCTGTAGAGGTTTTTTTTCTAACCTCACGATTGACCTTGTCTGACACAGTACTGTAATTTCTGTTCCGCCATATTCTTTCCAATGGCAGACACCTGTGACTTCTGTCTTTGTTATATTCTCTCATTAAATGAGTTTTCTACCTGTAAACCACATTAAATGGGCTTGAGACAATTGCATCAGTTGTGGGAAGAATGGACTCCCTCCCTCTCCTGCTCTCTTCGTCCCCCACTTCTCTTCATCTCCTCACTCACCTCCTCTTCCCCTCTGGCTCTCTCTCCCAATTATTTGTTGTTCTCTCCCCTCAATACTTTTTGTTGTTCAGTTATTTTTGTTCTCTCTCACAGTTCTTTCTCACTCTCTTCCCCAATTCTCTTGCTCACTCTTATCCCTCATCCAATTCTCTTGTTTGTTTGTTTTTTCTTTTTTTTTTCTCTCTCTTTTTCCCCCAATTCTATTCTTCCTTGTTTCCAGATGATGACAATATTTTGTTTGTAATTAGAAGTTGAAATACAAATTAGACTGTAGCTATGGTAAGTTATATTTCATTAAGTATTGTTTGAAAATTGATTGCTAAGACTCCTTCAAAATTTTGTTTCATGTGGCTGACCACTAATCCTTTGAGCACAACATTTTATCAGCAGCTTTCAAATTCTGCACCTTATCACAAACTCTGCAAAAATTGTACATGTAAGTTGTCCATGAATATTAAACTTATGTGGAAGTCTAATTTTCATGCCAGGTTTATCGTATTCCATAATTGACTACTGTTAAATATAAATAATATTACAGAAATTAATGGAATAATAATTCTTAATAATAAAATTGAAAGAAGCATATGTTAATTTTTATTCTTATTGCAGAATCCTGCTCTGCTTTTGTTTTCAAAGGATGAATGTCTGGTAAAGATATGTGCCTGCATTTTCTCATATGGCACGTTTCGTTTTTTTTTGGAAAAGAGTTTAAAGTGGACCTGAAAAGCTATAACCCTAGGGTTCTTATTAGAGATAGTGCATGAAAAAATAGTCTTGTTATGAAACTTATCTGAGCCTTCACAATTATTCAAAAATAAATACCTAAGTGCAACAATCATTCACCTTTATACAGTGCCAATAAGGCCAACCATTGAGCATTGCGTTCAGTGAATGCCTTGTTAATGTCAAAGCTTCCTGCTAATTTTGCTGCTTTTCATATCACTTTTAAATTGCTTTTACACTATGCATGTTGGTTGTGTCTGCATATATTTTGTATAGGCTGTCCAGCAGTGTTGTTTATTATGATCACTAAATGACTCTTAAGATTAGATGCACACTCTAGATCCCTCACATTAATGTTTATTAACGTTTAACCACAGTTCTACCGTGTGTATTTTCTTTTCTTGGCTCCTGCTTCTCTCTGTCAGGTCTCCTTTGGTGCACCAGCCAAGCCACGGATGCCGCTCGACTCACAACAGTCCAATTCATACTGCTACAGGCTCGAGACTAACTCAGAACTTCTCAGTGTCTGTTCCTACACTCATCTACACTGGTATGAGACTGCACAGGCTGAGAAGCTAGGGAGAGGCAGGCCACAAGCAGAGAAAGGGGGCAGAGTAAAGCCAGGCAGGCAGAGTAGGCAGGTACCATAAATATCTATCTAACCCCTTCTCAGCAGGAAGTACATAAAAGGACCCAGAAGTCAGGTTTGAACATAATGCTTTAAAGGATTGAGAGAGAAGAAATAGCAAGGTTCTGCTTATCGTTTAGCAGTGGCCTGGATAACATGAACACCAGCATTTAACTTACCAAGTCTTTTTGTTCCCATTTTTAGCTGTGACGCACTGTTTCGGTGTCCCAGAATAAGGAAACATGAGTTTCAGTTCTACATCCTTTGCACAAGTTTTCTTTTGGTTACCCGATTAAAATGCATTGTGTGCTTTTTAAAGTCATTGCCATAATTCCGTATCGTTATCCTTTTGTTTACTGACATCTCACTGAGGTCTCCTGTGCATGGTTTGATTTGTGTTCCAAAAAATCTTTTATAACCTCTTTCCTATGTGTAATGTGCAAAATCTGGCAACCATATTCCCAGAATTATTCAGTGTAAAGACAGCAGTTCTTTGCCTTCGGCCTCACTCCTCAGCCTGCGTACGGAAGAACCTGCTGTCTTCCCCCTGTATTTGGATCATTCCATCATCGCTCGGATCCGCAGTACAGGGTAACTGAATGTGTTTCCCGCTTCTTCTGGCAGGGTTCCCTTCAGTGAAGATCCCAACCCTGTCACTCATTCTTCAGGACCCTCTACCCCACTGAAAAATCAAACCTATTCCTTTTCACCTTCCAAGTCCTACAGTCGGCAGTCCTCCTCCTCCGAAACCGATTTGAGTTTGACACCTAAAACTGGTAAGGCACCTCCACCCAGTTTCCTTTCTGTTGTACATTTGTGGGTTTTTTTTGCACTCGTTGGACCTCATTTTGCTCGTCAAAACCGTTTGATCACAAAGCTCCTTTCTTTCATTGAACTACGAAGAAAAGGCAAAATTGGGTTTGAAGACTAAACCGGACTAGAGATGCTTTTTTCTTTGCTTTTAGTCTTTGAAGCACAATGATTGAATTCAGATGCTGTGGAAATAAATTATTATTTTTGTGGTAGGTGGACATGTGTAAGTGGAAAAGTTGAGTTGTTATTGTGCTTGATTTTTAGGAAGAGGTACTCTCTGGTAGATGCCAATTGCATTTTCACCAGTGTGTTTGATTTCTATCGAGAAGCCCACAAAATCTGTTGTCTTGTCAACATGACATCTGAATGTCTTCAACTGTCCCGTTCTGTGTTCATCCTGTCTATTTTAAATACGTATGCTTTACTACATCGCACTGATACAACATATAATTGAATGTTTGGATGTGGGTCCCAGCCAACTATTATTTATAGCATTTGAATTTTTAGGAGCCAAGTTCACATAATGTAGTATCTGGGAGTTGGTGGTAAATAGATCATGGGAGGATATTGCACAGTAATAGCATGAGCTGGGGCTCTTAAGCTTTGGTAACAGTGAAACTAGCAGGGAAAGTGAATCAAAGCTACATCTTCTAAATATCTTCCTCTTCTAATATATTTTGTGTATTGAGTAATATACAGTATGAAGTACATAGCTTCATTTTTATATTCTGCATAAATTGCAAGAGGGTAAGTAAAACCAAAACTTTTAGAACACTTTATTAGTTCTTTCCTCTTACTTATTACTTATTATTACTTATTAATTTTTATTGCTGTGTGGATTTGCACCTTTTTTTAAAAAAAAACTAGCTGGATGAACATAGAATCATGGAAACTCAAATATTGGAGAAGGCCATCAAGTCAATGATGGTTCTAGACCTTACAGTTATAGTAAAACTCACATAAGTCTGATCTGTATAAATCGTATAATCGCCTAAATCGTTTATCTGCCCAAGTCCCGTTCAAGAGTTTATATTCTATTCAAGTTTGACATAACTCCTACTTTGTCATATTAAATGTACGGTCCCAACTGATACGACTTATGTGAGGTTTACTGTATTTTCATTACAATTTGCTGCTCTTTCTTCTACCATTTCTTTTATTCCTCTCAAATGGTTAACCAATTGCCTTTTAACCTATGTGTTGGCCTCCATTACTCTAATACTCTTCCTCTACACACCATTTCTAATTTTCTTTTAAATGTCCCAGTTGACTGCTGTAACAGCCACCTTGCAACCCTGTGGGAGAATGTTTTTCTGAACCTCTCCCTTTTCTCCCCTAGTCATAATCTTGAATTTATAACTTTATCCTCAAATTCCCTTCCAGCGGAATGTATTTTTTGTGATGGATTCTTTCTTTCAAACCTGTTCATTATATTAAATACCTCTATTATACCACATAGCAACATTTTCTGCTCCATCAGAGAGAGTTCTAGCTTCTCCTCATGTCTCATTTCCTTTGTGAACCTGATTGTAACATCACTCTCTTCTCTACCTACATTTAGTTAATCAAATAATCAATTGCATGATTGAACTTGAAGGGACCATGGAAATATTCAAATGAATGTGCAACTTTTCATGTACAATATTTGAATGTTTTGTTCCCAAATTTTGTTTTAAACCCGAAAATTTGATATTTTACTGAGAATATCTTCACAATGGAAGTGGGAAATACAGAATAATAATCCCTCCACCCCCCTCCCCCAAAAAAAAATTTGGTCCCTCAATCCACAACTGTTTGTGGGAAACTATTGTGTGCAATTGGCTGCCATGTTTTGCCCACAAAATATATACAGTCAATTCACTTTACAGTATATTCTGTGAAGCGCTTTACGATGTCTCAATGACAAAGCGCTATATCAAATGTGAGGGTTATTATTAAATGATGCAGTGGCATAGAGGACATTCAGATGTTTCAAATACTTACATTTTTACAAAGCTTTTCTCCAACTGGAACCCTTTTCTCCATAACATTTTAATAAATTTATTGTTTTAAAACCCAGAGAAAATTTATAAATCACATTAATTAATTATCCTTATTAGATTCCACTTTCCCAAGAATTTCATGTTTTAACTATTTATGCTTGGACCAGAATAAGGTCTAAATTATTTGATTTTTTTAAAGCAGTTTTAGGCTGGATTTGTAAACTATAATTATTAAAATTTTCGGATTATAATTGGCGATTTTTAAAAAAAGAGGAATTAACACATAGATAGGCAAGGAGTTCTTAGAACTTTAATTGGAATTAAATGTTTCGAATGCCATTTGGTTCATGAGTAAAATGACTACAATGGGGAGAATTGTTTGTGTTGGAATCTAAAACAAAATCCAATTTGTGGGAAAAAAATCACTCAGTTGGGTCTAACATTCTGCTGGTAAACATATTGAATGGCTAATATTAACAGAGCACGTTTACCATTTGACCTGAAATATTCTAGGCTATGTGGGGAAGCCTACTTAAATTTTATTTGAAACATTAATCTAATGCTGTAGCATATTTGTGGAATACCCCAAAATTGTTGGAGGGGGGTGGGGAAAGAGAGAAAGTACTTTACAATAAAAGCACTTTCTCCTTCTAGTGATGTTCAGGTTATTTAAGTTCACGACAATCAGCCTCTGAAAATCTTCATTGGTCCTTTGCATGCTTCTTATCTTTTTTTGTGTATATGTTTTCATTTGATCAAATGTATATCGAGTTTGTTTTGCTTTCAGATGGTTTTCCATAGAGTACTTTCTTCTCCACCGTCTGTACCTAATCTTCTGAATTTCCAACTTGCATCTTTTTCTGCTACTTTCCTCCAGCAGCATCTTCCCCAAAGCGGCCTAGGATTTTCCTCTTTCCCAGCTCCCCTCCTCTCTCTTCTGGGTCCCCCCATCATAAAAGTTCACATCTCCTTCGTTTGGGGGCACTGCACAGCCTTACCCCTCCTCACTCTGGCTTTGCGAGTCCAGTCTGTCTGAGGAAAACTGTGTCTTTCAATGAAGAGTTGCTTCTAGCTGTCTCCGGTAGGATTGATTGATGTAACAATACATCTGCTTTTAGCGAGCCTTTGTGCTCAGTCCTAAAGCCTTTTGCTTACATTACATTGAAACAAATATCAACCTGCTTATAATTGAGGAAAAGCAAGAGCGTACAAAAAAGATGGAAAACATTTGACATAATTTGCAAATGAGAAGTTATTCTTAAAACAAAAAACAAATCAAACTAATGCACATTTATACATTTTGCTCTGCTCTTAACTGTTACTATCAATCCATAATTCAAAATTTTCATAAAAAATTATCCTAGTGAAATGTTCTGTAACATAAGTATAATGGAAAATTACAGCTAAATGTGTTGACAATACAATAGCTTTACAGATTTAGAATGTTTTTTTTAAAAAGCATTGGTCGTACAATATAATGCATCATGGCTCTATCCATAATCAGGAATCGCTTCTTTCATTCTATTTACATAACTACACAACTCATAAAATGTTTGTCGTGTTGAGTGTTATGGGTGCCTTGTGAAATTCATTGTTTTTTTTTATTTCTCAGTGTTTATGTATATTTTGATGATTTCATATTTCCCTACTTAAAAACAAATGCGTTTTAATAGCTTAGGAGATAGTTCCACAATTTTAAGTTCGCTCTCTGTATTGACCTTTCTCAGTATAGCCTTGCATCAGCCGATTTTCTCAATCCCCCCCAAATTGGAGACTTTTAGAAGTGTGTACACTACTGTTCTGTACTGCTTACTCCTTGAAAGAATATTAGCTTATGTTACCCAAAGGCCTATACAGAAGTACTCAGGGTAAGTCTGAACTGTTTCCTTATCAAAGGCACAGCTTAAAAAAAAAATTCTATATGATTGATTAGGATTAAAAACCAAGTTATACAACATGCTTAATTGTAATTATTGTTTATGGTGTACAAGGCTGCAGAAAAGTATAGATGCAGAAGTCTACCACTTATAAAGAGCCTTAGGCAGCGTAAGAATCTGCTCGGTTGTACATTTGGTAGAGGAAGGAATATATTTCTGAAGACTTTTACTGATCAATATTGTATTTTGGATACACACAATTGTTTGGCCATATATAGGTTGGTTTGTGATTTTGAAATTAATATAACTTTAGACAATAAGTGAGCCTGTCGTTAATTCTTTCTTCGGTAAAGTGTTCCATAAAAATACCCCCCCAAAAAAATAATAATCTCTATACAAGCAAAAGTTTTCATAGTGTTGTATCCATGAGCCAATCAGTCAGTACTGAACAAATGTAGACTGGCTCTAACTGAAACAATAGATGTTCAATGTAATGCATGCGTAATAGAGAAGTTAAGCTTGGCATGATTTTAGTCTACTGTACTATGATTGCTTAACATCCTCTGTTCATTATTTTATGGCTTAATGTTTGGCCTGTTTAAAAGCAATTAAAATACACATTTGAAATTAATTAAAAAATAGTAATTTTTTAAAGCAGTTCTAGTTTTTGATATGCCGTTAAACAAGCCTTGGCGTTTACCTTAAACAGAATGAATTTAACATAAGGAATGCATGGAACATGACTAGAAAACAGATTACTGTATAAAATGCACATTTCTGTTGGTCAGTAAAAGTACTCACTTTAGTATTGTGTTCCCGCAAATGAGATTTTACCATTATAAGCACACGAGGCAAGGTTAGTTTATATACAAGTGGGATTTCCCTAGTGAGCACACAGAATTTACAGCAATGAAGGAATAAAAGAGTTTAGTGAAACATAAGATAATGGTGGTGTAATTTCTTCTATAATCAATCTAATTATGTTGGCTATGTTAAAAGCAAATTGTAGTTCACATTTTTAACCCTTATAAACCATTTGTAATAATAAGTGTGATGTGCTGGTTTAATGTTATCTTTTAGGTATGGGAAGTGGGAGTGGTGGAAAGGATGGAGTACCTTTGAAAACTCTCTATCGACAGCAGACACAGTCTGCATTTGAACAGAGGGTAAGCATTAAAAACAAGTTATATCAATTCCAATTGTCTTAAAGGCTGAAAAATGTTTTATACTGGAACAAAAGTTACATAATTGTTCATTGCATTGCTAGAATTTCAGGAATTTCAGAATTGCTGGAATTTTTATTATTGTTGTGATTTTTGTTGGTGAACACTGGAGTAAACATGAACAAAACACAAAATACTGCAGATGCTGGAATCTGAAACAAAAACAGAGAGAACTGAGAAAACTCAGCAGGTCAGGCAGCATCTATGGAGTGCACTTTCCTTTCTCCATAGATGCTGCCTGACCTGCTGAGTTTTCCCAGCTCTCTCTGTTTTTGTTACTGGAGTAAACATTTCTATTCTAAAAGATTTTTTTTTAATTCTTGTATTTTTTGAACTGCACGGATAAGGGAGGCTCTCTTCGTATCTTCCATGGGAAGTGGGTATGTTTATAATAATAATAATCCTTGCATTTGATATAGCGCTTTTCACGTCTTCTAGACGTCCCAAAGCGCTTCACAGAATATACTGTAAAGTGAATTGACTGTATATTTGTGGGCGAATGCGGCAGCCAATTGCACACGGCAGCGTCCCACAAACAGTCGTGGATTGAAAATGACCAATTTATTATTGTTTTTTGTTTTGGAGGGATTATTATTTAGTTTAGAGGGAATATTATTTAGTTTAGAGGGATTATGTTTAGTTATGTTTAGAGTGCCACCGAACTCGGAAACTTTTCCCTGAACTCCAACATTTTGATTGAACTAATGTTAGTATTCTGAGTATGATGTGCTGAATTTCAAATGAAATCAATTGCGTATACAGTTGAATTCAGCATTGGAAAATATTTTTCATTTCTTATAGTGTGTGCTCACAAACAAAACTATTAGTCATTTCTGCCAAAGATTTACAATACAAAATTACATTTACACAGCGCCTTTCACGTCAGGGAGGACGTCCAAAGACACTGGACAGTTGGGGTTTTGGACCCGAGCTGGCAGGGTGGTGGGTTGGGATCAGGAAGGATGGAGGGCAGGGAGGGTCGTCGAAGAAGTGATCGAAGAGAAGAGTCTTGAGATGTGCCTAGATATATAATATCTATATTGTGTGTATATATGTATATAAATATATATATATACATTTCTATAGACAAGTGTGTTGCAAAATATACACTTTGGACCGATTTCTAAAACTAGAATGGCGAAAGATGAAAACACAGGTAATCTTACTGTTTGAAGCTTATCGTACAATTGATTTTCAAAGTATATTTTTTGCAACCAGGTCAGATATAGAGTGAGAATGATGTAGGATAAAGCTACACTGTTCTAACAATATTCCTTTATCCCAGCCTCCAGGGAGCTCTGTATGCACTACAGTGATCTTTTCCACCTCGAGTCATTCTTGTACCTCTTTGAGTCCTGCAGTTTTGTGCCAATTTATGGCACATGTTTGGAGTTGTGTTGACACTGTTCAAACTGACTGGTAAAAATAGCATCAATAGAATGAACATTTTTCACACATACACAAAAAGATGCATGCTTTTTTTCTATTAGGCTAGTCTACATTCAAACAAAAACCACAGAAGTTTGTCGATCTATGTTTAAACCTTGAAGCCTGGCCAGTTTACCCTTCAATTTATTTCCTTAGTAACTTCATTTAATTTTCAAGAACAGATTCTGAGTGAATCTTACAAAGGTTTGTACCTACAAGCAAAATATTGCTTAAAAAACTGGGCCCAGAGCTTATGACTGAAAAGCGGTTGGCAAAAATCACATGTGAATGAAGTCTTTCAGAACATAGCTGATTAGAGTTGTGTTGATTTAAATTTGAAATGTCGGTGTTGTATTGTGATTTCACTCTGAAAGGTGTGCTTAAAGATATCAGGTTTGAGTTTGCACTGTTCAGAGAGATGGTCCTGCATTGCCATTGATTAACACAAAGTTTTTCTTTCTGCTTAGGAATTCCCCTTCTTTACTCTTACAACTTTCCCAGTCGGGTTCCTGGTCCATGTTGGTGGGGTGGTCAGTGCACGATCTGTGAAGCTTCTTGACCGAATCCACAACCCTGGTAAGTTGGATGGGTAAAACTGTCCCAGTTTGTTAGAGGATTGAAAGAAAACAAATGTCTTTCAGGTTTGTGGAATGAAATGCAAAATGTTATCGATTTACAGTGCCAATCAATTATACCAAGAAACGGGAAGTAAATAAAGATTGCAGATAGTTTGCAATGATGTACTTAAATATTGACAGAATCATGTGGAGCTGATACAGCTATTTTACAGTATAGTGCATTATTGCACATCCATCAAAATGTTTAAAAATCTATTAAACAATTCACAGATACAAGACCTATGAGACTGTTCATCATCTAGCTGTTCTGCTCACAGCAGGGACGGTTTATGTTCTGGGGATTATCAATTCAACCCAAACCCTTAACTTGTTCCAGTAACTCAAAATGCTTGACTAGATTTTAATTAAGTTTTCAAATTGTCTTCTAATCAAAAATCGCAGGTGTTTGAAAGTGCTTTGGTACCGTGCACTGATTTTCTTGATGTGTTTCAAAGAAGCGGTTTGTAGACCTGAATAACTGAACAGTATTTTTACAAATCTTCACAGGTGATTGTTTTTTCCCCCCCATTCTATTGATTTCTCTCAAAACAGAGACGCTTAGAAACTTGTCTCACTCCAGTGTACTAACATCTTCAGCACAAGTTGTCACCTTATCTTAGGCACACTGTTTAGTAAGCGTATCTTCGTTTCTTACCATACTTGTTGAGCTGGGAGTGATTACCTTGTACATTTGTATCCATTAACACCAAGCCGTACGATCAATTAAAAATCCTTAGGCCAATCAAAGTTCTATGTTACTTTATCTCATTGAATAGTGGGGTCAATTTTTAAACACAATGTCGTTGCATGGATTTACCATTTGTGGGAAATATTGAAAATATTGAATTTGTGCCGTGCCAAAAAAGTCCAGGGAAACATAGCTCGAAGTATTGGGAGTGGTTGACTCGAAAGAGCAAATTAATTGTGGAAAGGTTTTTGTTGATCAATATCTAGACTTGCTCAGATTCCCTTGACCGTTTCCCCTTCCTTACCTGTGGGTTTTTTTTAAAATTGTTTTACTGTTGACAATTCCTTATGCACTGGGTGCACTAAGGTAGCGAGGCAAATTACCTTCTGTGTGAACCTCGACAGTCAGTGTACTTACTATTGGACTGTTAGTTGAAACTTGGTGAATCTGATCCTGTTTTCACCCGGCATCTAAACAAGCATAGTGATAAAGAATGGAGCCGAGGATGATTTATCCCCCTGTTTAATCTAACTTGCTGAGGCCAATTGTAGTGCACTGGTTTTGTTGATCCACATCAGCTAACTCAGTATACACTGGGAAGGTTCCTAAGCAGCATACCTAGGAATCTTCAATGAATAAGCTATCCAAGGCCACAGAATATCTTTTCTGATGTGTTTGGTATTTTCTTACGATGTATTACAAATCTTTGCTTTGTTGCTAGAGAGATCTGTCAAAAGTATTTTCAATTCATTATCTGGATTAAACCTAAAATGTTTTTTTACATGTATATAATATATCACATGATGAGTTAATGTATATATTATAGCCGTCCCTAAAGTTATATTTTCAATATTTCTTCATTTATTTGGGTTCAGACAAAATGCAAAGAGTTATGACGTACAGCACGGAAACTGGCCACTCGACCCAACCAATCTGTGTCGTGTTTAAACTCCACACGAGTCTTCACCTCTTCCTTACTCCCTCCCATACGCTTACATTCCCCTATCCCTCATATAAAGGTCTAGTTTCTCTTGAATTCATCTACGCTATCTGATTCAAATTCCCTCCACAATTTCACTGTCCTCCCTTTGAAGTAATTCCTCTTAAATTTTCTTTTAAATCCCCTAGTTACTATCTTATATTTGTCCCCTTGTCACAGACTCCCCAGCCAGTGGAAACATCCAATTTATATTCACTTTATTCAATACTTCTAGAATTTGAAACACTTCTGTTAGCCCCGCCCCCCCCCCGCCCCCATTACAAATTCATAGTCATATATTTTGTAATGGTCTGAATTACATTACTATACTGTATGTACTTTTGATAAGATTTGACTGCATTTGTAATGCTTTCCACAACCTTTTCCATCAAATTCTTTCTTATGTAGAAAACTTTTCATGAGCGTTGATTTATATTTCGGATAAATATTTATATAAGCTTTCACTGGGTGGAATAAAAGCTACATTTTTTTTATTCAAAATATTTTTAATAACGTCACACCGGTTGGACAAATCTGCTGCTCTCGTTGACAATAAAACTAGTACCGTTACATCAGTTTCAACTCTGCTATTTATAAATGTTGATGGTTTACTCTCCAAACTTCCTCTTTCACTGTTAACCTGTGACACAGAAGTTACCTTTAAGAATTGCATCTTTGAAGATTCTTTGTTTTAAAATAAAAACAATGTTTTTTTTTTTTGTTCTTGGGTAGAAAGTTACATGGCTGCTAAAATATTGATCGCGTTTTTGAGAATCGCTCCCTAAATATGAGAGAGCATAGAACTGATGTGCACTCCCATTAGATAACTGGCGATAAATGCAAGTAGTCAACCTATCTATCTATATATGCTTACATAAAGTCTTATAATTAAATCTGTTCTGGTACAAGATTGCTATAGCATGGCTCTTACTCTCTTTGCCTTTTCTGGTTGAATGAACCTGTATTAATGCTGTTGTCTATGTTTTTCTAGTTCCTGTGGAGTAGTGTTGTCCTTGTGTGTGTATTGTGTTCTCTGATCTGCTTTATAACTGATCTACTAACTTGCTGTTTTGAACTCAGCCTTTGTCGGAATTATGGGTAACACAAGATCATACAAACTGCTAGACTGGAATAGTTTCAATGCAGGTATTTTATAACTTCTTCAACATTACACCTACTGACTGGAATTATGGCAGCTCAGTGAAGTCAATTCCAATGGTTTTATTACCCTAACATCATGATACGTTAACGTAGATCATTTGCATTGCTTTTTTTTAAAAAAAAACTGAACATTTGTTAAAGTAATGAAACCCAAACCAAATGTTCTGTAGTTCTATAGATAGACCAGAATCATTCTTAGAAAAGAAATACACATTTATATCCCAGATTTAAGTGCTATTGGAAAGGTATTTACATACATTGAAGTTACTTCTATTACACTATAGTTATACATGCAAAATGTATTTGCCACACAGATATTAGATTCCATTATTTGGTTGCTGCTTTGTTCAGCTTTAATGTATGAAGTACAACCTTTAGGTTTATGGCATACTAAAGCCCAAACTAATCTCATACTTCATAAACATTCTGACAAATGGTCACTCCATGATTGAAATCCAGTTCAATTCAAAATATTGAAAATATTCTTGCATTTTGTCATTTTACGTGATATCCCGGCTTTAATTCAGCTATTTCACAGATTGATGGTTTCAGGGCAACACAGTGACATAGCAGAGACTGTTAGATTAGGGGATTCAGCAATGTGCCAGGTCAGATAATTGTATTACAAATTTGTTTCAGTAAAGTATATTTTTAGTGGTTTGTAATACTGACCTTAAGTGAACTGTACTAATATAATCTGAAGTTAGGTAAGAACGAGAGCATAGGCATGAGAAAAGGCCATTCAGCCCATCCAGCTTGCTCCATATATCACACAAAACATTGTCAGCTTGATCCAGTATACAGGAAGCAAGCTACAATATGGCAACATGGTTTTACGATTTACCTAAGGGTTTTTAATCTCGGTAGTAAAGCGGGATTAAAGGATCTGTTTGTTGTATTTTTAAACATTGACAATAAATCACCCAGTTAGCTCATGTTCATCTTCATTGTTGTTGTAAAGGTTGAATATTAAGACGGACCCATTGCCACAGGGCGGAATCATCAACTTTTTTATTTTGATTCATTTTTAAGCATTGTTTTTATCCGCTTGGCAGAATGTGCTTTCTCCTACCTTTACTATCGCTCTAAATCATGCTGTTTGGCCTGAAATTAGCTTATAATTGGAGTGACCAACTTTCAGTTAGGTTTACAAGAAATGTATTATTGGTGGTGGTTGTCAGTTTTAATACAGAACACCTTGGCTTAAAATATTATTTTAGCTCATTAGCATTCTTACCTTGTAGATCATATGATTTCTTAAGAACAATAAAAAATAGAAAACTAATTCTCTCATGTTTGGGCGAGTTTTAAGAAAACATTCCTTTAAAAAATATTCCTCGTTCCACCAGCCATGCTTTTACAAAGGTGCTAAGATCATTACTTTAACCATTTCAGTGAGCTGCCATGGTTTTCTGTCTGTTCTGTCACGTCCCGTGAAGCATGCTTCAACAAGCCTAGTATTTCCCGATGGCTTCTCACCAAAGGACTTTCTGTTACGTTGCTGTTACGTTTACGTTTTCGCTTCAGCAGCAAGTCTTTCAAACACTGTGCACTGTTGAACTCGGCTTGGTGCTTGGCATCATGCATCCCAATTTTTTTATTAGCTCTGCAGTTTCAAGCTTAGTTAAGTAATGTGAGTTTGTAATGGCATGCCCGCTTAAGGACTTGTGGCTCAACCATAAAAGGCTTTAGTTTCTTTTTTTCCCCCCCAGAGGTGCTCATATTTTTTGTGGAAAAGAACATGTTTTGTTTCCATTGCATTTGAATATCTTCTATGTGATCGAGTTGTGTTTGATAGTTTATTATTACAATTGTTACTCGTCCGATGACTGAAAGAATTTACATAACAGCAGAATACTTCTTCTCACATAGTCTCCACTTTCTGTCTTTACTATTAGCACTATTTTCTTGCAGAATGGGAAAAAAAAAGTCTGGTGAAAAAATGTTCTTTGACTAGGTACTCCATTCTCAGAGGACTGAAATCTTTACCTTCGCTGTGTTTGGAGCAACTCGTGTGATCGTAAGCTAAACAGCAAACAGTTCTACAAGGGCAGACGGTTTCAAGTAGTTCTTGTTTACATATTTCTAAATCCTTGGGATTTCCACGTGTAGGTGGGCTGCATGGAAATCTCAGCTTGGTTTGGAAACTCTTAAGCAACTGTAATGGGTTTCCGTGTGTGTCAGACACCCGGCTGACCCCCCCCCCCCTCCCTCCCAAAATATTCGTTCTTCATAGATGTGATGGACTATTTTTCGTTGAATACTTTACGCGCTGTTTTGTTGATATCACAGTGATTCAGATTATACAATTGCTGATCCACACCACACCCCGCGTTAGGCAAACAGACAAAACTATTGGCTTCTTGGAATTAAAGGTGCAAGTAAAATACTCTGCCTTAAAATAGCAGCCCTTTTTAAACATTTCTGTAGATCAATAAATACTGTCCATGTTTCCTGCACGGAGCACATTTGTTTTAAAAAATCACTATTATAAATACCCGAGTCAGAGCGGGGGTGCGGGACTAGTTGGTAGCTCTTTCAAAGAGCCGGCATAGGCACGATGGGCTGAATGGCCTCCTCCTGTGCTGTAGGATTCTATGATTCTATAAATCTCTTAACTTGAAGATAGAGGGACATTTTTCTACTGATCACTCAAGAAAAAGACTGACGTGCTGATCATAAATTGTCAGTTACAAAGATGAAGGATTTGGTTCTATGTTTCAAGGTTGGTAAGCTTGCATGGAAAGCTCTAAGTAACTTTGCCAACATATGCTGAAGATCCAACTGAATATTTTTCCTCAATAAATACCCACCTAAGAACAATTTTCATCCCTTATTGATCCTCCTTATATCAATGAATGGGTCATCATCCATAAGAGGAAAAGCTGGAAAAAGAAGCACATGTTTCTCCTTTGTACATTGCTATCGCTTGCTGTCGTGAGGGTCAGGTGGTCTTCTGTCACACCCCCTCCCCACCCTTTCTCTCTCACACACACACACACACCCCACTGTATTGATAGGCCTTCGTCTGTGAATGCACTTCACAGGCATCCACTTGTACACGGCCGAGACCCAAACAATGGATCACGTCAAGACAATGTGACTAAGTATGACGTTATTCAAGGTTCAAATGCAGAGCTACTTGTGGATCCTGTTGATGACAGAATCTGTATTTATGGTTTTAAATGCGATTCTTTGCATGATTCCTGTTCATATATTCAGGTTCAGTAGTTGAGGTACAGATCAGCCATGATCTAATAGAATTGCAGAACAGGCTAGAGGGGCTGAATGGCCTACTCCTGTGTCCATGTGAAGTGCATGATACATAGAAATCTACAGAGCAGAAGGAGGCCATTCGGCCCATCGAGCCTGCACCGGCTCACAAAGAATTAAAAAATTTCGGATATACTGTGTTCTTTTTATTAACCTTGTGCCTGTTTGAAAAACATTGCAGGTTTTAGAGTAAGTCTACAATATATATATCTATGTTGCATTTTTTTTATTTATAAATCCTGGATGTACAGGTAAAATATGAGTGTGGGAATGATTTATGATTTACATATCCATAGGTCCATAGGGTATGAGAACAGAATTGGTGATCTATAGTAATACATAATAATATTCAATGTCAAAATGATATTTTACCATCAAACAAGGGATAAATAAAATGCGTATTGCAGTTTCTAGTTTTCCCACCAGAGGGTGCCCAGTTACTGAATTATTTTCAATGTCCTCCGCATAAATTAGTGAATTGCCATGTTTTTTTTTGAAAAAAAGGGATTGTGCATTATTTTACTATAATGTCAGTGAAACGGATCATTTGTGATTGTTTGCTTGACACATTCCCAGGAACTAACATGCACCAGTCACTCACCCTCATTTTTTTACAGATCGACTTTCATCAAAAACGCAGGTGCTTATTAGTGAAAATAGGTAAACAACCTTTAGCCTTATTTTCGAACCTATCTTGTATATGTTGAGCAAAGATGTAATAGTTGATCTGAAGCAATTTTGAATCGACATTTATTTACATCAGAAGTAATGTATTGCAGAGATTCCATGATTTAAACCAGTGTTCAATAGAAATCACTGACGAGCGAAATGGTTACTGCAACACTATTTTTAGCTACGTGCACTAATTTTAGTAGAAACCGCCTTACATACACTCACACAATACTGGGAAATGTACTTCACATGTATGTTAACGTGTATATTTATTTAACAAACATTGCTTAACAAACATCTAGCACCATGCAATGGGAATCTTTGTAGTCTTCTTTATATTTCGTTTGTGATACGCTCCCCTGCTCGCCAATCCAGAACATGGTTGGGTGCTGTTTACCCTTTGCCATGACCTGCCCTGTTGAAGCTGCTGTTATTGACTGGGCTTGCTTTCTTCCACTGGCCTGGAGCAGTTATTTTGTTTGGTCACGCTAACCAGGAATGACAGCTCCCCTCTCGTCCAATCTTGCCGGTGTGCCCATGGCCTTTTCACCCGTGTTATACACATCATTTTAGCAGATAACCAATAAGCAGTAAACAAGCAAGTAAAGCACACACAATAATCAAAAAACACTCACACTTGCTGCTTTTTATCTTACCATTTTACCAACAAATGCACAAACAGGTCAAAGTAAGCATGGCTTTGGTGTGCGAACATGAGTATTGACACCACATGCCCAAAGTCAGTGCCTATTACTCACTAATTATCATCATTATTATTAAATTAATTTCAGTACAACTGGATTTCCAATTCGCCACATTTGGCTAGCGTGTAAGGTATTGTAAGGCTCCTAATAATAATCCCTCCAAAAAACAAAAACAATAATAAATTGGTCATTTTCAACCCACGACTGTTTGTGGGACATTGCTGTGCGCAATTGGCTGCCGCGTTCGCCCACAAATATACAGTCAATTCACTTTACAGTGTGTTCTGTGAAGCGCTTTGGGACGTCCTCCCGACGTGAAAAGCGCTTTATCAAATGCAAGGATTATTATTATTATTGGGTTTAAGCAATGTAAACGTCAGAGATGTACATTAAGGCAGATTTTTGTGCATTGTTGAATATTTAGGTTTAATGCATTAGAAAAGTAGAAAGAGTTAAAGGTATGCATTATTTTGGTAAAGTTGGTCACACTCTTTGCTCTGCATCAGTGATGTAGGATTGAGCTCCATCCCCAGACTTGTGCTCAACATCTACATTTTTAGGAGGTGCGATTGTGTGGCTGAAGGTGTTAAACCGAGGTTCCGTTTGCAGGTTGAAGGGGACGTTAACAAGACCTGGTACTATTCCAAAAAGTAGGGCAATCTCCCTATCCCTCGCCAGTATTTATTTCTCCCTTAATGATATTCATCAGAAAAAAAGTATTGATTTACATCTCGCTGCTGTTTCTGAGATTTAGCTGCTGAATTTGCTGTGGTATATGTGGTACCACTACAGTAAGTAATTCAAAGCGCAAAAAGGTGTTTCAAATGCATTTTTTTAAAATCTTTGCCATTTGAATGTGTACCTGCACATTTTAAAAGTGTTATGTAAACGTGTTGTACATTGATCAATCTTGAAGAAAAAGTGTTGTTGAACTTTAGTATTAGCTTAAGGGCTGATTGAGTGATTCCATCAATCCCTTAAACAACAGTTCTCCATATAATTTGTTGACCCTCATTGATATTGGTTGGAGGGATAGATCGAATTTTCAAATTTTAATCTTTTTATCCATGTAATACTATTATTTGTATTCCATTTTTTCTTTTTTTTTTAAAAAAGGGATTGTTTCTGGTAGTTCTTGCATGCCTTGCGGCTACAAGAAATAATTGTTGTGCCTTTGCTGAGTTCCATCTCACCAAGCCAAGTCATTTTGCTGCTTGAAATCATTCTGCTGACTGAACACTGTGCGCGGCAAAAATACTTTCAGCTAACATTAGTTGAAACCTCCGCTCGCCGTTGCATTCCTCCCATTAACTACTCGAGAGCTTTGTTCGTCTCTTGGCTCGTACGTTTTCTCTCAGTTCGTTCCGTGTCTGGTTGACCATAATTAGAAATGTGGGCACTAACAAAACTTCTAAGCAAATACAATGCTCTTAAAACCAACCAGGGTGATGTTGGGTATCGACATGGTAAGAATTTGCTGGGCCAGAGAAGACCAAGGTCCATGGGGTTCACCAATCACCAACCTGGCAGATGGTGTTTTCCTAGTGGCTGGTATAAATTATATGTTTAATACCAACATTTAATTTAAACTTGGGGATCAACCGTACCAGATTGCCAGTGTTTTTTAGTGTCTCATTCTGTTAAGAGTTTGAGAAGCGCACATCAGACTGATTTAGCGGAGGGGGGAAGGGGAATATTCTCTATGAAGTTAAACTCTGGAGTTTTCACTGAGTATTAACAGTGTGAAGCGGTACTTACCTTTGGATGTCTTTTCTGTGTGTTTCCTCTGCTCAGATGAACCAGAAACCCGGGATGCTTGGTGGGCAGAAATCCGACAGGAAATCAAGTCCCATGCCAAAGCTCTTGGATGCCACGCAGTGATTGGCTACAGTGAATCAACTAGCATCTGGTGAGTTTAGGTTCTTTGTATGTGACATTTTCACGTGTAACAGTGATATTTTATCCATTCGTTCATCTTTAATCAAACATCATGGCTGTTTGAGGGACATTGCTGTGCACAATTGGCTGCCGCATTTCACCCACAATATACACAGTCAAAACCATTTTACAGTACATTCTGTGAAGTGCTTTGAGACATCTTGATGACGTGATGAGGTGCTATATCAAATGCAAAGATTATTATTATCTTCCCCTAATTCTTCCTACAATATGTGCGTCAGCTTGGGGCAGTGGTAGCGCTCTCGCCTCTGAGTCAGAAGGTTGTGGGTTCAAGCCCCACATCGGGACTTGGAATCATACAGTCTAAGCTGACGCTGCAATGCAGGGCTGGGGGGTATTACGTTGTCGGAGGTGCCGTGTTTCAGATGAGACGTTAAACCGAGGTCCAGTCTGCCTGTTCAGGTGGAAGTTAAAGATCCCATAACATCAAAAAGAGAAGGGACTTCCTCCCTGTGTCCTGGCCAGCAATCCCCCAAATAAAATTGGATACTCACTTCATGGCTGTTATTGGGACATTGCCGTGACAGACTGGCTGCTGTGTTTCACCCACAATACACACAGTGAATCCACTTGCGGAGCCCAGGTCCTCTAGCTTGCGAGGCGAGTGCTCTAACCGCTGAGCTACAGGACTCCAATTTATATGTTCCATAAATTTCTAAATTTATATGTTCTATAAATAAGGATGCATTTTTCTGAATCGGTGCTTTTTGGTGCGTGATGGTGGAACGTTGGAATAATTTATGTTATTTACTCTTCTTTTCACAGTGAGGAAGTTTGTATCTTGTCTGCTTCGGGCACTGCTGCTGTCCTGAATCCAAAGGCGCTACAAGACTGCAGTGTGGAAGGCTGTAGTGAACACAGGTTGTCAAGGCAGCCTAGCTTGTTTTCCACAGGGTCAGAGAAGGGAGAGTTTGATTTTTTTCTTCAGTGCCAGGATAGTTCTTCTGTATTAGGGTAGGTTAAACTATTACAGTGGAGGGTGCAGGTCCAAACAATTCATTTCGTACTACTAACAAAGTTTGAAATTTGGCACCGATTTGGAAAGAGAAATTGAAATGCTGTTGTTATTACCTAACAGCTTGCATCAAGGTAACTATCTAAATACTAACCATATTTAATTTGCTGATAATGACAATGACTTTCCATTCCTTTGTGAACCCAATAAACGTTTCTTGTGATTTTTGATGAGAAACTCTGGAAAGTCAGACAAACGTGTGATTGACATGGTGAATTAACAAAGATCATAAGTGATTGATGTAAATTACTGATGTAATGCTTGGGTGAGCCCCTTTCATTCTGAGTACCTTGCTATCCTCTTACTTTGTTTACTGTTTAGAGAAATGTAGTGTTCGAAATGTAAGGCAAAATTGGGTTCCTAATATCATTTAGAATGCTGTTTTCTGATTGTAGATTGTATCGTTGTGAATAATTTTTGTGGGATGTACATTATTTATCTATTGCAAAAACCTGTTTAATCCAAGAGGGGTTTGTAGATTGATCTATCTGTATTGATTAATGAACTTAAGAGTTGAAATTTTCTTTTTAGCTTCAGGATTTTAGTGTCATTAACAAGGGCAATGTTTCCTTTCTTTAAAAGTTGCAAACGGAACGTACGTTTAGTTTTCAACCCTTTGGCATATTAACACAATGGCATAATGTGTGGAGCTTTTATGTTTGTTTTCCTCCCCTGAACGCTGTAAAGGCCACATAAGTTATTCAGTAATTAAACGTTCAATTCTCTCATTAAAATTCTCTCTCTTCCAGATTGGATGATTCATCCTCTTTAAGCTGCAGTTTCTGTCACATTCCATATGACGAATTAAATATGCCTTTCCCCGCACACCTCACATACTGTTATGTCTGTCGGAAACAGAAAGTTCCAGATGTTCTCTTCGCTACAATTGAACCTCCTACAGAAACAGCAATAACTGGAAAAGGCTGTTTGATTCAAGCTAGGTAATGCATTCTTACGTGTTTTGGCCAATTTAATCTCTTTGGTATGGTGCCAAATCTCAGATAACGTGAAGTACATTGTTGAGTATTCGACAGTGTTTACCTTTCCTATAATACCATTTGGTGCAAAGATTATAACACCCTTATGTTTAACTTGGTGATATTAGGTTGTGTCGTCAGAAGAAGAAAACTCAGGGTGAAGCGAATGCTACCGCTATCAGTAACCTGCTGCCATTCATGGAGTATGAGCTTCATACTCAGCTAATGAACAAACTTAAACTGAGAGGAATGAATGCACTCTTTGGGCTCAGGATTCAGATTACAGTTGGTGAAAATATGTTGTTGGGGCTGGCTGTGAGTATATCATTTACTAAATCTAGCCAAGGCTTTCTATATTCTGTTTTATTGCTCTTGGGAGATCATTGTGCAAAATAGCATTTGGCTAAACCTTTTAATTTTGAAAAAAAGTCTATAGTAATGCTCTTTAAGTGATATGTGTACTCATAGTTAAAAGTACTACAGAAATATTACAATTGTCCAGCACCTTTCATGTTAGAGGAATATTGATTACTTTGCATTGCTGTGCAATTGGAGAAACTTGCACATCAATATGTGCAACGTGAAATTTATAGAAGCAATGGGTTATTTCAATGACCTAACACTTGTAAAATACGGAACAGTCCAATCTTATTAAATACAGAAACAAAAAACACTGCGATTTGCCTTTAGCAATTTCATGGGTGTGTCAAAATAATAGTCAAAAGAAAACAGATTTTTTTTCATAGAATCGTAGAACATTGCAGCACAGAAGAAGGCCATTAGGCCTACCGTACCTGTGCCAGATCTTTGAAAGAGCAATCACTCCGCCGCTCTTTTCCCATAGCCCTGCACATTTTTCCGTTTCAAGTAACTATCCAATTCCCTTTTGAAAGCTACTATTGGATCTGCTTCCACTACCCTTTCAGGCAGTGCTTTCCAGATCGTTTTTTGTATAATTTCTGTAGATCATTTTGGTTTAATCGTGATGTGTTTCACAAAATATTTCTGGTTTTATTATTAATAATAACAATCTTTGCGATTGATATAGCGCCTTATCCCTTCACTCTCTGGCACCTCCCTACCTCTCCGACCTCCTCACTCCCTAATCTACCACCCGGGGGCCTCTGCTCGACTGTTACCAGCCTCCTGCTCGCCCCTCGTACCCACCACCCCACCATCAGAGTTGGCGCTTTCAGCCACTATGCCCCAAAACTCTGAAACGCTCTCCCTCAATCCCTCTGCCTTGCCCCCTCTCTCCCCTTTTCCAAGTCCCGCCTGAAAACCTTCCTCTTCGACTCTGTTTACAGTCATCTCCCCCCACTGGCTCCGAGTCAGGCTACGTCACTGTGAAGCGCTCTGAGATACAGCCCTGCGTGCAAGTTATTGTTGTTATCACGTCATCGAGACCTCTCAAAGTGCTTATGATTTTATTTTTTTATTTTTTGCCTCTAGTCTGCTACAGGTCTGTATCTGACTGCACTCCCATCTCCAGGTGGTATACAGGTTGCAGGAAAGACTCCAAGCGACTCTTCCTATGAGCAGCACATTTCAAACATACAGAAAAAGATTAATGAAATCATCATAAAAAACAGGGAGTTGTATGAGATAAATCCTCCAGTAAGTAAAAGCATGTTCATGGTTTTGTTTGTTTTATTGACCAAACTAAGTAACGAGCTAAGGACCAATAGTGCAGGATACCAGCCACAATGGAAAAAGTAAAAGAGAGATAAATCGAGAATTAATTCAGGTAACTACTACCTGAGTTTTGAAGATAACCACAAATGACATTTACACTGTGCCTTTCATGGCAGGAGGACGTCCCAAGGCTCTGGACAGTCAGGGATTTGGACCCGAGCTGGGGGTTGGGATCAGGACGGGTGGAGGGCAGAGAGGGTGGGGGTGGGAGGGTGAACGAAGGTGTGGACGAAGAAGAGGGTCTTGAGTCGTGGCTTGAAGGAGGCGAGGGAGGGAGCGAGGCCGAGAGACTGAGATGGAGTTCCAAAGGGTGGGGGCGGAGGGCTGAAGGCGGGCAGGGCTGGGCAGGGGACATGGAGCAGGCCGGAGCCAGGCGTCTGACCCATGTGGAAACCCATCACCGTTGCTTAAGAGTCTCCAAACCAAACTGAGAATTCCATACCCCCCAACTACACATGGAAATATCAGAGATTGTTAGAATGGACTGCGCTCTCTCTCTCTCTCTCACCCCGACTCTTTCTCTCTCTCTCTCTCTCCTCTCTCTCTATCTCTCCCTGGAGGAACACATCCTGCTTACCTAATTCCAGAATATATTAGGCGCAGGTTGGCAACAGCCAAGACATGTGAAGAGTTTCTGTTTAACTGGGAGGGTGGGAGGTGATGCAGAACCATATTTTTCTCCACAACTAAAGGAAATGCTACCCGGTCACTGGGGAATAGGATCTGTTTCATCGAAGTTAGTTTTATATAAAACTGCAACATACTGTGAGATTGCAGGAGTTTAGATGAGCTACGCAAACTAAACATTTATTCTACAGTCAAGGTTGTAAGAAAAGCTAACTGCTGATTACAGCTTTTATATAGTTTTCTCTTTTATTTAATATGTGGTGGACAAGGAAATCCCGGATGAAGTGCTCGGATCCCCCATCCCAGAGCCAAGGCAACATTCTAAGCTCTTCAGATCCCACTCAGAAAGCTCAGATGATGTTTCAGAACTGGATCTTTCACACGGAAAAAAAGATGCCTTTGTGTTGGAGGTAATGTGGTCCTTATGAATAAATAGATCTGTTTTTGTTCACCTTCTTCTGCTTTGTTCAGAATATCAAAGTGTACATCTTCAAGCGCACACAATTTCTATTGCATCCAACAAGTACAGGCTCGATACGATATCTAGATACTGTGAGCCCATGTAGTTACTGTAAAACAAGTGCAACTCTGATGTGAACCATGTAACAATGCAGTGACCGTTTCTGACCTGACCAATCGACTGAGATTGGAAAGTTTTAATCCTGGTGTTCCACAATCCTATTCTGAAAACATAATCTCTCTTTTTTGAATGAAAAGTGGTGCAGTCTAAACAGCATTTTTTTTACACGGAGATGAGAATGGGGATTGAATTGCGAGATGTGGAAATTGATTTGTATGTCGCAAATCCTGCAAGCGCTCGAGCTCCCATCAGGCGCTGACTCCAGCTCAAATCCATGAAGTTGGCCTGAGGCCAGGCTTGCTCCTGATCTGCACCAAACAGGATTCTGGGGGGTTGACCTGAAACACATTCAGGTACCAAGAGGATTCACTGCTTACATATTGAGCCTTGAAACTTACTCCCCCCCCACCCCGCCTCCCCCCCCCATAAAAAATAATGCTCCTTCAGACTGCAATAGCGCCGCTCTTTATTACAGATCGACGACGCTGATGCTGTTGAAGATATTCACTCGTTGTTGACAGATGCGCCAACGCCATCTGGTGAGTCTCGAGGATGCTCATGCAAACTCTGTTTTAATATTGCATTGTAAAACTTTTTAATATAATTTTTAAAAAATATATCGGTGCCAAATNAAAAAAAATTCTGTTGAGATTAACCCCTATCCCAGTGCAGCTCAGCATTCCAAATGAATCATGGAAACTATCTGTGAGCTAAGCGTTTGATTGACACAATTGTTTTTCTGTGCATTTCTGTTTGTTTGGTATTCGCAGGATTTTACAGTTGCAATACCGAGATTATGCCAGGCATCAACAACTGGACTGCTGACTTGCAGGTATATTTATTTAACGCTGCTCCAAATAAAATCTGCAAGTGAAGAGATGAATAATTAGAACAGCAGTAACAATAATAATAATCTTTGCATTTGATATAGCGCCTTATCACATTGTTGAGATGTCTCATAGCGCTTCACAGAACATACTGTGAATTGTAAACACTGAATTGACTGTATATTTTATATTTCCTACCTCCCACCTACATTACTTGCTGCTTGTGATATGCTGCATCGTGTATTTAAAAGTACGTTTTTACGAAGAATTAGTCTTGATTGGACTGCTCAAAATTTTGACCTCAGTATTCAGTCATAAGAGAGTCAATACTTAAGAGTACAACAACAACAACAACAAGATTCCATTTATTGAGCGCCTTTCACGTCAGGAGGACGTCCCAAAGCGCTGGACAGTTGGGTCAGGACCCGAGCATTGGGGGGAAATGGTCAGGGTGAGGGGAGGGAAGGGAGGAGCGAGGAGGGGTAGAGAGTCGAGAGGGAGCTGAAGGCGCGGTCAAAGAGAAAGGTCTTGAGACCGGCCTTGAAGGAGGAAAGGGAGGAGGCGGTGAAGGCACTGGGGATGGAGTTCCAGAGCCTCGGGGCTGAGAGGCTGAAGGCCACCGATGGTCGGGCGGTTGGGGCGGGGGATGTGCAGCAGACCGGAGCCGGAGGAACGGAGGGTACGGGCAGGTAAGTAGGGGGATAGTAGGTCAGAGAGGTAGGAGGGAGCGAGGCCGTGAATGGCCTTGTAGGTGAGGATGAGGATCTTGAATTCGACCTCTGGGGGATGGGGAGCCAGTGGAGGCGAGCGAGGGTGAGGGCGAGGTGAGGGCGAGGCGAGGTGAGGGCGAGGGGGCGAGGGTGGGAGTGATGTGGGCGCGGTGTCTGGTGCGGGACAGTACACGAGCTGCAGAGTTCTGAATGACCTGCAGCTTGTGGAGGGAGGTGGCGGGAAGGCCGAGAGGAGAGAGTTCCCATAGTCCAGCCTTGAGGTGATAAAGGTGTGGACCAGAGTTTCAGCCGCGTGAGGGGTGAGGTAGTGCTGTAGTCTGGCGACATTCCGGAGGTGATGGAAGGCGGTGCCAGTTGTGGTGCGGATATGGGGGAGAAAGGACAGCTCAGGGTCGAACAGAACCCCGAGGTTCCTGATGGCTTTGAGAGGTGGAGAGTGCGGCCTTGGATGCTGATGCTGTCAGCGCCTGAGGTGCGGAGGCGCTGACGTGAGCCAATCAGGAGGGCCTCAGTTTTGCGCACGTTGAGAGCTGAAGAAAGTTATCTCTCGTCCAGGAAAACAGTACTTTAAAAGCACGTAAGAAAGCATCAATAACAACATTCTTCATTGATATATCTCTTTGTTTTTCAGATGTTCACTTCAGTGAGGGTATTTAGATTAAACAACGTGACTAGTCTCACATCACAAGGCCTTAATAAAGCTTTTAGTGATCTCTGTGAAAATCTGCTGAAGGTAAGTGGTTGGAAATAATGAAGAAGAAAGTTTTGCATGGATATTTATATTTAAATTTCTCTCAGAATTGGTTGGTTTATGGTTCAACTGTATTAGAGTCGAGGCAGGAGATATGAAGCAGGCCAGAGTTGGCAGAGCGGAAACGGGGGGAATTGGGTGGGGAGTAGAACAGAAAAAGAAACAGAAAAGGTCTTAATAATAATAATAATAATTCTTGCATTTGATATAGCGCTTTTCACGTCGGGAGGACGTCCCAAAGCGCTTCACAGAATATACTGTAAAGTGAATTGACTGTATATTTGTGGGCGAACGCGGCAGCCAATTGCGCACAGCAATGTCCCACAAACAGTCGTAGATTGAAAATGACCAATTTTATTATTGGTTTTTTTATTATTAAGTTTTTTTTATTATTAAGTGCTATTATTAAGTGCCATTAAGTGATCCACAATGCTAACCTCAAAGTGACTGCCACACTGCCTTCCTCAATGTACTTTAGGAAGCAAAAATTTCTGAACAAAGCGATTCCAATAAACCTAAAAAATATAGCAGCATCCTAGAAAGCAAATAATCTATCTGCCTGTGTTAATTACGCAACAAAGATTGTTATCATTATTCTTAAACAGACTTTGTATTCTTAGAATAGGAAACTCTGGTGCATCTGTTGATATCAAGTAGAAAGAAACTAATATAGTTACTCTTAGTGCATCAGAATATTAGACCAACAATTAGCATTAATAGCAGAACTATTAATGCATTGCCGACAATTTTCTACTATAGCATCAGCGAAATAACATATTGAAATCAGAAAGCTTTTTTTTAATCATGATGCTAATATAAAAAATGTAAGTGGTAAGAGCGTTGCACAAGAAAATCGAATGTAATAATCCTGCAAAAGATCATAGATCATAACAGGTTATTTGTGTAAAAAAAATTGTCCTATTCTTTGTGGCTGAGTGTAATTATAGTAATATAAAGAATATATAGTCATTCTTTACAGCTTGAGAAATCTGTATGTAAATGGTGACTTTCCCCCTCTGGGTGACTCATTCATCACATATGCTCCATTTTTATGTTTTCCTAGAGTTTGTATTTTAAACTGAGGTCCATGGTTCCTTGCTGTCTATGCCATGTGAATTTCAATGTTGCATTACCAGAGGATGAATTAATCCAGGTAATTAGATACTACATTATCACAGTAGATTCCCGTGTCATAATGCAGTAGTTTTTTTTTTACTGACTGGCGCGATTCATCATGACGACATCAATAACATGAACAGTGACGTCGTTGGGTATACGTCCATCTCTATCAGCAATCATCATGGTTCACATCGCCATGTTTGCTTCAGGTTGTGTTGTTGAGTGATCACCTGTTTTGAGACACATCACAAGGTGATGGAGGCAGCTGGCTTTCTGTCTGCCCTTTTGAATGTACAATGTCAGTGTCCACACCCCAAACGCACTCTACATAAATCTGTGTTGTAACAACGTATGTGTTTAATGGGGATGTTCTATACTTACTGCAGTATTTAGTAATCCGTTCCACCAAATGTGCGTGTGTCTGCTTTTTCTCGTCGTTAATATATTTTTCCCCCCCACAGGTTGCAGTTACAGCTGTTGCAATAACGTACGACAAAAACCAAGCTCAAGATATGACTAAGAACATCACAGATAAGACACTCCTGAGAGGTAACTTATTTCACGCTCTTAAAATAGACGGTAAAAATTCCACCTGTGTCTGGATTTACTCTGTCATGTTCTGAGCTCTCTCTAGGTGGATAACAAGTACCAGGAGCTCCTTGTTCTAAGTTATTTTAAGAACTACAGGAAGGCGACTTCAAAGTAAATTTGAAGTAAAGAAAGTAAATATAGATTCGAGTGGAATCTTTCTCGAAGAGGTGACCTGATTGAGGTCTTTAAAATGATAGTCGACAAGGAGAAATTATTTTCACCGGTTAGTTAATAATAACAATAATAATAGTCCTTGCATTTGATATAGCGCCTTATGTCATAATAATAGTCCTTGCATTTGATATAGCGCCTTATGTCATTGAGAGTCTCAAAGTGCTTCACAGAATATACTGTAAAGTGGATTGACTGTGTATTTTGTGGGGGAAACCTGGCAGCCAATTGTTCACAGCAGTGTCACACAAACAGTCATGTAACTGGAGGGGCATCAATTTGAGATAGTTAGTAACCGAGTAAATGGGGGTTAGGGTAGGAGAATTTCTTTCAGAGTAGCGATGCCCTGGGGCTGGGAGTGGTGGTTGAAACAAAATCCGCATTGACCTTCAGGAGGGACCCAGACAGATACTTTAAAAAGGAATCAGCTATAGGGTATGGGAAAGGGAGGTAAGTGGGACTGAAAGGATAGCTCTTGAGAGAGCCGGCACGGGCATGATGGGCTCAATGGCCTTTTTCTGTGCCATAAATGTCTATTTTTCTAACCACAATATGGTTACTGATATCTGGATAATACTAGTCTGTGTATGGATCTGCAGTGCTCCACTGTATTTTCATGCTGACTTTAATCATTCTTAATGTTCTATCCCTGCCTTGAAGCTTCTGCTGATAATGAAGAACAGCTTCAGTTTACGTTAGAACTCTGCTCAGAAACACAGTCTGCTCAACTCTTCTCCCCCAGTAAAGCTGCAGGTCAGTGTCATACATTGGAAATTAGGTTTGTTTTGTGTAACTTTAAGACACGCCATTTTGAAAGATTAATTTATACTTCGAAGCCCTGTAATTTGGGGACGTAATTAATTGACGCAGCACTTCATTTCAAAGTGAATAGATAATAATAATAATAATCCTTGCATTTGATACAGCGCCTTATCACGCCTTCGAGACGTCTCAAAGCGCTTCACAGAATATACTGTAAAGTGAATTGACCGTATATTTTCAGAATTATTGTTAAAATTTTGATTGAATTTTCATCTGGATGACTCTTTTAAAGAGCCGACACAGGCCCGATGGGCCGAGTGGCCTCCCGCTGTGCTGTAAGATTCTATGATTGCCCTGTTGGTGTGGTGTATGGTGTTGTCCAAACACTCCGGTGTGACAATGTATTAAATCTTTCTCTCATTAGGGTTTACAGAAGGAAGCAATTCCCAGCCAGTTACTCCAGCAGCACAGCGAGGTAAGTAATCCTGCTCTTTCCTCACGCAAGAAGAGGGTCTTTTTTTTTTTCGAAAGACCTTTTTTTCAGTGATCAATCATCAAAGGAGCATTGCGATGGGCAATAGATGTCATCCATTTTTCTTTTTCTTTTCTGTCTGTGTGTTTTTAGCCACCTCAGTTGATTACAGTTCCTTTGCAAACAGATGCAACAGCTGGATAGAGCTCATTAAACAGAAAGCTCAGACCATAAGGCGTGGATCAATTAAAACAAGTAGGCCAAAGTTACAGTTTATCATGGTGATAATAATCTGAGACATGCCTATGGTCCCCGGTGGTGAAGGGTGGAGTGTCCTGCCCAGTAATCGCTGGAAAATCAATCCCTCAAGCAGTTTGAGAGTGTGAAAGTTGCTTCTTTGATCACTGCAAACGTTCAGCAGAATGTACAGTGTTTTTTTTCAATTTGAGCAATTTTAACCCGAAGGGTTGTAACATTTTTTTAAAAAATCGACATTTCACTAAATTGACATCTTTCACACTCTTGCCCCCAAATTTCCCTTCAGCGGAGAAATATTGCCCTTGATTTCTTTGCATATTGAGATTACTGTCACTGCAACCATGGCTATTAATGCTCCCTTTGAAGGAATGCCACTCTTTTGGAAGAATCCCATTCCAGCTGTTTATTTATATTTATATCTTAGCTTCTGTTTTTTTAATGCATGTTCTGCATGATCACCTCTTCTTTAATGCTGCCCCTGCTTGTTCGATCACTGAGCTTCAGGTGCTGAATATCACTGCAGATTCCCTAAACTGACAATACATTGCATCATCCAAACGAATGGGGCTTTTTACTATTAATTGCATTCTCTTTTCTCTCGCTGTATCTCTCTTCCACCCTTACAGTTGCTTCACTTGACAAAGCAAGCCCACTGGCTGAAGGCCACATACGTCATCGTTCAGCCACATCCTGCACAAACTCCACGGTCACTGTTGTGGAAATGACGCCCCTCTCTTTTATTCCCGGGGCAAAAATAACCAAATATCTCGGAATCATCAACATGTTCTTCATTCGGGAAACCACATCTCTGAGAGAGGTGAGCAGAGAATTAATGAGCAGGAGCTGTAATAATAATAATAATACACCGATTATCATGAGCCCCAGATCCTGTATTCTGAATAAGACTTTTGTAGCTGATTTTAAATTTACATTTACGAGTTCCATAAAATAATAGGAAACCCTCCCTTAGTAACGTATAGATGTATTGCTGTGTGCAATTGGCTGCCGTGTTTACCCACATAAATGTACAGTCAATTCACTTTACAGTATATTCTGTGAAGCGCTTTGAGTCGTCTCAAAACGTGTGATAAGGTGTTATATCAAATGCAAGGATTATTATTAAACTAATGAAAGCAAACGCATAGTCCATAAGCTCTTTGCAAATACGATAATAAAAAGACACGGCAGGTTACTTTTCTCATTGATTTTTGCATCCGTAGCCCAATATAGATCAGCTCAACGGTATTGTTTTAATAATGTACAGTGCATGATAAATGACCTTGTACCTTAATATTTCAATATAAAATGAGAATAACACAGAATCGGAATTTTACAGTGGCACCTTTTTGTATCACTGCATTTCCACAAGAAAACTGGTTAGTTCGTTCAGCATAGTTTGTAACATTCCCTCTCCTCCACAGCTTTGTTCTGCCCTTGTTTGGGGGGCTCCATCCTCTCCCCCTTCCTAACAGACTTGCCACATCATCAATAGAAAAATAGTCCGAAAGGAAATGGGTGAGGAAGTGAGGAGGGAATATTGCTGAGCTATTTTCAGTACTCCCCCAGTGCCTTCGCCGCTTCCTCCCTTTCCTCCTTCAAGGCCGGTCTCAAAACCTTTCTCTTTGACCGTGCCTTCAGCTCCCCTCTCGACTCTCTTCCCCCTCCTCGCTCCCTCCCTTCCCTCCCCTCCCCCTGACCATTTCCCCCCTCCTCGCTCCCTCCCTTCCCTCCCCTCACCCTGACCATTTCCCCCCTGCTCGGGTCATGACCCAACTGTGCAGCGCCTTGGGACGTCCTCCTGACGTGAAAGGCGCTTTATAAATGGAATCTTGTTGTTGTTGTTGTTGTTGTACTGCTAGCAATGACTAGGAATTGAATAGTTCCTTGAGGAATGGAAATAAACTATCAGGAATATATTTAAGCATTTCACTTCAAAGACTTTTATATTTCTATACAGGAAGGAGGAGTGAGTGTATTTCTTCATTCGTTTATAGCTGAAGTGTTTGCTATGGTTCGTGCCCATGTTGCTGCACTGGGAGGAAATGCTGTCGTCTCCTATATTATGAAGCAATGTGTATTTATGGAGAATCCTAATAAAAATCAGGTTGGTACTTTTAAGGCGGCAAATATTACATATGAATTTCTTTGAGGAAGATCGTTTAAGCATGTTTCTGTCTAATAATACATTATAAAATGCCTAGAGCTGAACCCAACTAAACATTCTTCAGTTTGGAACAGTTGTTGTAATGTAAACCTGGCTCAGTTGGTAACACTCTCTCTCGCCTCTGAGGCATAGTTAGGGGGTTGAAACCAGAAAATCGAGAATTTGAGCTCGTAGTCTAGGCTGACACTTCAGTGCAGTGCTGGGGGAGTGTTGCCTTGTCAGAGGTGGTGGACTTAAATGATCCTTGGTGGAAATCCCTTGGATAAAATTGGTCATTCACTTGGTGGGTGTTTGTGAGATATTGGTGATCACAGATTGGCTGCTGTATTTGCATACAGATACACATTTTACAGTAAATCCTGTGACGTGCTTTCAGACGGTTCAATGATGTGAAAGAGCACTATATTAAATCCAAAAATTACTTTTGTTTCAGCGTTGTGTCCTGCCCTGCAGGGTGAGGAAAAAGCCTATCTGAGACACTTGAGACTCTGCCTTTGTTTCCCGGAGGAATTGACTTATTTTGATAACCTTGCTATTTCGTTGCAGGCGCAGTGCCTTATTAATGTCAGTGGTGATGCAGTAATCTTTTTTCGAGAAGCTGATCTGGAGTGCTCAAGCATTCAACCACAAGCAAATGTTTTACAGACAGGGAGCGGGGGTGGTGATGTGACTACATGAAGCTGGTGGAAACGTTTAAGTACTTCTGTTTGCGAGGAAAGTTGTTGCAACGCTGTCCGCACTACAGAAGTACAGTTGCAACTGATAAAAGGATGCTGTGCAACACAGTGGTATCTGCTGTCCCTCTTCATGTTGACATGTGGCACTGTGGGACAAATGGTTATGTTCGTTATGTTAATGTATGAAAATCAGGATATTTGCTTGTCTCCCAACGTGTCCCGGATTATCGGGTGAGAGAGCTGCACCTCCGCTCTTTGGCAAGAGTCAAGGCATTCCATAGGAATTGACATGTCTGAGAATGATTGATATATATTTTTTTCCTTGTATTTTTGCTCTGTGGTGTAAAATCTTTCCAATAACATTGTGACTTATAGTACTATCCGTTAAGACCAGATTCAAGTTGCATCGAGGTTGCAAATGGTACTAAGAATGTGTTTAAGCCAATGCTGTACCTGTAAAACTGGATGAACCTTTTTTTTTAATCAATTTAAAGCCAATCTTAAGCGAAAGCGTAGTGAATATGAACAAAGTACTACTATCAGATTACCCCTTAGAAGAGTTATGACCTCAGCTTCACAAAGATGCAGCTTCAAGCAACATGCAATCCCTTACAACATGTTGTAACGTGTAGGGACACAGAAAACTTAACTGTTTTTCTTTTGTTAAGCATTTTATGTACTAGTGCATTTACTTAGAATTGTTTAAATTATAAATTAAAAGCTGGACGATTTAAGAGTACCTAATCACACTTTGTTGTAATTAGTAATTACCATACAAGACAAATGGAACAGTGCAATTCCTTATTAAATTCAAATCAAAAGGTATTTTTGATATTCTGAAGTTACACTTGCAAGAAAACTGAAGTATTTAAATAGTTGCCTGCAAAATTGGAGTTGTGTGTTGTTGAACACAGTGACATTATCTACCGTCAGTGTTTCTCATTCAATGCATATTTACAGACTTGAATGTAAATAAAACGCTTGTTTTGTATGGTCTCAGCTCACTATGTACGCTTGTCTGTGCAAAAAGAAAAGTGCATGAAATAACGTGCTGCTTTCACAATCAAATTCAGTTCCAGTAGTTTTGCAGGTTGTAACAAGCAAAGGTAACATCATAAAGAGAGTGTTTCCTTATTTGCAATGGAAAATAAATATTTTATGAAAATTTATGGATTGTTTGTGGTGTTGGTTAATGAGAGGAGTGTACAACTGGTGTTTTGTCCCACAAGAAAACGGGTTAGAATAATTCTGACCTCAAGAATAATTCTGCTCACATACTGACTTCCAGTTGGGCCCAGTGTAACAGTTTTCTCATTTGTGAAATAATGCTCAATACCAGAATATTTCGATTCTATTTCCCACGGACGCAGAACTAAGTCTACAAGGAGCAGCACTAAATCTTCCAATAACATGAAACAGCAACCCGATCAACTTAAGTTCTGTAGCGTATTGGGTAGAGCACTCGCCTCGCGAACAAGAGGACCCAGGTTTGATTCCGAGCGTAATAATCCATTTTTAAAAAAATAATGCGGTCACCCAATCCACGGCTGTTTGTGGGACGCTGCTGTGTGTAATTCGCTGCTGCGTTTCGCCCACAAAATATATAGTCAATTCACTTGACAGTATATTCTGTGAAGTGCTTTCAGGCAATGCATCAAATGCAATGATTATTATATAACAAAGGCTTATCAGTGGTGAGGGTGGTTGAGTGTTGTTCATTCGTAATAAACAGCAAACGAAGAAACAAATGACTGGGCTGTCAGGCTGGTTTCCCCAGACAACCTCAGAGTGTGAACCCTCCTGGTAAGGAGCGTGATAAGGTTCTTTATGAAATTCCACCTCCTTTTGAAGGGAGTCAATCGCAAAAAAATACATTAATGTTTTTGTTATAATAATAGTTTGAGAGTCTGTTGCACATTTCTGCTGCTCCCCCATTTGGAACTTAATCAAAGCCCTTTAGAAAATGAAATTTAATTATCTATTGAATAATCCTCCATTTTTAGTTTAATTGCCCGCAAAAGCAGCAGATTAGTGAAACATGACATACTGCTATGACTGTTCTTTCAATGAGAATTGATCAGCGCCCCATCTAATGCTCTGAAGCATTCACTTACTACAACTGTTAAAATAATTAGTAGAGAATTTCCAGCCTCGTATCTCACTCTTCCAAGTGACATTTGTCTCTTGAGGTACAGCTCCAGTGCTTGTGGAGTTTCCAAAATTATAAACATTTTCATTGTGAAGTCCTGAAGCTCAGGGTTACAACACTCGCCTCGCAAGCGAGAGGACCTGGGTTCGATTCCCAAGGCAGGGCGAAACGTTGGTCAAATTTCCTTACCCCACACTCCTCGGTTTACCCAGCAGTAGGTAGGAACCCGGTTGGTAGTCGATTGATGGATCGCTTTTCCGGGGTTAATAATTCAATAATAATAATAATAATGATTTGGTCACTCAATCCACAACTGTGGGACGTTGCTGTGCAATTGGCTGCGACATTTTGTCCACAAAATATACAGTCAATTCACTTTTATAGCACAGTCTGTGAAGCGCTTTGAGATGTCTTGAAGACGCGATAAGGCGCTATATCAAATGCAAGGATTATATTATATTATCTTCAAGTCGCGTTTGAAGAACTTCCTCTGACTGACCCTTCCTCTCCCTCCAGCTCGGAGTCCGGCTCCGTCAAAAACATTTTAGACCTGTACACTTTTGCTGAAAGGACTTTGGTTTCCAAGGAATGGGACCATCTTCTGTGCCACCTTTCATAATCTTTTCGGCTTTTTATCTTATTAAACATCTTTCCTGTTCATTTATTAAACTGTCTTAATTCAAAAGAATTCTCATTCTACTTTTCGAACTGAGAAAGTGTGACAAACGCGCGCACACACACACACACACACACTCCGATTACCGAGCAGTAAGCAGGAATCAATTGGCGGATTGCTTTTCTGGGGGGCAATAATCCCTTCCAAAAAAAAAATGCGGTCACTCAATCCACGACTGTTTGTGGGACGCCGCTCTGCGCGATTGGCTGCCGTGTTTCTCCCACAAAATGTACGGTCACCGCCCTTTACAGTATATTCTGTGAGAAGCGCTTTTGAGAGGTCTCCGAGACGCGATAAGGCGCGAGATCGAATGCAAGGTTTATTAGGGATTATTATTATTATTTGCGCTAAAATATTCCGTTCGAATGACTATACAACCAAAAAGACCTTAAAAACACATACAGCAAAATGTGCAAGAAAGTATTTTGGACACAGAATCATGTGAGATATCATTCGGCAGCTCAGACTCCATTCTTTTCCAGCTGATTTTGTTTCCAGGACAACCACAGTATTAGTGTCAAATGTGGTAGACTGATGGCTCAATTTTATACTCCGTTTGATAGCCTGGCTGTATTCTCTTTTATCAACGTCAAACCATTGGGATTATAAACTGGGAGGGATTAACCCCTTAAAAAATAATAATAATAATAATAATTTGGTCACTCAATCCACGATTGTTTGGTGGACACTGCTTTATGCGTTTCACCCACAAAAATACAGTCAATTCACTTCACAATATATTCAATGAAGCACTTTGAGACGTCTCGACGATGTGATAAAGCGCTCTATCAAATGCGAGGCTTATTATCATTATAATTATTGTATGTGTATATATATCGTGAATATCTATTTCCAAGGAGTAATTAGATCAGAAGTAAATAAATAGCTGTTTGCTTAAATACCATCCCTACAGGTTACACCCCCATTAAAATACAGTGTGTAAGACTGATTGTGAAATATAAAATGGTGATTACATTGCTGTGCCCAAATTAAATTAGCTGCCGCATTTGCCTATAAATACAGGATTATATTTAGTGGTATAGTACTTATGCACTCGAGATGCTACCATTCTCCCCCCCCCACCCCCCCCCCCCCCCACATATAAACCATACATAGGTGGCTCTTTGGAACATAATAATAATAATCCTTGCATTTGATATATATATAACATCTTAAACCCATGGTTCTGGTGTCTCTCCACCCCCACCCCACCCACCCCTCCTCTTCCCCCCTCGCTCAGCATTTGACCTCCATCTTTGTGAATGGCTCCAATTACCTTACCCTACGTGAAGGGCACGGTATGAATACAAAGATGCTGCTTATTTTCTTAAAAACCTTCCTCGCCCCATGCTGTGTGCTGGGTTGCAAAGTCAATTTCTGGGATGGTTGTCTCCAGGGTGAAGGGGATAACGAGTCTGGCCATCTCCTGCTCTGGTTGAGTAAAAGACTGTCAGAGGTAAGTATGAGATATATTTCCTGTAAGCCTGGGCTTGCATTCTGCTGACCGCAATTGGCTGCCGCCTTTCGCCCACGAAATTCGCAGTCAAAAAATTCACTGTACTGTATATTCTGTCAAGCGCCCTGAGACGTCTCAGCGGCCTGATCAGGCGCTGTGTCAAATTATATGACAGAGGCTTCTCAGTGGTGAGCGCGGTTGAGTGTTGTCATTCGAAATAAACAGCAAATGAAGAAACAAATGGACTGGGTTGTCAGGGCGGTTTGCCCAGAAAATCTCAGTGAGTGAAGCCTCCTGGTAGGAGAGAGAGAGAGAGAGAGAGAGAGGGGCTAAGTGAGTAGTTGCATTGCCTTTGCAGTTTCTGCCAATACGCACAAGAGGGAGAAAGAGAGAGAGGGAGAGAGAGAACGAGAGAGCGAGAGCTTTGTTCGAGAGGGAAGGGCGAGAGCTGCATTTCTGGATTCAAACCTCCCCCTGTTACAAACCAACCCGCAACATGCGTCAGATCGGGGCTTATTTGAACCATCTGCGCACTGCTTTACTTGTGAAATTCTAACTGCTAATGGACAGAATCATCCAGACCTCAGCAGCCAGCGAAGAGGGAGAGGGAGAGAGACTGGTTGGTGCTGTAACCCAGCCTTTTCTGTATTTATTACAGATGTGTCCGATTGACTGACAGACAGACAGAGAAAGGGGGAGAAAGAGAGGGAGGAATTACAGAGAAGCTGATTTGGGATCCTCAGCTTACCTCGCCCGCTTGTGTGACTTTACTGGTTTTGCTGGCCGTGCGTGAGGTTTACAAGGAAAGTGTGATTGGAAATGAAGAATTGTGCCTTTGAGAGCCTTGCGGAGGCTCACCCTGGCAGCGATGGTGCATTGCAACCCTCATGATTTGGTGGAGGAGAGAAGAAAAGACAAAACGAGGGGCTGAAGAAACATGTGAATGAATCGAGACTCGGCTCTGCCCCCGCGTTCTGTGTTCTGCTTCACCACGATGTGGTCGATCTGGAAATGCTACAGATCCCGGCTGCCTGTAGGAGCAGCTCTATGTGTCTTTGTCCTGTGCTGGCTCTATGTATTCCCGGTTTACAGGATCCCAGACCAGAAGGAGATTGTGAATGATGTCCTGCATCAGCCCGTGTGGAGGAGAAATCAGACAGCCACCACTGCATTCAGGTACCGACTGTACATCAGCCCTGACTGGCCTGAGCTACAGCACCGACTTCAGCACCAGCATTCGCTGTCTGCCCTGTTCCTTAGCACTTTGTGGTCAAACGATATCGTAGGCACAAGATGTTGGTAATTTTCCGTTGTAACATGGTAATCTCGCAGTAAGTAGGAACCCGGTTGTTAGTCGATCGGCGGATCGCTTTAATAATCCCTCCGAATAAAAAGGAATGATGATTTGTTGACTTCAATCCACCACTGTTTGTACGGACACTGCTGCGAGCAATTATTATTATTAATCATAAAATATATTAGCAGTATATTCTGTGGAGCACTCTGAGATGATAGCTTGCGCGGAGGGAGCTATATGAGTGCAAGTTGTTGTTGATGTGTTATTCACGCAATTATCATTTTCAGATGGTCTGCAGCAAAAAATTGTTCAGTATTAATGCGATTTAGAGTTAAAGAGTAATAGATAAGGATAACAATAATGATTATCCTTGCATTTGGTATAGCGCCTTATTACATCATCGTGACATCTCAAAGCCCTTCACAGAATAGACTGCAAAGTGATATATATATATAGATATATATATCTATATATACACAGTATCTATCTCGATGGATATTTCTGGTACTATAGTTCGGAGTGGGAATTATTTCAGAATGAGCATCTACAGGAAGATTATCGTAATCTGCTAATTAGATTATATATTATTCATGAATTAATTTTTACTCTGAACTGCAAAACTTTACAATGGTCTGATCTCTGGTATATCTACGCCTTAATACTCAGAAGCACAGCATTCAGGGATAATAAAGGCAGAATACCTCAAAATGTCACCTAATGTCAACATTCTGCAGCTGTTGGATAAATTTGTCAGAATATGTTGAGGCCTTCCAAACGCAACACTGAACTAAAGTGATTGCTTAAATTGGAAGTAATTCACCCCTCTCCCCCTCAGCATTTTCTGTGGATTATAGTCTTACCTTCGATAAAAATAAGATCGATCAGTCTAATAATAATAATAATCCCTGCCTTTGATTTAGCGCCTGATCACGTCTTCGAGACGTCTCAAAGCTCTTCACGGGATATACTGTGAAGTGAATTGAATGTGTATTTTATCTTAAAAGGCTCACAGCAATTTTATGGGCCAATTGTGCACAGCAGTCAAATGGATGACCAAATAATTATTATTTCGTTTATTTTTTCGTTGAAGGGATTGTTAGCCCCCGGGAAAAGCGATCCGCCGACCGACTAACAACCGGGTTCCTACTTGGTGCAAGGAAGGTTATATTAAATATAATAAAATCATTAACAGGCTTAAATTCAATAAACACGAGATCGATCGTTGCAATAAGGAAAGCAGCTCTTCGTCGAAGCTCGTCGGCAGCCGGTGTCTGTCTCCGCGCTGCTGTTGAGAGAAGCGGTTGAGGTGACATTGTACTGCAGGAGGGGACACACACTGAGGGAGACGCTGCCTTGATGGATATTAGCGTGTGACGGACATGCCCTGAGCGTTCTTGGCTAACGCTGCTGTTGTTTCTTGCAGGAGGCTGCTGGAGAACTGCTGTGAAACAAAGCGAATGTTTGCTGTGACGCAACACAACTCACCCATGGGGAAAAACCTCTGGTTCGACGGAGAATTTCTCCACTCGCTCTCGGTGAACAATGAAATGTTCGCCATGTTCCCACAGGTTAACCATACCCTTCCTTCCTCGTTCACACATTGGGGTTAACAGCAGATACGCCATTGCAGCTGTAAATAAGCCGAATGCAACAGAATGATGATCTTTATAATAATAATAATAAAAAAACAATCTATATGTAAGTGGGAAAGAGAGTGGGGGCGGATGGGTGTGCGGGGGGTGGGGGGGGCGGGGGGGTCGTTAAACATTATTAAAAAATGAATTAACTTTTCATCATTTTTTTCTTAACATTTTTTTAAAGTCCGGGCAAAAGTGTCTGTTTTTTGTGTGTGGGAACCTGGTGTTAATCCCCGAGTCTTCAAAACCTGCAAGATTTTTGCGGAGCGAAATATTCCGAGAACGTTTGGTGAATGATTGACCTCCCCCCCCACCCCCCCACCCCCCCACCCCGAGTACCCGACCCACTGCCATCTTAAAGCTGCTTAAAGGAGCAGGCATAAGAGCGAGGGCGAGGGGGAAAAAAACAAGGCTGTGTTGAGTTGCTGAAAGGATTCCTCTGCTGTTGCTAGGATACACCATTCCAGATCCCGTTGAAAAAGTGTTCAGTGGTGGGGAATGGTGGGATTCTGAAGAGGAGTGCCTGTGGTGATAAAATAGACAAGGCCGATTTTGTCATGCGGTAAGAACCCTCTTTGCATTATTTTTCTTGACCGTTCAAATACTTGCCCTCATTTCAATTTCCTCCCTCGACGTATTTGGGTCGATAACATGCTCACCGTAACCACACTCTCTGCATCTCTGCGTCTGTGTCCTTGCATTTCAATGAAGGACACGATCTCAGAATTAATTCCCAGGAGCGATTGGGATTGCGGCTCTCTGATTGAGGGGGTGGGGGGGGAAGTATTATGTATTATGTGTTATAGGACTGTTTGTGGGACGCTGCTGTGTGCAATTGGCTGCCCACGAAATACACAGTCAATTCACTTTGCAGTCTATTCCGTGAAGCGCTTTAAGACGTCTCAATGATGTGCTGAGGCGCTATGTCAAACACAAGTATTATTATTATTGTTACAGTACGAGAAGTTCATGTTGTCTTTGTTCGGAGATGTGCCAGCGTTTGGGGGAAAAAAAATTATACATTAAAAGAAAGCTCAACTGGGACATTTCTCAACTGAGACCTGTGCCTGTGGGCAGAGCTATAGGAGAGGGGCACAGCAGAAGGCACGAGCCGCAGTTTGGGCTGTTTGAGATGGGGCTGGGAGCGTGTGGTGCGTCTGTAGCTCTCTCTCCACCCTGCCGCAACACGCCTCGGGGCCCCCCACACACGCCTGTAACATGGCTAGAACCCGGCATAACATGAGATTAGTTCCTGTCACACACTGGTTGCTAATGCTGATAGTTAAGGTGCCTTTAAGGGCGTCTTGTGTCAAGTGGGTGACATTCTGTAGCTCAGTGGTTAGAGGACTCGCCTCGCAAGTGAGAGGACCTGGTTTCGATTCACGGCAGTGTGAAATGTTGGGCACGTTTCCTCACCCCACACGCCTCTGTTTACCCGGCAGTACGTTGGAACCCCGTTGTTAAATCGATTGGCAGATCACTTTTCTGGGGGTAATAAATCCTTCAAAAAAAGAATAATAATTTGGTCGCCTCAATCCACAACCGTTTGTGGGGACGCCGCTGTGCGCGATTGGCTGCCACGTTTCGCTCACAAAATATACAGTCCATTCACTTTACTGTGTAATCTGCGAAGCGCTTTGAGACGTCTTGAAGACGTGATAAGGCGCTGTATCAAATACAAGGATTATTATTATTATTATTTCCACCAATTTTTGAAAATGAGGATAATTGTCAAACATCTATCGATTGATATAATGAAGACAAATCAGGAAATATGTAGAATTTAAACATGTAGAATACAGGGCAACTGCGCGATAACCCAAATAACTGAGTCCAATGTGTCAGCGGCTGTGTCCATGGAGAGGTCAGCACAATGGCTGATTTCCAGGGTGTCAGGTTGTTGTGGACATCATTTCCTGCGGGCTAGACTGGAAAAAACAAACAAACTTACATTTCTATAGCGCCTTTCGCATCAGGAGGACATCCCTAACCCAACACACGGGAAGTGCTTTCAGCAGTGACCTGACAATGTTGACGTGCCGGGTTTAGGCACAGGAAGCTTGCTGGTCAGCGCAGGATCCTTACCTTAAAAGTAAGGTCGGAATTTTTTGGGGGGACTTTGATCTATTTTTACTAAACGACAGATTTGATGGGAAGACTCTCAACTGACGTGTTTCTTTTCCTCTTTGGTTTTTCCAGTTGTAACCTGCCTCCTCTTTCTAATGAATATGCTCGTGATGTTGGACACAGGACACAGCTGGTCACTGCAAACCCAAGCATCATTAAGAAGAGGTAAAGTGGACAATTCCCTTGATAGCAGATGTCCCATTTAGCCCACCCCATTGCCTTCGCCTGGAGCTCCGGCAACACTACTGATCTGAACAAAGCAGCAATACTGTCACAAGAGTGTTTCTGTGAAACCTTAGACAAGTTTCCTTACTCCACACACCTCGGTTTACCTAGCAGTAAATAGGCACCCGGGTGCTAGTCGATTGGTGGATCGATTTCCCGGGGGTTAATAATCTTTTTTAAAAAATGAATACAATTTTAAAAATTAAAAATTTGTTGACTCATTCCACGACTATTTGTGGGATGCTGCTGTACGCAATTGGCCACAGAATATACAGTCAATTCACTTTACAGTATATCTTGTGAAGCGCTTACATAACATAACATGTAGGAGCAGGAGTAGGCCATTCGCCCCTTCGAGCCTCAGCCCCGCCATTCAATCATGGCTGATCTTCTAATCTAACTCCAGCTAATAACCTGACCCTGCCTTATCCCCATATCCTTTAATCCCTTTTGCAATAAGAAATCTATCTCAGTCTTGAATATGTTCAAGGACTGAGCGTCAACAGCCCTTTGGGGTAGTGAGTTCCATACATTCACTGTCCTTTGAGTGAAGAAGTTCTTCCTCAACTCAGTGCAAAAGGGCTGGTCTCTGATCTTAAGGTTGTAACCCCTGGTTTTAGTTTCTCCAACCAGGGAAACAATCTCCCACTATCTACTCTATCATTGCCCTTTGATGATCATATAGGTTTCTATAAGATCCCCTCTGATTCTATATTCTAGAGAATATAGGCCCAAATTGGTCAGCCTATCCTCGTAACTCATCCCCTTTATCCCTGGTACTAACCGAGGAAATCTACGCTGCGCCCCTCCAAGACAAGTACATCCTTCCTTAAATGAGGAGACCAAAACTGCACACAGTATTCCAGGTGTGGTCTCACCAGAGCCCTATACAGTTGCAGCAAGACTTCCCTACTCTTATACTCTAATCCTTTCATAATGAATGCTAACATACCGTTCCCCTTCCTAATTGCTGCTGCACCTGCAGACTAACTTTCTGTGATTGGTGTACAAGGACACCCAAGTCCCTCTGGACGCCAACACATTCCAATCTCTCCCCTTCTAAAAAATAACCCGCTCTACTGTTTTTGCTCCCGAGGTGGATGACTTCGCACTTCCCTACATTATACTTCATCTGCCACCTACCTGCCCAATCACCTAACCTATCTATGTCTCGCTGCATTTTTTTAATGTCGTCCTCTGTGTTGACACTTCCTCCTAGTTTTGTGTCATCCACAAATTTAGATATATTAACTTCGATGTCCTCATCTAAATCATTGATGTAGATGGTAAATAGCTGAGGCCCAAGGACTGATCCTTGTGGCACTCCACTAGTCACATCCCGCCAATCTGAAAAGGACCCGTTTATCCCTACTCTTTGTTTCCTACCCGTCAACCATTCCCCAATCCACGTTAATATGCTCCCCCCAATTCCGTGGGCCCCTATCTTTTGGACTAACCTTTTATGCGGAAGCTTATCGAATGCCTTCTGGAAGTCCAAATAGACCACATCCACTGATTCACCCTTATCGAGTTTACTGGAAATATCCTCAAAAAACTCTATGAGATTTGTCAAACATGACTTCCCTTTTGTAAAGCCACGTTGACTTGGCCTAATTATATTGTGCTCCTCTAAATACCGCACTACCACAACCTTAATCAGCTATTCAAAAAATTTTCCTATCACTGATGTGAGACTATAGTTCCCCATCTTTTCCTTTCCACCTTTTTTTAAATAGTGGTGTGACATTTGCGATCTTCCAATCCGTGGGGACTGTTCCAGACGTCTCGAAGGCGTTGATAAGGAGCTATATCAAACGCAAGAATTATTGTTATTATTAATATAGTTATTATTATTACCCTCCAAGTTGAGCCTTCACCTCACATTTTGAAGCAACTTCAAACAAGCCACCAAAAGAGGAAATGAAACACAGACAAGCAGGGCGAAACCTTGGGCAAGTTTCCTTACTCCACACAGAGCCTAATAATAATCCCTCCAAAAAAACAAAACAATAATAAATTGGTCATTTTCAATCTACGACTGTTTGTGGGACATTGCTGTGCGCAATTGGCTGCCGCGTTCGCCCACAAATATACAGTCAATTCACTTTACAGTATATTTTGTGAAGCCCTTTGGGACGTCTAGAAGACGTGAAAAGCGCTATATCAAATGCAAGGATTATTATTATCTGAGAACTTTATACAGCAAAGTAAACTGGGGGCGGGGGGAGGGGGAAGAAGGGATATTTCAGGCACCAAGTATAGCATATTCTGTTCTCTGACTGACCTCCAGTCTAATATAATTATGGAAATTGCCACAGAGAATGAACCCATTCATCCTGTTGAGGCTTTGCTGACGTCAGCTCTTTTACTATCTACCGTTAAGCCCACTTCCCTGCTCTTACCTCAAACCCTTTCATGTACTTCCTCTTCAAATGTTTTTCTGATTGCCTTTTAAATGTGGTAAGGTCTCAGCTACAATAGTTACTTGCAGCAAAGCATCCTGTATTGTGAAAGTACTTTGCGTGAACATATCCACAGATCTTGACCAATTCACATGTTTTACTACTTCCCAAAAGGAAATAGCAAAGTTACTAGTATTTTTGAATTAAAATGTGATCACTCAATCCACAACTGCTGTGCGCAATTGGCTGCCGCGTTTCGCCCACCAAACACCCAGTCACTCCACTTTACAGTATATTCTGTGAAGCGCTTTGAGACATCTCAACGACGTGATGAGGAGCAATTTCAAATGCAAGGACTATTATTATTATTAATTAATCTCATAGAATCGAGAATCTTACAGAACAGAAGGCAGCCGTTCAGCTCATTGTCCCTACGCTGACTTTCTGATAGAACTACGCAAAATACTATAGTCACTGGAAATCTGAAACAAAAACAGAAGTCGCTGGGAACACTCAGCAGGTCAGGCAGCATCTATGGAGAAAGAAAAGTGTCTCTCCCTCTCTTCAGTGACAATTACCACATCATCTGGGTCCCAGACACACCTTTTCTCTCTCTGCTCTGCCTATTGCATTGGATTTTTTCCCCCCCCTTTGGTTTGGATTATGAACACCTCGTTAACCCATCAACCCCTGTCCTCTACCCCATTTTCTCCTTTTGTTTTCCTTGCCCTTGCCCTGCCTCCCCCCACCCTCTCTGTTAGCCCTTATAAAAGCCTCTCCCTCCCAACATGCCCCAGTTCTGACATGGACCCGAAAAGTTGACTCGCTTTTTCTTTTCTCCAAATGCAAGGATTATTATTATTTGGAAACCTTTCCTCAGCTGTGACCCTCTCTTTCAGTGCAGCAAAGCAGACTAAACGCGCCGTTCCATTGCTCCAGACTACACCATTTACAGACATGCAGTCTATTCACACTCATGTCCAAACAGCTCATAAAATGATCCATTGTTCGTTTTGAAAGCAGATGTACAATTGCTTTGTACAGTTATTGTGTTGTGTCGTCTTCTTGTGGTGGTTCGAGGCTGTTGAACTTCACGATTCCCCTCTAGTTCCGAGCAGGGTTTTTAAAAAAAATGTCAATAGCTGTAAAAAAAAATCCTTGTATTTGATATAGCGCCTTATCACATCATTGAGAAGTACCCAAAGCGCTTCACAGGATATACCATAAAGTGAATTGACTATTATTTTGCGGCCGAAATGCGGCAGCCAAATGCGCACAGCAGTGTCCCACAAACACCCAAAGTGACCAAATTATTTTTTTATTATTATGATGTGCATATTCTCTCCCTGGAGAGATTCGTTTTGCTTACCTGCTTCTTCCATCGAATATAAGTATATTATTCTGTCGAGAGGCAAGGCTTGGGGACCCAAGAACAAAAAAACTGCTTGCAGCCACATAGACACAAAGGGTGTCCTGCGGAGCATTTGTTTATTTTAATCTGCACATATTCCTGTTGTCTACAAAACTGTTGCCAAGTAGATGTTAATTCAGTTATATATTTGAAGAAATTAATCAACGTACAATCAACATGTCTGTAAGTCAAATAAATTAATCAGCAACAGAAGTCGTACTCCAGTGAGACTTTGCAAGGCTCTGAAATTCACTGAAAATGATTCTAACGTTCACTATTGCACTTACCTGCTTGACATTGAAACCATTCTGACCGGGTTTCCTCCAAACACTTTTTAACCTCTATTCCCCAGCAATTCACCCAATCATTCATCTTGTCGCGCTCTTTGTGTCTCTTCTCCATCCCAGTGATTTCAGAGTTCAGAGAAATGTCTATTCAATGCTGATTAACATTTTACTCAGACACAATGGCAAGGTCTGGAGACGGCTGTTTGCCATTGACAGCTTTCTGCGCTATTTATCATGAGAACACAGAGCTCCCAGTGATCAGTCAGTCTCCAAATTCCTGGGATCTTAATTTAAATCTGATTAGACTGAAAGTTTTTTTTTTGGTGGGGGGAAATGGATTGAGCCCTTTAATCATGCTTGACCTACTATTGCCCCTCTTTTTAAAAAAATATTAATAATAATGTTTTTATTATTATAAAAAAATGTTATATGGTCACTCAATCCACGAATGTTTGTGGGACGCTGCTGTGCGCAATTGGCAGCCGCGTTTCGCCCTCAAAATACACAGTCAATTTGCTTTACAATATATTCTGTGAAGTGCTTTGAGACGCCTAAAAGACATGAAAAACGCTATATCAAATGCAAGGATTATTATATTATATTTTTATAGAGTAAGAGTGTAGCCCTCGAATGTCTTATTGGAGTCCAATCAACCGATGGAAATTGATTTGATTTAAAATACAATTCCACCGAGGAATTTGGTCAGATCTCTAAAGCCACAGGATAATCTGTCAGTAATCCCCCTCCACTCTCCCTAAGGTCCAGGACAGGACCTAAATCAATTCTTAAAACAACGGGTTTAAGAGCAGATATGATAGGCTTTTCACCAATCCTTGATGTGAAATTTGCCTTTATAAAACCTACACTTTCTGCATAAAAGAGCACTTTACGTGTCCTACACAAAACTCTTTCCCTTTCCAAGTTCACGTTAAAAATGAACAAAATTGGGATAAGTAGATCTTGGCAAGTTTGGGGCTGATTTGAATGAGAAAGAGCAGATTACGAATACAACTAACAATAATCCTTGCATTTGGTATAGCTCCTTATCAAGTCATTGAGACGTCTCAAAGCGCTTTACAGAATATACTGTAAAGTGAATTGAGTGTATATATTTTGTGGACGAAACGCGGCAGCCAATGCCATGGATTGAGAGCCCAAATTGTCATTTTGTGGGGGCCAGGGATCATTACTCTCGTAAAGCAATCTGCCAATCAACTAACAACCGGGTTCCAATTTACTGTTAGGTAAACAGAAGCGTGTGGAGTAAGGAAACTTGCCTAACAACAACAACAACAACAACAAGATTACATTTGTACAGCGTCTTTCACGTTGGGAGGATGTCCCAAGGCGCTGTTCAGAGTGCAGCATTTCAGACCCGAGCTGGGGTCGGGGGGGGGGGAGCGGAGGGGAAGGGGGTGGCCGATGGCATGGTCGAAGAGGAGGGTCTTGAGGGGGGACTTGCAGGAGGCTAAGGAGGGGGTGAGGCGGAGTGATGGGGATGGAGTTCCAGAGGTTGGGGGCAGAGTGGCTGACGGCTCTCCCGCCAATGGTGGGGCGGGTGGGTCGGGGGACGTGGAGCAGCCGGAGCGGCTGAGCGGAGAGAACGGGCGGGTTGGTAGGGGGTTAGGAGGTGACAGAGGTAGGGTGGGGCGAGGCCATGGAGGGCTTTGTAGGTGAGGACCAGGATCTTGAACTGGATCCTCTGAAGGATAGGGAGTCAATGGAGTCGGGCGAGAGTGGGGAGATGGGGTGGTTTTGCCCTGCCCGGGAATCGAACCCAGGTCCTCTCGCTTGCGAGACGAGCGTGCTAACCACTACACTCCACGAATCGAGTTGATTAAAGCTTTGCTTGATTTCCTGGCAGGTATCAGAACCTGATGTGGTCCAGAAAAGCCTTTGTGGAAAGTATGAAAGTGTACGGTCGTAGCTACATCTACATGCCAGGGTTCTCCATGAAGGCGGGCACCGAGCCTTCCTTCCGCACCTACTACACGCTGTCCGACGTGAATGCCAACCAAACCATAATCTTCGCCAATCCAGATTTCCTCCGCAACGTGCAAAAGTTCTGGAAAGGCAAAGGAGTACATGCCAAACGTCTGTCCACAGGATTGTTCCTTGTCAGTGTTGCCTTGGGACTTTGTGAAGAAGTGACCCTGTATGGGTTTTGGCCTTTTTCAACAGACCTCGAAGAAAGAACAATCAGCCATCATTACTATGACAATGTGATGCCTGACACCTCCTACCACGCCATGCCAGAGGAATTCCTACAGCTCTGGCTTTTACATAAGAGCGGCATATTAAAGATACATGTCGGCAAATGTGGACAGATTCCGATGTAGCCTTCTGTCCAGAAGCACACGAAAGTATAATTTATGCGTCTCTAATGTATTATTCCCTGCGAGGGAAATGTATTGACTTGGAGGGACAGGATATTTAAATAGTTTTCTTAGGGTTGTGGGGGGTGGGTGGGTGGGGGGAGGTGGGGTGGGGGTGGGGGTGTCCTGAGTTTTAAAGCAAAACTCTTTCTTAAATCTTCACGAACTGCGAATGAATTTACTTGAACAAGCGAGGGAGTGATTCTGAATCGGCTGACGTGCGCTGAACTTTGCATGGGCTGAACAAAGTATTGCGTTGAAGAGAGCAGTGGGAGAAGTCAGAGGTGTAATAACACCTTTACCGGGTACTTTTAAGCTGTCAAACACGCCAATGAAAAGGAAACTATTTTTCTTGAAAGTTCCCTGTGTAACCTTAACTTTCAGTCAATATTGAAAGATGCCCCAAAATAATTTGTAGGTCACTGAGTGGAATTAGAACCACTTTTTATTAGGTTTGGGCTGAAGGTTATTTTTCTCCCAGACTATTGAAATAATTGAAACGTTTCGCCCGCAAAACATTACAGTGCGTACTGCGAAGCGCTTTGAGACGTCTCGGAGACGTGACAAGACGCTATATCAAATGGTACGATTATTATTATTATTACTCCATAAAGGTGCATGCATTGACCGAAACCGTGCAAGTTGTTTTACAATTTTCTTAGCAAATGTTTGAATCGGCTTAGAGGAGTAAGTATCATGTATCATATGCAGAAGACAGAATGAAGGACTTGTTGGATGTAATGATTTACAAGTTACTGACTGCACAATGCGTTGGGTTACTTCACAGGCTTCAAACTACAGTCATTCATTCATTCCTTGACTTGCCCTCAGGCTTGCGATTGTTTCAAATCAAAAAAAAAAGTGCTTTCGACTGATTTGCGAAGATTACACTTTGAGGTATCAATATTTTCTGACAGATGTATTGTCCTTGTGTACTACTGGAACTGATATATTGATATATTTTGTACAGGACTTTTGTGGAGTCCTGCAGCTCAACGGTTAGAGCACTCGCCTCGCAAGCGAGGGACCTGGGTTTGATTCCCAGACAGGGTGAAACGTTAGGCAAGTTTCCTTACTCCACACTCCTCTGTTTGCCTAGCAGTAAGTAGGGACCTGTTTGTTAGTCGATCGACGGATCGTTTTTCCAGAGGTAATAATCCCTTCAAAAAAATAATAATGTGATCACTCAATCCACGGCTGTTTGTGGGGACGCTGCTGTGCGCAATTGGCTGCCGCGTCTCGCCCACACAATATACAGTAAATTCACTTTACACTATATTCTGTGAAGCGCTTTGAGACGTCTCGAAGCCGCGATAATGCATTACATCAACTACAAGTATTATTATTCTCAGCAAATTTCGTTTTTTAAAATTTCAGTCAAAGGTTACAGTATCTGCTGCGTATAGGCTAAAGGGCAATTCATGTTTTTTTCATGCTTTCTGTTCTGTCCATGTGAGTTTTGCAGGATAAGTTTGATAAGAGACCAGCGGATGGATTGTCAGGGAAATGAGGAGTAATTCTTTATTTAATATGTATTTTTGTTCCTCAGGTTTCAGACCGTAGTTCATTTTAAACTTTACAGGGATAGTATTTAGAGATGAGTTTATGTCTACCGTAGAATTTAATGCAATTTCTTTGTTTGCAAAATCTGAACTTACTTAAAGTGCTCCTTTAGCTTCTAATGAGAGTCTTGAATTTCACATTCCCATTTTGTGGAGTCCTGTAGCTCAGTGGTTAGACACTCGCCTCGCAACCAAGACGGCCTGGGTTTGATTCCCGGGCAGGGCGAAATGTTAGGCAAGTTTCTTTACTCCACACACCTCTGTTTACCTAAGAGTAATTAGGAACCCGGTTGTTAGTCGATTGGGGGAACGCTTTTTGAGTGTAATAAACCTTTCAAAAAAAAATAATAGTAATGATTTGGTCCCTCAATCCACGACTGTTTGTGGGACCCTGTTGTGCGCAATTGGCTGCCGCGTTTCGCCCACAAAATATACAGTAAAATTCACTTTACAGTATATTCTGTGAAACGCTGTGAGACGTCTCGAAGACGTGATAAAAACGCAAGTAGTATTATTATTATTATCATTGTTATTATTTAAATATTTTGAGAACATTCCCATCCTTGTGGCTCAATTCTAGTGAACCATCTAAGTGTGGGTAACCATAGCGCTGGTATTAAACATTGTCAAATCAATGCTCTTTTGTAGCAGTCTCGATGTGTTCTGCTTTAAAGTGTGCGTAAAAAAAAAACATTGGTTTGATTTGGCATTGAACAAATTTGTATTGAACGAACTGCATGGTGTAGTGTAAGTAGAATTATCGATTACATTTCACAAATATACTTGCCATACAAAATACAAGTTGAACGCAAATAACATTGAAAAAAGGGACAGTACCAATGTTTCCTGCACTTAGTGCTGTGATGATGAACCAAAATAGCCTGCAATCTGAATCCTAAGGATTTAAAATTTAAAAAGGATTTAAAAGTTAAACTTTTAAAGTACATTTAAAACCCATTGGGGTCGATGCAGGTTAAGATGTTCGGTCCTTTGTCTTTTGCATGGCTTCATTCGTTTCGCCCAGAAAATGTACAGTCAGTTCACTTTACAGTATATTTGAGACGTCTCGAAGACGGGATAAAGCTCTGTATCAACTGCCAGGATTATTAATATTATTATTATTATTCATTCAGTGAGTTTCAGCCGTTTTCAGCTGGATCGAGCACTGAGCAGCAGCAAAAGGTTCCATTTCCATAGCAGGGAATTAGGGTTAGGGTCTCGTCTATCCTTACAAAATTACACTGGAAGCTAGTCACAGAGATGTATTGACGGTTTTGGAGCTGACCAATTGCTAGCGGAGGAAAAGTGCCATTGGATTGTTTGTGGGATACTGCTGTGCTCTCATGTTTTGCCCACAAAATACACAGTCAATTCACTTTACAGTATATTTTGTGAAGCGCTTTGAGACGTCTCGAAGACGTGATCAGGCGCTGTATCAAATGCCAGGATTACTACTGTTATACTAGCTAAGGAACCAGGAAAAGGGGGAACCTAGAAATAGTAAAACATTGTTTGCAATTATATTACCAAACACACCCCAATTCGAAATAGCCCAAAGACATGTTATATGTTCACTTTGGTGGATTTCATATTTTTATTGTGAAAGCTCACATTGGCGATCCTTGGCTCTGTGACCATGGAATGATATGTAGTTAAACATCGTAAATGATCTTGTTAAAAATGTATAATCCTTAAAGATTTTAGGTGTAGGAATTGTAAAATACTAGGGGGACAACTTCTGCAGGGCTTTGGCTGATTTGTGTGCCCGACTAGGCTTGTCTTTGCAGCCTACAAAATGTTTCCAAAAGGATACAGTATACAAAACAACTGCTAATCTATATATATCTTCAGCTGTGCTATTGTCGCCACTACATTAGCAAAGCAACCGTACATTTCCTGAATGAAACGACGACTGACCGACATTGCTGTATAATGCTGCAGAAATAAGAATATGTAACCAAATCTCTCTGTGTGTAGGTGTGTGATGGAATTGTAGCATTACTTTGTGCGTCTAAAGGGACAATTAAAGCTGTACGTAAGCTGTGTGCTAGACGATGATCTAATTTGCGTCTTGTGTAAGTGCCTGTGTTACAGAGGAAATTATAGGTGTAATTAACAACCGATAGCAAGGATTAGAAAATGAACCGCATATTAGACCCAAAGTAAGCAAAACTCCCCGGCTCAGTGTTGCTATGATATGAGAATACTTCAGTCAGTTGGCATGTCAATTTGCCCCCCAAAAAAGCTGACGTGATTCCAAATTCATGTCACATTTGGCTACTTCAGTGTGCGTATGACTACCAGCTATTTATTCTCCAAGGTGTCCCACTTCTGTGTGAAAGGGACTTGAACCTGATGTAATAACGAGCGAGAGACAGAAGGCTTATCCCGAAGAGGCTGAGATTTAGATCGCTTTGTCCTCATTATTGTTGGCCTTGAGCATTATTACTGCAGTGTGTGAATGCCAACGTTACCTAAAGGTATCATGTATCAGAGTAACTGGTTACTGCTTCTTAATGAGAGAAGGAGAGAGTGGGTCCAATTGCAATCTCGCATTCTCTACACTGAACTTTGCCCAAACGGTTCAATATTGCACAGTCAGCCCACTTTAATAATAATAATAATAATACTTTACAGTATATTCTGCGAAGCGCTTTGAGACGTCTCAACGACCTGATCAGGAGCTATATCAATGCCGGGGTTATTATTATTATTATTAAAATTGACAATTCTCATCAGATTATTGTATTAACCGGACAACAAATGTAGGTGTTCTGTGCGCTTCTGTTAAATGCTTTCTGCCGACATAACAGGCGCTATACCAATGTAAATTGTATTGTACTGTATTCTCAAGGTAGGATTTTAAGCTCATACAATAGATGAAGTGCATTTCTCAGAGTAATCCAGCCATTAAGGCCATTATAGGTTTAACACCCAAAAGCCATACCTTGCGAGGTTTTGCAAATGTTTTTCATTTTATTTTTTTACAATGGAAATTTAAGTTAAGAGTTATTTGACATTCACACACTTACACCTCAATGGTCTCGTTACGAAAGCTTTCTTTCAGAATTAGGCAGTTCTTGTTGCACGGATGCTCTTTTGTTTTGGAAACCAGGAAATATTAATGTGTTTCATTGATACTTTGAGAGTCTTTGCTGAAAAAAAAACCTTCCTATACTTCCTATCCTCCAAAAGGAAAGTTCCTGGTGCAGTATCTGAAATCGGAGATGTGTGTCCAGCTTCTATGGACGTGATTGTGTTGTTAATAACTTTTCCATTCTTCTCTCATCTTCAACGGTTTAGCTGCCTCATGTAAATAATACCATTGCAGAAAATCAGACAACATTATTCTTTTCAACACATGTTTTGGTGTCATTTTATTTCTGGAAGACGAACTACATT